TGATATGCCTTCTCATTATAATGCAATTAAGATATTTGTGGAAAGAATAATTAGGCATATGATGTTGATTGTTTCTCTGAATGTAGGAAACTCTTTGTTTGGGGCAACCAGTGTTTGTGGTGAAGGGTCTTGAGATAAATGGTTGTAGCAAAGGAAAATGCTATACATCCTGACCTCATGAATAGTCACTGAGACCTCATGGCTGATTGCCCTCGATCATGGCTGTTATGGCTGCTATGGTGTTTTACTATCACCTTGAGAAGCCCACCAGATTACAATGTCAGGGCTGTAGAGCAGAGGAAGATATACATCATCTCCTATGGGGACGTTCAGCTGCAATTACATTCTGGAAGACAGCTTACCCTGGTGCAGTACAGAGTGGTTACTGCTATGACTCCAGCAGTACCATGGGCATATTTGTGCACTACTTTGATTTGGTTATAAGTTTTGAGAGGTATAAGAACATGCTTGTTTTTAAATAAAGAGGTGCGTTATTTAAACTATATGGGACTGTGGATTTTAAGAAACTACGTTCACAGGGCCTGCAGGAGAGCGGGATTGAAGGAGGTGAAGAAGACTTAGAAATTCAAGGACTGGCCTGGTGGGATCTGTGGGTCTGAGAATATTGGCAGAGATTTTGGCAATTGTACATTGTGTCAGGCTGCAGGCTCTTCGTGGGGACGTTCTCTGGAGTGATCTCTTTTTTCTGTTTTATGATTCTTTGGCTCTTGGATACTTTGCATGGTTTATGGCTGGTTATTTTGTTTTGCTACGGTGGTGTTCTAGATTTATATACTTTTATTTAAACAAACTTTGCAAGGCTTTTAAGTTTGATTTTATATTTGCCAAAGAAGCAATGGCACCATGCTCTGAAGCAGGAGTCCTGCAGTGTGATTTATAAGTGCTGTGAAAAGTCCTTCAGCAGTACCTCTTGGCCAGGGCTGGTGATGACAGATTTGTGTGTTGGCCTGGAGTAGCATTTGTTTGGGCCCCTTTACTGTGTGTAAACCTAGTTCTAGCTAAATGTGACTTAGACATTCCTGGAGACAGTCTGACAGATTTCCATTATATTCTGACTCACATCTAAGCTGCAATGTTCTGCCTCTGTTATTGTATTATTCTAACATTTGGCATATATTTTGCACTTCCATCTGTTCATTGCATCGGCCTGTGAATCTATGTGAATCTATGAGTTTTAATAATAATAATAATAATAATAATAATTGCTTACACTTATATAGTGCTTTTCTGGACACTCCATTCAAAGCGCTTTACAGGTAATGGTGACTCCCCTCCACCACCACCAATGTGCAGCATCCACCTGGCTGATGTGACAGCAGCCATAGCGCTCCAGAACGCTCCCCACACATCAGCTCTCAGTGTGGAGGAGAACAGAGTGATGAAGCCAGTTCAGAGATGGGGATTACTAGGAGTCCATGATTGGTAAGGGCCAATGGGAAATTTGGCCAGGATGCCGGGGTAACACCCCTACTCTTTTTAAGAAATGCCCCATGGGATTTTTAATGACCACAGAGAGTCAGGACCATGGTTTTACGTGTCATACGAAGGACAGCGCCTTTTTACAATAAAGTGTTCCCGTCACTATACTGGGGCATTAGGATCCACACAGACCCTAGGTGAGTGCCCTCTAATACCTCTTCTAGCTGCAACCTTAGTTTTTTCCCCAAGAGGTCTCCTGGGAGGTCTTCCCAGGCTCACAGATGCTGAGCTTCAGTAGGTTTTCAGTTGTGAGTTGCAGGGTGATATGGCTGCTGGTGTGTAGATTTTCTTCTGATTAACAATAGTACTTGTTTTCGCTAAACTATGGACCTTAGTGTCCTCTGCTTAAATTAAAGTATCACTAACACATCACTGACAGGCTGGCCTAAGGCAGCTTGATCTCAGCCCTGTTTATATCTAAGATTCTTTTAAGAGGATATCCTACAGTACAGAAACACTGTCCTGGAACCACTGTACAGGTGGTCACTGTTTTACAGGAGGAATAGAGAATATAAAAGTACCGCTAAAGGGAGTATGTGCAGTGTAGACTAACATGCAGCAGTTCAGGTTTTCTGTCCATCACAATTATGTGAAATTAGCACCCTCCCAGTGTGGGTTAGTTTGCTAACTTGCTAAAGTTAATTTTTCCATTTCTCAGTCTATTTAACAATTGGATTAGCTAAAAAAAAAAGCAAGTTTGATTTATGACCTGTCCATTTCATTAAAGTTAAACCTGCAAAAATCAGAAAATTGAAAATACAATATCATACAAAAAGAAAAACATAATGTAGTAATTTAATAGTAGTCATTTTATAAGTGTATCATACTGATAAATAAACCCACATGTGAAAATCCCAATCACCTTCCGTTTTCCTTCAGCAGTCCTCTATCTAGGATTGATACCTTATAAATATAGTACCATGAAAACATTGAAAAAATACATTTACTGTATAAGAGTACCCAATCTTTGTAAGTATCTGACAGGATATAGAAAAACTGCTTGAGGCTTGAGTGATTTGAATAAGATATCAACCTTTCAACTAGTAAGTTGGGACTGAAAAGCGTTTCGTTTAGAAACTGTAACTGACTCATATTTGTTTTTTAAAGAAGGGCATATAGTCCAAAATTTGATGTGTAGCCTACACCTTGCAAAAGGTGGCTGATAATATTGAGCTATGTGTAAGTTGTTTTGGTGGCTTTTAGACAACAAAATAATCATTGATTGTGATCTGACATACACTTAAGTGGAGAAACATATACCCTTCCCACAAGATGGCTTAGCTGTGTAAAGAACCTGCTGTCGAAGTTTTCCAGTCCTGCAAACTTGTCTATTTCTATCTTATCCAGCTGCATCTCCTGTACTGCAGTCAGAACTTTCTTCTGGTCGGCAGGATCTCGGACTCCAATCTATGGAAAGATACTCCGTCACTTGGCACATCAACATTTCCATCACTTAAAGGTCGCTGCAAAGCAGTAGGCATAGTTTAGTTTTCTTTGATTTTCACTTAAAAGGCCAACACAAAAACCAGAAAGTTGAATGTCTATTTTTTTTCTGCATTTGACTATCTTTGATTTCAATTCTATGGTCAACATTATGATCAGTTGTGACTTAAATTTGGCTTTCACCTTAGAAAATAAAATTGTGAAGTTTCAAAATGATTGAATGAATCAACACTGAAAAACTGGGAACATGTCTAGGGGCACTCTGCAACTGAAGGATCAGAATGCGAGCTGACAAACACATAACATTTCATTTCAAGGATCGATAATAGAAATACTGAACTATCCATTTGAGAATATATACCACATATACCCCTTATGTCCACATGGCAATTTTGAGGTTTCTGTAAATCCATAAACCACACTTCAATAGTTATGTTCAACTACAGCAGTTTCCACTGCGACAGTCTCTTCTATGAAGTGTTTTTTCTACTCCCAGTAAGATACAGAACTACTGGACTGGATAACAAATTTATTTGGCCTTGTTCCTTTATTACTGTAATTATAACTGTCATACTTGCATAAGGATCTGTTTGGTACATTATAACAACATTTAAGGTACTGTATCTCACATCACTTAATTAAACTAGACTTTTTTCTTCATCATCTTTTGTATATTTAATTGCAAAATGCACATTTATTGAATATGTATATACAGTATATTAAATGTAAAGTTAATCTGATAAGGGCACTACACTATCAATGTATTGCTATGAGATACCACATTCCAAATATTTGCAACTTTAAGGTATCTAAACTAACAGTAAATGACTTGAAGGTATGATCCCCATGGCATGAGAAAAAAATTCAATGAAGCTTTTTTTAATAACAATGCCAAAACTGATTAGTCTAAGCTTACACTGGTTTAGTAGATCAACTAAACTTAAAAAAAAGGAATTGAAAGTGTATTAATAACAGAATTACATTGCCATAGACCCTGAACACATTATGACATCTGCCTCTATAAGTGCTCCTACTAACAAAGGTAAAGTATTTTTTACTTTTACTTTACTCTGAATTTAACATGGCACCACGAAGTAGTCCCAAAAATGCATATTGTTGTGATAAACATGTTTGTGATAAATCTACAGCGACTAACTCTTTTTAAAAAGGAAAAGTATAACAATGAAAATAACTCAAAACTAAGCTGCATAAAATCAGTTTTCTTTCATTACTTTAAACACTATGCTGCTGCACTGGCATTTAGCATTCAAGTTTAGATTTGACATTATGTTCTTGTTTTTAAATACTCAGTTACACTGCAGACAACAGTACTGTAGTTTATTGCATCTGGTCAGATATACCACCAACTGAACAACTGAGATAGAGCAGAAAGTAGGATTATAACATTTGTATTACATTATAAAGCGAGTCCCACTCTTCAGAAAGGTAATTTCATATTTAACTGATAGCGTTTGCACTACACTGTAAATTTAATTTAAATAATATTCCAAATAATTAAAATGACAACTTAAAAAGTCAACTACAAAAGTGAAGGCAATGGAATCTTTATTTTAATAAAGAAACTTGAGATTCCCAACCTTTTCCAAGTCTTCTTTCTCCATTGTCAATAGGTGGCTCCATGATATGTCATTGTCCTGTATGAGCAAAAGGAATCATCATGGACTGCCCAGTGTCCTAAAATAGTGTTATTGCCGTGTTGTAATCCAAGCACCTCCACTGATAAACATTTAAACACGATGATATACTGTTTGAGGGGTGCAGCATGGTGACACAGTGGTTAGCATTGGGTTCAGTTGTGGAATTGGGGTGCTAATCTGCATGTTTATGTGTTCATGTGTGTTTTTGCCAGATGTTCTGATTTCCTCCCACACTCCAAAGACATACTGGTAGGTTAACTGGTTTTCTGGAAAACAGGTCCTTGAGTGAGTGTGTGCCTGTTTGTGTCTGCGTGTACCCTGTTGTCCCATCCAGGGTGTATCCTGCCTTGTGCCCCTGGCTTGCAGAAATAGGCTCTGCCTTCCCCGCAACCTTGCTTGGATGAAGCAGTTAGAAAATGGATGGATGGAGTGTTTCAGTGGAGACCACTTCACATGCAAGGTTTTCATTCTGCAGGCCCTAATTAGAAGTGTTACTAAATTATTATATTTCAAGTAAAAATTAAAACATAGCAATCATATCTCATTTAAGACCAAAGTTCTATACTAAAAAGAACCAGTATGATAATTATTTTACCATATACAAAGTACTGCAGAAGTCAAGGTTCCATTAATTATCTCATAATCATTATATGAGATGTTTGATGAACAGTAGTCTGGCAACAGTTTTATGGTCACCATCAAAATTATCTTATTTTGAATTTCTGGCAATGTGTATTTGGGAGTGTATGCCATTTGAATTAGAAAAATGTAAGTCTTCTTTACAATTGACAGTGTTCTCCAGCATCGCACAACTATTTTGGAACAGCCACAGACCAAGTCTAACTTGATTTTTAAAAGAGGAAAAGTAAGCATTTTACACTGCAAAGCAGTTGCTAAAATGTGCAAACTCTACAAGGGTCTCCTAACTGCACAGTTTTCAAAGAACATTTATAACATACCATTGTTAACTATTTTAAATATAAGTCGACCTAAATAAAAATATTTGTTTACAAAAATCAGGCTTCAGAAATCATTTAAGAACTAGATTACAAACTACACCTAATTGTGAACTCATTTTGTTGTGTCTTCTGAAGTTAAGGAAGTGGGCTGTATCTGTGGAACTGATGCGTGCATCAGATTTGTAAGACTAACTAATATCAAAATTCATGTTTTCTAACTGAATCCTTGTTCGGAGTCGCTACAGGCTGAATCCTACACTTGGTGCTGGGTTGCCTAGCAACAGCCAATGCTGCCAATGTTACTGAAGCACTGATTACAAAAACATTAAGCACCTGATAAAACTCTCGTTAAGACTGGAGAATCAATAAAGAAGTCAGTTATACCTGTTTCTACTGCCATGAAAATCTAAATCTATTAATTTTTCATCACCACAACCTTTCCAAAAATCTATGGCACACCTACTCACGCGTGTCACAATGCTGCTGTATTTTAGGATACACTGATTTCTGAAATTATACTGTAACAGTACAATAGGATAAGAAACTACTTTATTTGTGCTTTTAAAGTACATTCTCTCTGTCCAATTTAATTTGCCTTGCATCCTTGATAAGCTCAGTCATTAATGTATTTTTTCAATTAGTTGTATTCCTAAGAAGGGGCTGTTTAAAAAAAAAACAATGATAACCACCACCAAGCCTTTTTTTCTTTAGCTGACACTACAAGAGTGAATTCTTCATCTGTTTTCACACCTTGCAATGCTGCAGACTAAAATAAAATTAAGACTGTTATAAAGTTTCAGTAGGGAAATACAAAAACATTTGAACACTTGTTGAGTGGGAACCAAATATTCACCAACATATGACATTCATCTCACAAAAATTAAGAACTGTGTCTTAACAAAGTCAAGAACTATGACTTCCTAAGAGTAAGAAACAATTACTCACCAACATGATATCTGTGAGATATTCCAAATCTAGGCCGTGCAGAAGCAATTCAATGTCTCCTAGCTTAGAGGAGCTGAAACAAACACAGATGCTTAATAAACTTTGCCAACAAGCAATATTCGCACTTTTGTTAGAAACAAGCAAAAAGGGTTTACATTTCACATCAAACATGAGCCACTTTTAAACATGAAGCATGATCAATTTCACTGACGTGCCACTAGGTTGTGCTCAAAAACATCATACCAAAAAACAGTAGACCATACTGTATGTACATCCACTTATTCCTGGTAAGCGTCATGGTAACCTGGAGGTGGTGACAATTCAGCCATCCTGGTTAACTCAGCCACTCCTCCTTTGGAAGGCAGGAGGAAACTGGAGTATTGGACAAACACCCACACAAGTGCGGGGAGAACATGCAAACTCCACCGAGAGTGCACTCCAGTCTGGAACCAAACCTAGAGCTGTGAGCTGCAGCAGTAAACCCCAAATCACCCTCAATACACACAACACCAAAACAGCCAATAAATTAACCACCAAACATTTTTCACACCAAAAAAATTCAAGTTACCTCTCTCTAGAAGGAGTTATTGGGTCAGGATTCCCTTTGAAAAACTTGAAGAGTGTCTCCTCTTTGGATAAATGCTCCCTGCTCCCAGGGAGATTATGAGGTGAAGCAAGGATTCTAGAAATCTGTGTTCATAATTAGTAAGAAATTAATCAAAAGCAATACAAAATGCACTACTGATATCTGAGTACATCAACCATTAACCAGCATTTCAAATCCAATCATTTGAATTACAATGTAATTCATTTCAAATAAACTAGTAAGATAAAACCCTGCTCTTCAACAAATTACACTGCAATTTCTGTGAAGACACAATTTTGCTTTTGTTAATATGAAAGAAAATGAATCTGAACAGATATTTTTTTTCTTTTTGAACGATGTACAGTACTTCACAAAGTGGAGGAACCGTCTGAAGGAAAACTGAGCCGTACCTGAGAATGTCTGTACATTTTCGCAATATCTGCTGCTGTATATCCTTCCCTTGTTTTGACTGTTATGTCAGCACCTAGTTCAAGCAACTTCAGAGCTGCTCCTTCTCTCCCATACTGTGCTGCAAGTGTCAGTGCCTTCAAAAAGTATTAAGGCAAAAACAGATTTAAGCTTTGTATGATTTCTGCAAATAAGAAAATAAGAAATGACGAAAGATATTTTAAATAATTGATTATTTAGTTTGAATGTTTAGTTTGTATGCCACATATCTTTGAAAAGTGTTTCAGGATCTTTTCTGCTGTAATCTTCATACTTCTACTTCAATTGTCTGCCAGGCCTGAATCTCAATCTGTCTGCTACACATTGTTAGAATCACCCCTTTGGCAGCAATAGATACTGCTGGCAAAAATAATCCCCAATATAAAAAACAAACCACAGTGACATCTACTGTATATACTAGGTAGCTAGACATTTCAGTAGAGTCTGATTTTTATCAGAAGTTCATAAATTGGGAAAATAAACTTTTAGACAACTATTAGACATTTTGGATGGATGGATGGATAAATGAACATATACTGTAGAGTTTGGGAGCTGAAAGGGTGTTCAATCATCTTTCACTACGATTAGAGACTCTCAGCTGAAAAATACACAATTTACAATTCTTTGCATGTGAGAAAATGCAAATTGCTGGCACAATTAAAAAAAAAGACTCCATTCATACAGTATATCCATTGACATCCTTGGTATTTATTTCTGCTCCATAGGAAATAAGCAAGGCTATAACTTGAGTATGCCCATCCCTGGCAGAAAACATCAGTGGAGTCATGTGATACCTAGAAAGACAAAAAGGGATTAACTGAAATATGTGTGCCTTGGTTCGAATATTTAAAAAGCATTTATTTTTCAGCAACTACAAAGCCTTTTCAGTCTTTAAACGTGTGTAAATTGCAATTATTACTGTTGTTAGTCATCTCTCCATACTTTTCCTGTATATCAAGCAAAAAAAAGGTTTCACAGTGAAAATAAAAACCTGCTTCACCTTGCACTGAAACAAGAACAGCAGAACTGACAACACTACCTGACTGGCCATGCTTGCATAAATCAACTCACACTGTAAACGTTATAAAAGCAGTGAAATTAAAGGCAATTCTGGGTTGTCTAAATATATATACAGTATATTTTTGATATCTTTCAATTTATAACAACTAATAGAAAAATCCTCAAATCGATGGCAAGTTCAACCATCCATCTTCACTCCTCTTTTCCTGGTGAGGGTCACAGTTGCAGCGGGCCAAGTAGATCAGCCCAGACTTCCCTGTCCCCAGCAACAGATTCCAGCTCCTCCTGGGCCCCCCCAGGCGCCCCCAAGCCAGCCGAGAGATATAAACCCTGCAGTGTGTCCTGGGTCTGCCACGGGGTTTCCGCCCAGTGTGACGTGGCCCGAACAGCTCCAGCAGGAGCCGACCGGGGGGCATCCCAATGAGACGCCCAAACAACCTCCACCGGCCCCTCTCGATCTGCAGGAGCAGTGGCTCTGCTTCGAGGCTCTCCCAGTTTGCCGAGCTCCTCGCCCTGTCACGGGGAGTCAGCCCAGCGTCCCCGCGGAGAAACCACGATCTCGTTCTTTCGGTCATCACCCACAGCTCATGACCATACAGTAGGTGAGGACAGGGACGCAGATCGACCGGTAAACCGAGAGCTTTGCCTTCAAACTCAGCTCCCGCTTCACCTCCACAGACCAGTACAGTGCCCACAGAACAGCCGACGCTGCCCCGATCTGCTTGTCGATCTCACGCTTCCCTCTTCCATCGTGAACAAGATCCGGAGATACCTAAACTCCTCCACTAAGGGGGCAGATGTTCCTCCCTCACTTGGAGAGAGCAATCCACTCTTTTCCAGGAGAGAAACATGACCACAATCTTGGGAGGTGCTGATTCTCATCCCAGCCGCTTCAAACTCGGCGGAGAATCTCTCACATGCGCGTCGAAGGTCACAGTCAGATGATGCCAAAAGTACATCATCTGCAAATAGCAGAGATGCCACCCTTAGACCCCCCAACCGGACACCCTCACACCCTTGGCTGCGCCTTCATATCCTGTCCATGAACACCACAAACAGGAGCAGTGACTCAGTAAAACATTATTTTCAGATAACTAGAAACAATAAAAACCTTAGACAAATTCCCCCCAGGTCAACCAAGAACACTGACCTTCAGGGCTTATTTTTTTTCTTCTCTATAATGAAAACTGCTGGTTACTCTACCATTATCTTGTCTTACTGTGAAACACGTTTTCAGTTAAATAAAACCTTTTTAGCAGCCCAAGTGTTAGTTTACATTTACACGACGAGTAAAGAACCACTAGAGGGCAGCAAAGTAAACATGCAACCAGCATAGTCCAATGTTAGTTCCCACATCAAGAGGAAGCAGGTTACCAAATTTGTTTCTATTGCTGAAACTAAGAACTTTTGGAATCCTTTTTTTTCTATACTAATAAAAACTATGCCAGAATGCTTTATCTTATAACTATTAAAACTTTATAAATGCAATAAAATACATAGACTGTCATGTTAATTATGGGAATGAGTTTATCGCTGTTTCACAATTCAGAGATAACAGGTCTCTATGCTTTCGTGTGTTTGAATTCAGAATCCGCAGCTCTTTTTGAGGCTCACTATTCTGCTATATCTAATTTTGACTAAATAAAACCGGCATTTCTATGCATCTTACTGGAACACCTTTCAGATTTATGGTATTAAGAACAACACAGCTGTAACTGGCTGCTGATCTTGAATTTATATGGGCAAAAGAAGTCTCTTTAGACAGTTCCTGGAGGGCATTCTCTCTTCTGGGTTTGTGCCAGCCTGAGTTAATTAAGCAAATTAAGCGAATTAAGCAATCGATTTTCTAAATTCCAAATATATGGGATTTTTCACAATGAATTTTATTGTTGTTTCCACAAGGCATTAACCTTCATTAAAAGCACAATTATCTATAACTCACATCAGAGCTTGGTTAGAAGTATTATTATACAGCTCATTAAACAATTAGACCCTATTATGTAAGTGAGAATGTGGGAGGAACAAAACCATAAGACACCGGGCCTCTCTGTATTACACCGTTTCTCCACCCTCAGGTGTTGCGAAATGACTAATAAATATTTATTCCCATAATTCACTGTGACTGGAGCGCTGATAACACTGTACACCTTCATCCTTCTTACGTAATATTTGTCCTGTATTATTGCACAAACAGATGAGATTATGTAAAATAACACTTCTGCTCTTTCTGAATGAGTGACTTCAAAGGTGTGGGAATGTTTGGATAAATAGGAGATGAAAAGAGGCAAAAGCAAGCAAGACTTTCTATAAAAGACTAAACGTATAACATTAAGTGGGTGCAAATAAAGTGGCTGAAAATAGGTATAAGAGACTTGCATGTATCTTGCAGGTAGTGACTTGTTGGTTTACCACATGCTGATTGTCAACAGCATAGGTCAATTGTGGATTTATTGCTTGATTTAATTTTTTTTTGCAAAAACAAAAAAGAAATTAAAAGCCTTCAAATTCTTAAATTTAAAAACTTCTTGGCACAAAGTACCACTTGTCTATTTAAAACATTTTTTCATTTACAAATGCACAGAGCTGTCAGCTTTCAATACACACTGTATTCCTTCTAGTATTTAAATGATTTTTTTGCCAGCAAAACTAACTGAGGGAGATACAGTTAAGGGAGGTTGATTTCACTGAACCTGCTCAGCACAGAAAAAGCAGTGTACTGACAGGAGAGATTCTATGCTCTTAAGTGGAGAAGCAACAAAAAAACAAACAGTGTGCTTGGATATAAAGCACAAAGTTTTGAATTTAAATCCAGGAATGGTCTTCTCACATTTTACATCTGGTAAGACTTAATTTAGAATATCAAGTTCAAGTTTTGGTCACAACACCACAATAAGTATATTAAAATGAGATATTAAAAGCAACAAAAATGATTGCTGGTCTCAGATTGTCATATACAGGGACATCTCTTCAGTAGAGAGCAAAGGAGACTGAGAAGAGATTTGATCTGAAGATGTAAAATTCAAAGTGATACACAGAGGCAGAAACGAGGCAGCTATTCGTAAATTCAGGAGACATGGGATCGCAATTGGAAACAAGGTAATTTATTTAAGAAAACCTTTTTGACACCTTTTTGCATGAAGGGATGAGGGTATATCTGGAAAACCCAGGCAGGTGGTTAGGTGCAAAACTCTGGGGTCTTTTAAGAAATGGCTGGATACAATTTTAGCATCACTTAAATACTAAACCAGAAAACAAACAAGGTTGGTTGAAACGTCTTCACTAGATGGCAACACTGCTTATGTCGGTATGTCAACTTACAAAGCATTCCTTCTAACACAAATGCTAATTAAACTTTCCAACTGTTTCTTTACTACTTTTACATTTTACTATAATTTAGTATAACAATAACTACGTCTCCAGAATGCCTTAATTTCATTAACATACAGTGAGAGTGAAGCTAACAAACAGCATTGTCATCACTCAAAATCAGGGATTTAATTAAGAGGTTGTTATTGTTCTGAATGGGATGGTGTGTTGGGCTGGGGGAATTAAGTCATGCCACCGCACAATCACACACATCTTACATACCGAATCAGACCTGCATTTACTAATAAGTCCACCTTCAACACGGTGGCGGTGGTAGCAGTGGCAAATACCTCATCCCGGTCAATGCCTTTTGGCTGATCTCACTCCCACCACCTTCTTCTTACCAGTGAGCCAATTATGCAGCAACTGAGGCCATTACACTCAAAACAGATGTACCCACTGAAACCAGACATCACACCGACAATCTCGTCGACATCGGTTTCTCTCAGACAGCCCCATTCTCTCACACCCACCCTGTGGAGGGCCTGTAAAATCTGCCAACCCCCTCCAGGACCACAGTTAGAACTGGCCCCCTGCCGGGGTTCTGATCTTTCATTCTTACCAGCATCTCCCCTGTGAGACCCGGCGCTGCCACACCCGACACCAATCCCCTAATTTCCTCAGGCATATGTGGGCAGTATACTCTCCTGCTGTGCTGTTACATGTACACCATACCTGATTTTACGACCATAAGTCGTTCCCCAAAAGCCTTCTGTATAGCGACAATTAGTGAAGAGAAAAAACAATTCCCTTAATTTTTATGGGGAAAAAATTACAATCCACCCTCTGATCCCAAAAATGACAAAAGAAACAACGATAACTAAAATTCATACTGTGGTTTGTGTTTTTAGTAATAAACACCTATGTTTAAGCATTCCTAAGTACAGTTGCTTTTTGTGTAATTAAACATCATTATTTAAGTCAGAACCACAAATATTTTTATGAAAAAGATTTGTGAGTGCACACAATAGCAAACAAAAAACAAATTTTCTATTATTCATTAAATCAGCACTTACTCTCTTTTACCAAAATTGAAGAGGATGGAACTGTACACCTTATTAGTACAGAATCAGATTCTGAGATGTACTCTGCATTCATTTCCATCTAGCTTTACTAACACTGCACACTACACCAAAACAAGACCTACATTTTATTTTATTCACTTCAGTCCAGTTTTTAGTACCAAAGCCATTTTTAACTCACATGGTGTTTAATTTATGTTAGTATTATTTCTGAATAACAAGCAGTGGAAAATACAGTGAAATATCGCCACCTTTCAGTAAAACAGCAGGACATTTCAGCATCCTTCATGTTTGGTTCCAACCACATTTATAAAAGTTACTGTAACATTTTACATTAACACATCGATTCAACCAGTTGAGTCACAAAGCAAATAGAATACTGCTTCCAACAAATGTTACCAATCCAATATCCTTCACCCCCCGTGCACCTCTGGATTTTCACTAAGGTGAGAAAAACATAACCTTTATTAAATTCCATGTTTTCCCAGGATGTCAAGTGCTGTAGTAAAGCAACAGAGTTTATATCAGTCTGAGGGAAAAGAGATCAGCAGCAGATAGGTTACAAGGTCATTCACATGTACATGTTGTAATAACTTATCTTCCCTTATCAAGAAATGTCACAAAGTAATCAATGTAACACTGCACAAAGACAGATTATAGTTATAAGCGTCAACAGGAAACTGTTGTGTTAAGCATCTTAGCAATGATTGCAAAGGTTGTTGTACCGATATTTTATTCCATACTTTTCCCTAGGAACTTTCTGCACTTTTCCATAAAACACATTCCCCTGCAAGCAATTTTTGAGAATTCATCTCCCATATATTGCTTCTTTAGTGGCTTCTTAAATACCTCTCAGGAATAATACCTAAAGGCTGCAATTTTGTATAAAACCCAACCATTACAATCCCCTATCTTATAAACGCTTGAGGCAACCTCCAATGCAGTAGCGGTCATGATCTAACAGGTCTGCAAGGTCATCCTTAAATCATCAATTTGTAAAGAACTGAATCACATGGGAGTTTAGATCATTTTTGGAATCAGTGGCCAACTGTTGTAGTTAAGAGAAGCAGGGTGCTGCTATACGCATCCATTTCCTATCTGCTTCTTCCAATTCAGGGTTGTGGGGGAGCTGGAGCCCACCTGCCAAGCAATGGGCACAAGGCAGGGTACACCCTGGATAGGACGCCAGTCCATCACTCAAACAGACACCAACACACTCACACAAGGGTCAGTTCTCCCAGAAACCAATTAACCTACCAGTGTGGTTTTGGACTGTGGGAGGACACCTGGAGCAATCCCACACGAACATGGAGAGAACATACAAACTCCACGCAGACAGCACCCCAGGTCCAGGGGCAGCAATTCTAATCACTGCACCACTGTGCTGCTCCTGCTGTACTAATTGTGAATGAAAATCTCTATATCTAATTAGACAAATTAAAATGTTCTAACCTTTTCAATTCAATTCAATTCAACTTTATTGTCATTAAACTTACACAGTAAGTTTTACTATGCACTTACACAGGTGCATAGTATAATGAAAAGTGTTTCTCATTAGTCACTCAGGTGCAGTATATACATAGGACAGAAGATAAGACAACAGACAGTTACACAATAGCAATAACAGTAACATGTAATACCATAACATAAATAACATGTAATCAAGTAATCAAAACTGTGCACAATTCTGCGAACAGAGAAAATTTAACAGGACAAAAACAGTGCTGAAACTGGTAATTCTGGCAAGGTAATTCTTGGAACGGTGCAAAAAATAGTATGGTTAAAAGTAGTATGGTTAATTAATAAATATTAAATATAATTATGCCTGTTACAATTTTACTGGGCTATCGAGGGGACAGTACAATTTTGGCTTACATGTGTGTGTGGTGGTGTAGGAGTACAGTGGTTGTGGGTACAGGAGGATGTTAGGAGAGATCATAATAAGGTGGAAGGGAGTGGGGGCGTCACCAACTTGACAGCTCTGGGGAAGAAGCTATTTTGGAGTCTAGTTGTGCGCGACTGGAGTGACCGGAACCTTCTGCCAGATGGTAGGGGAATAAACAAGTTAACCTTATGGTAATCGGCGATTTAAGAGAAACCAGTTATACTGGTAGGTCTCCAGAACCAGAGTTGGCCATATTGAATACAATACAACAAATCCAAAATCACCCTTTCCTGGCTTCTCTTGTGGCTGAAACAGTCATTCTGCATGCTGGGGGGTTTGCTGATACTTTCAATCAATAAAATGACATGAGATAGAAATTCAGATAGCTTTTTTTAGTTTAGTTATAACAAGGAAGGTAGAAGAAAAAGAATACCAGAGACCGATGGCATGCATTACAAAATATTATGAATCTATAAGAATCCTGACTCCAGCTAAACAACAGAGCTATTGTAAAGATGATATTAAAACTAGTTTAATTTACTAAAGTACAGCCATTAAGAAAACGAAGTGCTCTTTTAAAAATGTGCGTATGTACATACTTGAACATATTTAGTTTGCTTGAAAGGTTTATGAAAATGAAGACAGCAAAAATTAAATGTGAATCCACTGTAAAATACACTGTAACACAGAACCACATACCCAATTACTTCAGGCCCCCCATCACAATCTACAGTACCTCTTTCTTTATTTAGTTATTGTTTTTCCAAATATTTTGTCTACAGAGGAAACAATCAATTTCCTACTGAAGGTTGCAGAGCCATTAAAACAATATGTGCCACAGCTCTGGGCAATATGCAACACAGTCAACATTACAAGCAAAACAACGTCAGAGAAGAGGAACTGCACCCATGGTTTACCATGAGAAATTTCCACAGATGATGAAATTCTAAATCATTCCAGACACCTCGATTTTTTAAACTGATTTCCGTTTAACTTATGGCTGCCAATCCATCTGGACAGTGTTAATGCACAGAAGTAGCATACTTTAGTTAGTTTTTTTGTCAACTTAGCAAGTGGTGTTTATTGTTTGTCTGTCTGAAGGAAAAAGAAAATCTGTGCACTCAGACGTGCCATAACAGGAGAAGCCGAAATGTTCTTATTTTAAAAATAGTTATATCATCCCTAGTTCCGCAATGAGATTTTCCACAGAACGAAACATGCGACTCATTTCCACTGAAAAAAAAACAGTCCAAGATGTATACATGCGCTCCTCTAAACTACCTGTAATTAAGAAATCAGAAGTAGGAATGATGCATTCTGGGAAAATGTGTATTATGTTCGCACGAATTATTTAGCTTTCGAAGAAAATATAACTCCATTTCATTAGACATTTCATTAGAAATTAACAGACAGTGCTGCTGGTCTGTGGTACTTACTTTCTTGTGTTTTCTTCTGCTCCGCTCCACGCAAATAGAACCTAAACTGTGTTGTTTTGCAATGCAGAAATCCACTTAGTCATGATGTATGTGTAGAACAAAAAACAAAAGAAAAGCTTTGTTGATAGTCTTTATACAACCCTTGATGTGAATGTAGTATAGCATACTCTTTTGTGATCTTCAAAGCCTGATAGAGAAATTATCACAAACAAAAACTGCATTCTTACTTGTTAAAGGCATTGGGATCAGCGTTCCTGGACAGCAGTAATTCCACACACTTGACAATCTGCTCTTCTGGTGCAGAGGCTATGCATGCTGACATCAGGACTGTGTACTGATCTGAAGGATGGGGTATAAAAGCAACACAGTATTAATCGTATAACATGCAATTCTACTTTGAGGTCACAAGTTCAAAGACATGTTAAACAACGTCTTGCCTAAAAAGCAGAAAATGGTGGACTGAACTTATTAGTAATATGTAACACACTTTCAGTCATTGTAAGTGTTTCTGTAAAGAGAAATAAAAGATTTGTGTCTTCCACAATTAAAGACAAGCATGTAAAAATCAATAATCAATAAAAATATTGTCCAGTTTCCCCTTGGTGAATCATACTGATGCCACTTAGAGACCCTCAAAAGGAGTCTTGCTCAAGACTTTGAGTTTAACCTGTCAGCACTGGAAAATTATCATGGGGGAATCTCCATGCTTCTGTGCAATAAGGTAATGAAAAACTTGCAAAATCTGCTTTTATTCTATCATTGCAGTTTTGTATTTATTGTAAAACTGCACATTACGACCTTAATTCTGCTCTGTAATTTATTACATATTATACTTATTATGTACATTTACACAAGACTGCAAATGAACAACAGAATGCATATATCAAGCTCCATACAGTATGTATGCAATTTCAAAATGAAATGCAACATTGGCAAAAAATAGGGACCACTGCACCCTGTATTTCCTGGGCAAGATGTAATGGTAAAATAACCTAAATAAGTGTTTTTTAGTTGACTCAACACTTTCTGTGAAGTCAACGGATAAGACTGACTACGATAAGAATCTTTCAGGTTCATAACAGATCTTACAACCTTAACAGATATATTCAATTTCAAAACCCCAAACAAAGAGAGCATTCTTTGATTACATAAAGTTAAAAAATTGCTACTTAGCAATAGAGAAAGGGATCAGTGATTTTCTATACGAATAGTAACATATCCTATCGCATCCTATCAATGTAAAGAAAAAGGACTATTTACATGCACTGTCTTGTTATGACAGTCAGACTTTTTTTGCACACTGTAAAATGCCTGTTACTTCATGTACTTAACAAAATAAAACATTTATACTTTTTTATTGCAAGGATACTGCTTCACTGTTCCTGAAAAGGAAGCACTGTATGCGATTCAAAGCCACAACCTTTACCACCACTTAAAACTTAGTTAAAAGAGTGACTTAGAAGCACATGGTGAATAAGTCTGAAATCTGATTTTAAACAGCAGTCATTTCTGTCTGAAGTCTGAAAAAGAAAATAAACAGATCTCTGTGTGCAGCTGACAGAGTGACGACAATGCTCTGCTTTGTGTGCTGGCTTTATCACTAGCATTTTTTGCAAAACTGAAATTAGGAAGTTGTATTTCTAGGTTTTGTTTTTAATTATTTCCTTTTGATGCCTCGAGCTCTGGTTGCCCTCTTACAGCCATTTGTGCAGGACATGTAATTGTCTCCATTTTTCACTCATTGTAAGCCAACTCACTGAGCGTCTTCGTGGTTCGTCGAGACTAACAGATGCATCCAATTTTTAAAAGAAACAGGAATTTGAGTGTAAACTGAAAACATACTGTGAATCAGAGGATGTTTTTAATATTTTCTAATTTGCGTCATAACCATTAAATAATCTCAGACCAACAGTGAATGTTCAAATTATAATTTCATCCCACCTTTGGTAAAAACAAAAAGTAGTTTAAAAAACAGAAACTTAAGCACAGGGCTCACAAACCAAATTCAAATTTCTTGCACATTTTGACAGTAACAACCTAAGATTTAAATATATGATATATTCAAAAATAACTTTTTCTCATTGTTGTATTTTTTTTTGCATTGCTTGAACTGTCACTTGCTCAAAATTTCCATTCTAAAACAATTCATATAAATGTCATACTTTTCCTATTCAAATTAATGTGAATCAGTCTGATGCACAATGTAAACTGTGAAAGGATGGTAATACAGCATGTCACTCTGTTTTCTATGGAGCAAAATACAATTAAATAGTAAAGGTTTAAGTGTAAGGAATCAAAAGAACAAAATAATACTTCTGCACACTGGTTACGTTTGTTTAATGTAGAGTAGTGCATACTAAAGTACAGGTTATCTTAACCATACAGCCATGCATAGACTGTCACTTATAAACATTAAAGCCAGCTCATATTAGCAAAGTTTGGGAATGGCATCATGCTACCTCAGATAAAAACACTGAATGGAATTTAAAAAAAAATGTTTTATATTCTGCTCCTTATCCATCTATCTTTCCAATGGTACCCTTTTTGCTCAAAACAGGAAAACGCCACCTCTTACCTTTACTAAAGTTGGCATTAGCCCCCCGGTCCAACAGAACCTGTGCCAGTTCATAGTTTGCTGTGTGGACAGCACACATCAGCGGAGTCCATTGAAACCCAAGAGGACACTCCACATCCACACCTGGAGGAACAGACAATGCAATAGCAAATCCTGAGGCGAACGTTCTGGAGTACACCGAGGTCACCAAAGAACTAACTTGAGAGTCCAAGAAACGTTAAACCACAAATGTGAGACAATCTAACATATATTTCAACACAGCACACTAGGAATGGACAACCCTGGTCCTGGAGAGGTTATATAGGTCACTGTGCAATCAGCAATTTCTTAACACTGCTAAACACTTTCATTTTGAAACACTTAAGCAGGAAATACACTCTGTGACAGTACAGATCTTACATGCGGCCTAAAACGAGAGTGAAATACTTTCCTTTGTTTCTGAAGACCCCCGTTGATCCCTGGGTCAGAATCAATCATTTAACGATCGTTGGAAATGAAAATACCAGATCCCTTTAGTTCTCAAGGGCCTCACATGGCCATTAACTGACTGAAGTGAATTAATTTACTAAACCAGTTAAAATACGAGAGTTTGAAGTTTTTAAGACATGGCTTTGGAGTGACCTATAAGAGTTATAGGATTGTCTCTTGGGATCTAAGGCATACCACCTTGCAATAGACTGACCTGCAAAGAATAGAGTCTTACACTCAATTCCAGGAGGGTCTCTTCTTGCTGCCTTCAAGTTATCTTTAAGCTACCCAGCCATTTTGTTGAAGCCGATACCCTGGCTTCTTTAAAAAAATGTCTGGATGAAATCTTTGCATCACATCTTTGCATCATTAGCACCACAAAGCTGAGGTAAAATTGCAATCATGAACATAAATAATTACACCCACTATGTAACTGAAAAAGTGGTGGAACAGTAATCAAAAGATACTAGGTCCTCTACGAGTTATTACTGAATGCCTAATACAGAGCCATTGTAGTGATCAATTTCAAAACTGACAACTTAAATTTCATTCTAGAATCAATACAAGTAAAACACTTCTCCAATTGCTGTTTTATAATTATGTAAATGATCCATTTAAACCACTTTCTCTGAAACTCAATACAAATGAACAATGGAATGTGCCCATAGAAAAGACAAAAAAAATTACCACTGTCCAACAACTGTTTGACCATCTGAACATCTCCAGAGGACAGAGCTTTTTTGAAAGTGTAAATTTTATCATCTTCGGGTACTGAGGTATTAGAGCTCTGGGGAAAAAAACACAGAACAAGAGGAAAATTTAGGGAAAACTGTAAGATTTTCTAAATATTTCATCAAGCAAGTGTGATAAAGTATGAAGAGTTCATTCTTAGAATAAGGGAACTGAAGATTGATAGCACATCCTAAAACCTTCAAAGAATTTGTGTCAAGCAAGATATACACATACAGTACACGTAAGCCTACTGTATACACAAAGAATTACAAAATGCTTGGAACTGCATGTAAGTCTAGAATGTATTCCTGAGCTACAGGCAGAGGAGAAAAGCATGATTATGGTCAAATATTAAAATCCTGGAGAAGCCTGGTTGCCTATGACTGTGGTTAACAAAATTCCAGAGGAGGCTCAGTGACTCAGTGAAGAGGGGTGATTGTTCGGGTGCATTTGGCAGGAGCTTCAGTGACCAGGACAGCTCAACTTGCTGATGTTTCATGAGTACTGACATCTAAGGTGATGTCAGCATGGAACCCCAAGAGAAAGACCTCCACAAAGGAGCGCAGTGGGAGAAAGCACATTCTCCAGGATTGCACTCCGATTAATTAATGGATATCGCAGGGCTAACAGAAGCCTGCATACCACCGACTGCAAATTTCAACCTCAGGTGAGAGCAAGCTTGTTTCTCAAAAACAGCCCACCAAGAACTCCATATGGTGGGACACCACAGTTGCTCACTGCACATGGCAATGCACATTTGCAAGTCCAGGTTTACAAGGAGCAGAGGCAATCAACTACAGACCAGTTAAGACCTATGGTTTGGACAGATAAATCATCTTTCACCATGTTCCTGACAAACAGATGAGTTCATGGGGGGTGTTCACCTAAAGAACTCTACAGCCCTGAGTGATTGGTCCCAACAGTAAAAGGTTCTGGTGGTTCCATCATGTTGTGGGATCCACTTTTCTGACACGGTTTGGACACACTCCTTCACAAGGTCAATACTATTGCTCATAAATGGTTCTGAGGGATCATCTTCACCCCATGTTGCAACATTTCTTTCCTGCCAAAAAGACTGTCTTCCAGGATAACAGTGACCCCCACCCACTGACCATGTGTAGTCACCCAATGGTCTGATGAGCAAGACACTGATGGTATCCACCTATCAGTCACCAGATCTGAATCCAATTGAGCATTTATGGGATATTCTGGAAAGACACCTAAGTCAGTGATTCACACCTTCATCAACACTTTCCTTGTGGAAGAATGGTGCTGGCTCCATCCTTTAGAATTCCAGACACTAGCAGACTCTGTGCCACTGTGGGTGAACACAGCAACTGAATGGCCTTTAATTGACTTTTCACTAGTGAGAGGGAAAGACTTTTCCATTTTTTTGTCCACTACCTGTACGTCTGAGTTTTAACTTAGATATAGGCCTACAAATTGCAAAAGTCATCTACATTTATTAACACCATAAGAATCAACTCTAACAAAAAGACCACACAACCCATTTAGCTTATTTCACTGCTTGTGGCTAATTTATTTGAGATATCATCCAGCCGTTGACAAAAGCCAGGGTATCCACTTCCAGTGGTTTTTCCTCATTGATTTAGTTTCCTCTCCTGTTAATAAGACACATTATACTTAAAAACTAAACAATCAATTGCTCTTAGGATTCTGAAATGCAATCATGTACAGGCTATTTTTCAATACATTTTTTCTTAGGCCATAGAGGTCTAAACAACACACAAAGTAAAATATAGTTTCTTAAAATTGTGGATATTTGTGCAATTCAAATGTTCAGTGCTGTTGTTGTTAACTTTGTTAACGATGCTACTGTATGTGCAAAAAACAGTCCTTTCTATTTGCTCAGTGACTGCATTATTTTTAGACTGCCGCCCTCTACTGGTTTAAAGGCTTTCTTAGTTCAGTAAAAGCACGTTGTGTAGTGCAAATAGTTTTATAATCAATACACAAGGTATATATTAAACATATTAAGACTTTGGTTTGGTATCATTTAAATAAGGATGTTTTCCAAACATTGTACCGCTCTCAGCTCCATTAACTAACTGTGGAGTTCACCAAGCAACAGATTTACACAGCATTAAAATTTTTAAAAATAAATGATTATTTTTAAGCATTGCTTCAATTATCGTAACTATTCATGCAGTCCGTTGCGGGTGCTGCATTATTACCAAAAGAGGCGTACAGAGGCGTCATATATTCATACAAGACCCCGTAGGATCTTCATTATACAGTCCATGTCTTGAGGAGGGGCCAAAGACTTGTCGCTTCAAAAGATCGAACACGTGCTCACGAAGTTTGATCTTCGCTTCCAGTAAAACCACTCAAATACCAAAAAACTACAAAATACACAAATAAAATAATAATTAGGAATACATATTTTCGAAAACCGCACCAAATGCCCGTTTTCACGTTTAAAACCGACGACCAACAGACCTTCAATCTCTACGGATTATTTGTAAAGCAACAACAAAATTTAAAATCGTTATATGCATCGTTTAGAATAACATAGAATACAGTTTATTTTACACGCAGACAGCAATAACCACGTCGTGTTTTAAAAATTTTGCTCGATTACCCGCTTTGAGCCGACCGTTGTGGTACTCGCTATCATCTATCTAATCCGTTTGTTTTCAAAGACAAATGCCTTTTTCTTTCTTTACCTCCGAGTTTGGTTTTCGGGAATATCCAAGTTCCCATTCCTCGTCACTTTCACTACTTTCATCCCCAGCAGGGTAAGCATTTTCAACTTCTTGATGCATGGCGATTTTTTTTATTTAACTGCGAACAGCAAGTCGCCTTTGCTATGGATAGCCGCGAGACCAAACCGACCGAAACGCTAACCCGTGCGCGACCCACGGTGCTCAGTCTTCCGTGTACATGATTAAGGTCTGTAAGGTATTGTCAGACGCGTGTATGCTGCAGCTAAGTGCATGCTATATTAAAACCTTATGGGGTATCTTTTCGCGGTTAGTGCAGGGCCCCCAAAACTCTGGGAGCGTTGAACTGGAGTGCCAACAGGACTGAAAAACCTAAACATGTACCGTACAATTCACTAAATTGTACTCGTCATCAAAGATTCAGTAAATGTTAGAGACCAGACATAAACAAACATCCAATTTTCAGCGCTGGTGAACACAGACGTTTTTTTTTAAGTGTTAATAAGTCTTTTTCCCCCCCTGGTGTATAGGCTACTACCACCGGTACCCCCGCACTGCAGACAAAGAAATTCTGCCTTTGAAATCCCAGCTGCACAGACATTGAAAAACTTCTAGTAATTTGATAGGATACGGATACTTAGCAAGGAAAGACGTGCTGATTAGACGATCTAAAAACCAGCTGCTGGAAGGTCTATTATCCACAACAACCTGGACCCTATACAAATAAGCTTTTGTGACTAAGAAACATATACTGTATATAAACTGTATACTGTAAATGTATTGTAAATGTATTGTTACTGTCTGTCAGTCTCTCTGTGGCCCAGTCTTTCTGAAGTCCACCAGAGGTAAAACGTTCAAGATCTCATTTTGGGGTCTGTTTGCAGTGCCCAATACAAACTTCTAACAATCTTACCGTGTTCCCGTGATAAGGTGGCAGTGATCTATGCAGAACCCAACTATTACATTCCCCATGCATTTCATCAGTGTGTAGCCCCTGCTTGTAGAGGAAACCATCCTGATTCTAAATATTACCATGATCGGTTTTACAAGAAGGCTTTATTACATGCTTATCCTGTACTGTAATTTTCTTCGAAGGAATCTAGCGATTTGTATGGTAATAGAACAGGGTTAACTTGGTCCTTGAACTTGTTACAGTGATGTAATCTGCTAGAAACCTCGATAGCCTTGAATTCTCCAGTGTCTGGTCTTTTGTGTAGCAGAACTTACTGGTGTCTGAAGAGCAACTATGGGACTGAGAGATGGGAAGAGATGGACTGAGGTCCTGACAAAAAGACGCACACACCGTGGCAGTTAATCTTAATAATCTGCTGATTTATAAATTCAGGACAGCAGTGCTTTTACAATGGCCATGACTGCTAAATTAGGGTTTCTGCCCACTGTCAGCTTATTTTGCTCACAAGTCCCAGTTTATACACTGTAGTTCTGTACTTCCTCTTCATATACTGTAACTTTACCTTTTTTTGTTACACAGTGAACATCTTTATTGTTCTGCATTGAAATGGTTTGCTGGTCAAATGTCATTTCAGCGTGTGCTTCAGTGAACTCATCTTAATGAAAGCTACAGTATACTGTACTTTGAAATGGGTTCTCTGTCTTTGTACAGGCTATCTCCTGTGTTTTTTATTGTTTTATCCCACAACAATTTGAATATAAACTATTATCACATGCTGTCGGTGTGTTTCATGAAGACACTGCAGTAGAAAGGTTAGTCATGGGATAATGCTACAGAATGTACTACAGTCTGCCTTATATAGTGGTTCAGGTGGGTAGCTGCATCAGCATGCGTAGTCTGCAAAGGAACAAGTAATAGGTTTATTCCATGCTGAAAAAAGAAGAGAGAAAACACAACGTTTTGGCTGTGAAGCCTTCTTCAGGTGTCCTGAAAAAATAGTTTTATGCATCGTTCAGAATAACACAGAATATAGTTTATTTTATATGCAGACAGCAAAAACCACATCATCCTTAAAATATTTTGCTCGATTACCTGCTTTGCTTTGAATTTTTGTTGGTGCTCTTGTTAAATGATGACTCCATGCTTGGTGGCTAGTCTTACCATGATTAAAATGTTCTGGTCTTTTTGGTGGCCATCTCTTCTTCCCACTATCTGACATCATTGGATCCTGACTTTTCCAGTCATCATTTGTGTAGAGTATTTTATTTCTCAGGTTTTTGGTGCCAGGATGGGAAGCACCTTGGATGTACAGTATGGGGCACTGGTGGTCCAGCCTGGTCAAGCCTGGATTTACTGTACAGTGGGTCCATTACTTTTGTGTGATTTAATTTATGGCATCTTTTTGCAGCATACTGTCAAAACATCTTTTTTTCACCTTAGAAATATCGCTAGACCATGCCCTATGCTATCAATAACTGTGGCTGAAAAGCTGATCAACACATTTGTGTTCTCTCGAATTGACTACTGTAATGCTCTACTCGCTGGGGTATCTAAATCTACTCTGAACAAACTGCAGTACTGTATGTCCAAAATTCAGCAGCCAGAATCCTGACCAGGTCTAGTGCAAGTGTACACATTTCTCCTATCCTGGAGTCCTTGCACTGGCTTCTGGTCAAATTCCGTGTGGACTTTAAAATCCTCATGCTCACCTATAAGGCTCTGCATGGCTTGGCACCTCAGTACCTGTCTGAACTATTATCGCCCTATTCCCCGCCTCACAACCTTCGCTCTTCTAATTCTGGTCTCCTAACTGTCCCCCAAGCCCGTCTACATTGTATGGGTGACAGGGCCTTCTCCTGTTATGTCCCCAAGGTCTGGACCTCTCTGCCCAAGAATATCAGAGAGTCACCTTCTCTAAACTCCTTCAAATCCAGACTCAAAACCCTCTTCTTTAGAAAAGCCTTTACTTATCTGGTTCCATTCTTTACCCCTCTGCTTTTCTTAGTACCACCATCCATGGTCTCCTCTATATATTGTAATTTTGTTTTATCTTGTGTATTCTTCTTATTTATTGTTGTTGTCATCTTGTAAAGCGCTTTGAGAAGCCACCTTTAAAGGCGCTATATACAGTAAAATAAAGTGTATTATTATTATTATTATTATTATTATTATCTTTTGGCTGGATATTTGGAGTGCGAGTGACCGGAGATGGGGGTGGTTGATAGGGTGGGAAAAATGTTGTTTTTCTTTTGTTTGGGGAACCTTTATATTGTATTGATTCTGTCTGTAGGAAAAAAGAATGGCAATGTACTCCAAAATAGAACAAACACTTGAGTTCTCAGGCAGGCATGTGTGTTGGATCACTTTTCAGCTCAGCTTGACAATATCTTTGTTCACAAGGTTTGAGTTTCTCTTTTGTTACGTCTGTCTGGCTAAAACACTCCGAGGTATATATATATAAAACAATACTTATTTTGCAAATATAAGCATTTGTTCTATTTTGGGGCATGTTCCTATTTTTATATACTATTTTATTTGACTTGGAGGACTTTTTTCTGGGCTTGATAGAAGGGCTTGTTCCCTTTATTTGGATGGATGCTTTTTTGGGCAAGATAGTCACTGGCACCTGTGATTGTTTTATTTCGAGTCAGTTATGTTTTCAAAAATGTATAAAAATGTATTCAGTGAGAGACTGGAAGCAATGTTATGGAATGCTCTGACAAAAAAGTAATCCTCTACTGTTCTGGAAATTTCTATTACTTACATAATGTGTTTTTATATGTTTTACTGGGATTAGGCTTGGTTTGTGAGCTTGGTACCTATTGGAACACCACCCTCTACAATTAATAAGCCATTTTACAGCAGCCTTTCAAAATTATTCTTTACATTATTGGAGGTAATAAAAAAAATGTATCTGTCTCATGCTTTGCCTTGACTTTGTTTCCAAATGTTAAGAATATTCAAATACAAATCCATTGCGGTTTTCTGTGTTTTGATAGATAGATACTGTACTTTATTGATCCCGTGAGGGAAATTGCAGTGCAACAGCAGCTTAACACAGACAACACAGTCACAGTGTAACGAATGATACAATAATAATAATACAATACAATCAGTACAGTGAGGGGTGCACTAAAAGAGTTACCCACAGTCCGGACACATAAAGAACAAACTAGAACAGAACAGTACACAGAAAAATCATATTACACATATGAATATAAATATAGATGTAAATATAGATATAGATATAAATATAAATATAAATGTATTGCACAGGTCCCTGGCATATATTGGCAAAAAACGGTTGTAGACGGGAAAGGAAAAAGAAAGAGAACAGATGTAGCAGTAGATGTGTAGATGCGTTGAGTCCAGAAACAGGTCACTGTCGATGTTGCCTCTGCCCAGACGCAAGGTGGATGCGTTGTACAGTCTTATGGCAGAAGGCAAGAATGACCTCCTGTAGCGCTCCCTGTCGCACCGTGGATGAATCAGTCAGAGTTGAAGCTCTAGGATGGGCTCATAGATCAACCCCTACCTCACCGAAGAGTTTTTGTGGCTCAGGTTAAAATGCATTCATTAGACGTCCACTCAGGTTACTTCTGAACCATCAGCAGTAGCTGTGCTTCACCGTTTTTATCTGTGTTCCACAATGGAATGTCTAAACCTTTTTAATCCTTAGAAAATATGTAGGAAACTTGAAGCTAACAGAAAGTTCCCAGTATCAGTAACAGTTACTTTGTTTTAGTTAATTAAGAATATTAAGCTGAAAAGTCTACACCCATTTCGGTGCATACAGTAGAAATGAAAAACAAACACTGCATCTGTACATTATAATAAAAACATGTTCCTATAAAATAATTGAAGATTTAAAGCAGAAAAAGATTTGATTTAACTTTAGTCAGTTTTGTAGAATGTTTCAATATACTGTACAATAGCAGTGATTTAGGTCTCTGAAGGTCTTGTTTGTAGCATTGAAATACTGAACAGCTCCTCCAAAACAGCAAAGATAGCACTAAAGTACAAACAGCTACAGTATGTAAAAGCTTTAAAGAAGGTTGTGGGGGAGGATTGCTGGGCATGAGATGCAGCTGGTTCCCAAGTTTTGAATGCTGAAATGTGGTAGCAGTTGTTTTTTTGTAAATGTGCAAAAAAGATCATTAATACTGTATGCTTGAGTTGTGCTTGTAGGTGCTGAGAAAAAGAAAAAGCCTCTTTGGTTTGGAAAAGTGTTATTCCATAGGTTTTGTTTGGTCTCATGTTCTTATGTTGTAAGCAGTGTTTCACCGACCCCTACGTTTAGCACTGCATGCGGTCTAGATTGGAATATTTGTTTCTTTAGTGTTTCTTTTTGATCACCTCTCCAGAGTTCTCTGAAATTTTCATCTAATTTTGGAAAAAAGACTTACAAACAAATATTTTAGTTTTCCCTTGTGTGATGAGAACCATGTTAGCTTTCTTACTATTTTCCCTGTTGAAGACACCTTAGATGTTGTAACACAGTAAGGTTATTTAGGTATTGAATTCACATATAATTGAAATACAAAAATTATTTCTTATTTAAGATTAAATAAGTTTACATAACTTTTTATTTTTAATAATGTTTGTTTCTGTATTGATTGCCTTACACTCTGTATGTTATGGGGGTCAGGTTAATATTTATTGCTCCTCTTTAAAGCTTTGAAAAGATAAGAATGATGCAGTATATACCTGTATACAAAGTAAAAAAACATGAGTTATAGAGTAACTTTGTTTCAAATAAAAGTTTGCCGACACATTATTACATGACTGTTTACAAAATTTTATTTCATTTTTCAGTGTTGTGTGGTACAATCAAGACTTACAGATGCATGCTTTGCTTTGCAAATGTTTATGGATGTAAACACTGACTAAACATAAATATCTTAAATCAGAAACAGGAAAGCATGATGCATTGCCATCCTTTGATGTTTACAGTTGAAACAGAAATGTCAGAACAGACATGTGAGAAGTTAATCTTATATTCTTAGGCGTTTAGGACAGAATTAACAAATATAGATGCTAATACACTGCTTAAATTGCATGAAGCTGTGTGACACAAAGAGCCAAGATGCAGTTCAGGAGGAATTGCTAATAAGGGATATTTAAAAAAGAAATGCTTGGAGTAAATGACAAAATTGTCTGCTGCATTTTTTTTTTCTGAAGATGGATATGCAGATTCTATCTTTATTCTTACCCGTTTTAGGAATAGGTTTGGTTGTTACCATAATTGTGAATTCTCCTGTGAGTACTGTACAAATTGCATTTAAATTATTTTTTAAAATAATTGTCTTGAAAGTCTTTGTTTTTCTTCAATAATATACAGCAGCAAAAAGAACTTTCTTGATATTTGTCGTCAGTTATAAAATAATAGAAATCACAATTTTGTATTATGTACCATACTGCAATTTAACACTTAATGCTCTGTGAAAATGGTGTTCATTCCCCAGTTCATTTCTTCTTGTCCGTAAGAAAACGCTTTAATGATATTGAGACTTAAACATCTTGTCAAACGCCTTGGCCGAAATAAGAATTCCCCTGCTGTTTTTTTGCGCAATGTTGCCTAAATGGAAATCAAAACTTCAGAATGAAATCTGGCAGAGGTGGGTCGCACACTGCTATTCAAAATCAGTCCCTTTAATGTACTGAGTGTTCTAGGTTAACAGACTGAGGAGAAAATATTCAGTGAACGCAGAACACACAAGGAATTTATCGTGGGCTCTGAGCGTGGAGTTCGACAGCGCAACTCTTCAAACCTTCTGGTTTGTCCTTCGCACACGCTATAACCAGGGCAGAGCCAATTAAACCAGTGACATCACCGCACACATATCTTGACATGGAGAACAAAACCGGGGACTTGATTCAATTTTGGAGACTTTATAGATGACCAGTTTAACCAGCACATCTCTCAGGTGCACGGAAGCTGTTTTAGAATGCAGAAATCACCTGCAGAAGATGCTAACGCCTTCTCGAGATTTTTTTTCTGGTAAGATTGTTTTTTTTTACTCTAGTTTCAGTCAAGGATAAAAATGAAACCACAATTCTTTTCTTCTGTCATAGAAATTGAAGGAAGTTTTGCTAAAGTTTTGCAGTGCAGATGTGAATCTGCATTTAGCTTATTCGTTTTGGTAGTCCTAATATTTTTTTAGAAATACTGTATGTACTTTCCCCTGCACGTGGTTCATTAACCTGCTGTTTGATAATTATATAGCATGACTTTTCTTACTTTCATTTTTATATTGAAGTTTGAAAATATAATACGACTAACAGATTAACTTATTTACCTTGTCCGAAGTTATTTCAGAACTTTATGAAGTGCACCTGCAGCGACGTGCCTGAGGATCAGATTTCATTAAAGCTTTCCCGAGTTATAGGAAATTAAGAAGTCAGCTATTGTTTAATGAATTCGCATTTTTTAATTCGATTTTCTTTTATGACGTGGTTATGAGTTAACTATTGTTAAACATTGCCAGTGTTTTTTTTAAATACTTTGGAGCGGGAGATCTTCTTGGTGTCAAAATGTGAGAATACAATTATCACAAATGAAAGTATTGAAAGCGGTGAAGTAATTCATCATTAGTTTCCTTCACGTAAAACGTAGTTTTAGAAAACATGTACTCTAGTAAATAGCGAGTACGTAACTACTGCTGAGTAGATACAAGTAAATACACCAGTGTGTTTTGTACAACTTTTTCAACTACTGTATGTGTTAAAAGCTTGCATAATTGTTTGTGTTGTATATTCTTTCCATAATATATTAAATTTAATCACAGACAACATTTGTTCTAGGAGAAGCAGTGACTGAACCATTGTGACATTGTTTGTATACTTACTGTAGATGACAGTTGTTTCTCAATAAAGGCAATTAGGTTATAATAATTACAAACAAAGATCCCCTTCACACTCTATTTACTTAAGTTTACAATAGATACTATTGACATGTATGATATCTGTCATAAATCTGTGAATGTAGATCTATGTTCAGTAGGTAGTAGTGGCATTTATAAATCAGTGATACATCTGTAAATGTACTGTAGGTCTGATTTATGATGATTTGTTTTTTTTTACAGGTGGGCTTCACCAATTTTGAGAAAGGGATACAGGCAGAAATTAGAATTATCAGATGTTTATCAGGTGCCTTCATTTGACTCGGCTGACCATCTTTCTGAAAGACTAGAAAGGTTTGCATTTATCGCAATCTTTCACTGAAGCTTTCAGGCGCAACGTCCAGAAAATTGTATTTTTACCTTTAATTGCAATAATACCTTAATCTGACTATTTTAGTCTTTGAGTACAAATATTTATTGATATATCCATTATATATAACATTTCTGTTCTGTATGTACATTAAAGAAAAACACTATAAATAACTCTTTCTTGTTACCCTTTTGTGATATGCACTGTAACCATCATCTTATGTTTTGAATAGCAGGTCCTTTAGTTGACCTGCTATTCAAGTGTATTTCCTACTGTATTTCCAGAGAAACCCTGTACAGTACTTGTTTTAGCAACTGAAACTTTCAGCTGTAGGTCTTACTTGAAATGTGGGTAGGCATTTGAGACACCAGACACTGTGAAATATTCCCAAAAAACACACGCCTTACCCATCGTATCTCTAGCAGTCTATGCGGTTATATTGCCGATTATAATTAAAAAGTCTTGCAAATGTCACCAATTAGGATATTTACCATTGAAAGCCCAGGCCACCCCCAAATGTCACCTCTGTCATTCTTTAAAGACACAAACATGCGACTTAAAAGATGTTTGCCCTTGTTTTTACCCTGTTTGGGATTGGAGCTCCTCCAGGCCCTTATTTTTACCATTATTTGTGTATTTCTCTTTAGATCTCAGCAGTTCTCTTACATAAGCATGAAACGTGACCTTTTAAACTGCCAGCCCCCTGTTGGGTGATATATAGTTAGCCATTTTTAATCAGCCAAAAATGTGGTCTACTGGGAATTTGAACTTTTATTCAATTAACAAGTTGGTACCCTTTCGATCTTCAAGGTCTCTGTGTACTTTACTGTTTAATAAGTTAGCCAGATCTCCCTGGTTATACGTGAGTCAACCTAACTATGTGAAAAAAGCTGTGTAGTCTGTTTCCACACAGTGACAGTTTTCTAATTGCCTTGTTTTCGGTCTTTGGTAGAGAATGGGACAGAGAACTTGCATCATCGAAGAAAAATCCCAATCTTCTCAATGCCATTCGCCGCTGTTTCTTCTGGCCCTTTGCCTTTTATGGAGTCCTGTTGTACTTTGGGGTAAGTTTCTGACTCTTAAGTTGTATCTAAAACAGGATGAAAAGAGATTTAATAAGAACAATATACAGTATGGGTTTCATTATTTAGGATGCTCTCATTTGTATTTGATATTAACATTTAATTATACTTATTTCGCAGTCCCATTCAAAATTAGGATGTTCTGCATTAGATGACCAATTAAGTAGGCATACTCCTTAATTCAGTAGCTATTATCTGTGTGGACCTATGACGTTATTTTATTATCAACTGTTGTTTGATGTGTTCCTAAGTGGAACACTTCAGAAACGCAACATTTGTAGTCTTAATACTAATAATTCTTAAGTTTTGTGAATGTTAATCGAGAAATCCAAGCATATTTTCATATACCTGCAATAACAATCCATTTTAATATGAAAAAAAAACAAACAAAACTGTGGCAATAGGGCTGCAATAAGAACTGTGAGGATGTGTTTTTGTACAGTATGTGCAAAGGTGATGTCTGCTTGCATCTGTCTGCATGAATGGCACACAGATTCTCAAGCTTTTAATAAAAAAACATCAAAGTCAAGTCTGAGAAAAAGAGGCATCAAGTTTGGGAATTTTGTTTGCATAGATATCACAAAACACACTCAATAGTTGCATTCAAGGTCCATTCATCTATCATCAGATTTAAAGGAGACACTGGGGATTGTTTCCACACAGGAACAGTTATGGTTGCAGACTCAACTGGTAATTATTAAACAACAATAACCTGATAATAAACACCATTCTCCCCAAGAATGGGAACCACCTGACAAGAATATCAAGCTGCTCAGTTGCTTCTTCAATTGTTTCTTTGAAACAACAAAGGCTAAGATATTTTTCTCTACCTAGTTCACGTCCTGTTTCACATACAGTACATTAGCAGACTGTATATACAGTACTGACCATTAATAGGAATGTCATATGCATTGTTTGCTCTGATGAATATCCTGTAGTTTGATGCAGTGACTATACAGTGTGTGTAGTGGTCTCATCTGGCAACGATTCAGCATTTGCATACCGGATAAAAATCAAAAGACTAAGTGAGGTCTGTGTTGGGGAACAAAAACATTTTGGTGGCAATAGCCATATCGGTGTGGAAGACCATTACTGCTGACTTTAGGATTCAGCTTGCTGCCAATGGTCATCGCACATCATGGTCTTATACTGAGCATTGTTCAAAATCTGTGCCCCATTAACCAACTCGGCAACACTAAAGTCATTACAATCCCCGAATCTTTTCATTTTGGAATCCGTGTACCCACATGGCAATGGTTATCAAAGACATTCTGTGTCCTTCTAGAATTAGTATCATGCATTGGCCGACTTTTTATAACAAGACGTTATAACTTAGACGTCCTGAGCACCTGTGTGTTGGGCTGGGTTGACAGATCTCTAATATTTGCTGTAGAGATTGAGTGGAGGAACATTCCTGTGGTCTCATGGAACATCTCTGCCAAACCATTTCCATGCTTGTGGTGAAGATTCCCACTTCTGTAGGAGCACATGACTTGAAAGCATCATGAGTTCTGCACAACAAGTATCTTTTGAACTTTTGTAACTGAATAACTCTTACTTGACGGAGTCTAATTTCATGAACAGGTTTGATAGATAGATACTTTATTGATCCCGTGAGGGAAATTGCAGTGCAACAGCAGCTTAACACACACAACACAGCCACAGTGTAACAAATTATATAATAATAGTACAATACATACAATACAATACAATACAAGAGTTACTCACAGTCCAGACACACAAGAACAAACTAGAACAGAACAGTACACAGAAAATCGTATCACACATATGAATATAAATATAGATGTAACTATAGATATAAATATAAATGTATTGCACAGGTCCCTGGCATATATTGCACAAAAAATGGTTGTAAACGGGAAAAATAAAAATAAAAAGAAAGAGAACAGATGTAGCAGTAGATGTGTAGATGCGTTTAGTCCAGAAACAGGTCACTGTCGATGTTGCCTCTGCCAAGATGCAAGGTGGATGCGTTGTACAGTCTTATGGCAGAAGGCAAGAATGACCTCCTGTAGCGCTCCCTGTCGCACCGTGGATGAATCAGTCTATTGCTGAGCGTGCTCTTCATTCCTGCAAGCCTGTCATAGAGGGGATGGGAGGAGTTGTCCATGATGGCCTCTAGTTTGGACATCATTCTCCTCTCAGCCACTACCTCCAAGGGGTCCAGGTCAGACCCAATGACAGAGCTTGCTCTCCTGATGAGCTTGTTCAGCCTTTTGGAATCCACTGCTCTAATCCCAGAGCCCCAGCACACCACTGCGTAGAAAATGGCACTCACTACCACCTACTGATAGAACACGTGTAGCATCTTACTACACACATTGAAGGACCTGAGCCTTCTCAAGAAGTAAAGTCGGCTCTGTCCCTTCTTATAGATGGCCTCGATGTTCTTAGACCATTCCAGTCTATCATTGATGTGCACTCCCAGGTACTTGTACGAGTCCACCATCTCCACGCCACTCCCATGGATGTAGACAGGAGTAGGTTGACCTTTTTCCTCCTGAAATCTACCACCAGTTCCTTTGTCTTTGTTACATTCAGTTCCAAGTGGTTCACCCCACACCACTCCACAAAGCTGCTGACCAGTCCTCTGTACTCCTCCTCCTGCTCACCCTTGATACAGTACATCCCACAATTGCAGAGTCATCTGAGAACTTCTGCAGGTGGCATGACTTTGAGTTGTACTTAAAGTCCGAAGTATAGAGGGTGAAGAGGAATGGAGAAAGAACTGTCCCTTGAGGTGCCCCTGTGTTACTCATTACCTGTTCAGACACACAGTTCTGAAGTCTCACAGACTGTGGTCTGCCTGTCAGGTAGTCAGTGATCCACGAGGTCGTGGAGGCATCGACTTGCACTTTCACTTTACAGAGAAAGTATTATTGAATTAGTTCCTGAGATAAGACTGAAATTAATAAAACGTCTATTTTGCTCTTCTTCTTTATGAATTGTCAGTGATATATTTTAATTATAATTATCATTATTTTTCTCTCTATGCTAAGAATTCCACATTGGGGTTTGAAAAAAAGGTGTTGGGGTTTTTAAACCTTCATGTTAAGCAACAGTAATATTTTGGCTGTAGATTTGAATTTTGTGACAAACTTATGTAGGACATTTCAAGGACAATTTGTTGGAAATCTTTTAAATCATTTTCAGAAAGGGTGAGTAAATTTACTAATGAAGATTAACACTCCTTTTTGGTTGTGTGAAAAAAAGAACATAATAGTATTGCAGGATCAGTCCTTTCAGATTACACCTTTTTTCTTATTGTCTTTTTCACTTATTTTTCTGATTGGATGAAGCTTTCCATGTCAAAGAGCTTTTCTGTTACAGCGTACAGAATATCACTTGGACTGCTGAACTTTATCACATTTCCATTACAAATGTAGTTTCTTACAGTGTTTGTTTATTTTTATAAAACAGGAAGCATCCAAGTCTGTCCAGCCACAGCTCCTGGGCAGAATAATTGCATCATTTGATCCCTTCTATGAGACAGAGCGAAGTCAAGGTTATTACATGGCCCTGGGTCTCTCCCTGCTTTTTATTACAAGATCTCTTCTGCTCCAGTCTGCCATCTTCGGCCTTCATCACTTAGGGATGCAGATCAGAATAGCTTTGTTCAGCCTTATATACAAAAAGGTAATGTTTGCTCTTTATGTTGCCTTTCATTTTTTGGCATTATTTTTTAGTTCTTTTATTCTCCATTCCGCTTACATCACCTGAACTTTTCATTTGTTCCAGACTCTAAAACTGTCAAGCCGTGTTCTCGATAAAATTAGTACTGGCCAGCTGGTCAGTCTGATGTCTGCTAATCTCAACAAATTTGATGAGGTAAGTTTTAATTAATGACTGGCTTGAATTGTGTTGTAGAAATTGCCAACATACTGTACACCTGTGCTCTTGGCCAATATGAATCAGTATTTTAAAGAAGACAAATTTAAAACATCATACTGTAACACTTGAGATTACTAGGATGAAATATATTTATACACTATAAATTATGTAACATGAATGTGATAATAAATGTCCTCTAGTGTAGATTGATTGGATGTTAGAAACAAAATCTTAATTCTGACCTTAACCCAAGGTTAGAGGTGTTTAATTATTCCTGTTTATAATGTCACTAATAACATGTTAATAGATTGCTTATAGACAGTTATTAATGAATACCTGAAAGAATATATAAGGTGGATAACATGCAATGTTTACAATTCTGACATGAATTATAATATAGGTAAGAGAGTAATAAAATAAGCGGATGAATCATAGGACTTGAAATACAGACCTTGAATTACTAACAATCCTCAAGAGTCTTGAACATTGTTTCTGTTTCATAACTCAAAGGCATCTATAAGAAATGGTTTGATTTCTATTAGGATTTAGGACATTTCTTTAGAAACCCACAATTCATCTGTATGTTATTTCATAAGGGCTAACTAAGCAACTTCATCTAACACACTGATTGAATATGAGAAAACTACAGTATGAAACCCTGTCAATTAGAGAAAAGTGAAACAAATGCTCTGAACCTCTCCAAAGGTAGAGTTCCAGTGTTGAATGTGCATACACATTGCAATTGCTTCAAAGCAATTATCACTTGTTCTTCACACTGCCCATACAAATTGGAGGTATTTCATAAGTTTGTGCCTTACTTGCAACGTTAGTTACTTGGGCTGCTCTGGCTGTGGTGGTACCGTGTCTCTAAAAGTTTGTGTTTTGTGTTTCGAATTCCAGAGCCTTGGTCTTGCCCACTTTGTGTGGATTACCCCCTTGCAGTGCATGCTGTTGATGTGGTTTATCTGGGATCTGATTGAAGCCTCATCGTTCTGTGCACTGGCTTCTCTAACTCTTCTAGCCATTGCTCAGGCCTGTCTTTCCCATAGGATGGATCCGTACAGGTGCTAAATGTTTATCCTTGTCTTCATGTTAAATGAACTGAAGAAAAAAACTTAAAGTGTTACTAGTATGCATCCTGAAAAATTTTTTTTTTGTGGTTTCCTAACAGCAATGACTACAATTACACAGATGTTAAGCAGAAGATTCAATAAACATAGTTCCCAAAGGTTTTCAACAAATAAAGCAGAGAAGCTAAAAGCAAGTGGATGGCACAGTAAAAAAAAAAGTGTATAGAAAGTATAGATATTTTGTAGGGGCCACTAATGACAAACAGACCTCAGTTTTGTGTGGCTGAACACCAGTATTTCCCATGAACGAGTACTGTAATTACACGGCCCCGTGCGGCCACTGCTCAACTTCTTATAGGGCCTATTGATGTTCATCCACACAAGAGTGAGCAGAAGCAGGTCTGTGAAGCCCTTAGATTCCCAGAGCTGCCTGCATGCCACACTGAACGGTGTTTTCACCTGTCAGTACTAGCCTGTCATTAGGTGTACATTTATTGATTTGGCTTGATGAGAATTATATGTGTGAATTTAGAGCAGAAAGTACAATTTGCAGTTGAGGCGGTAAATGTTTTATTACAGACGTTTATTATTGTTGGTTGTTGAAGAGGTACAATGACAGAACAAGGTATCACTGCTGGTATTCTGAATTTGATTTTAAATGCTTGGGATGTCACAGTGCTCTGTCCTCTGCTCACTGCAGTGATCCTACACACAACTGTATACATTTCAGCACTAGCACTTTATTTAAATATACAAACGTTTAGTTAATCTCACTAACTTCGTATCTAGCATTTTGATAATGGTTGCACGTTATTTTATCATGCACTAGATACACTGCAATGTAAAAGTTAATCAAATATACACATTCTTACAATACAAACAGAAACCACCATTTTGGATCCTCTGACATACAGTAGGCCCGAAGGGAACAGAGCTTCTCGAGAAAGCTGTCTTTATACAGTAGGTGCCAGCATAAAAAATGCTCTCTCAGGGGAGGGGGTTAATGTTGGAGAGGGCCTAGTCTCTGGCTACAAGGCTGAACAATTTGGATCTGAGTATGGGAGGTTACAGTGTAGTACAGGTGATACCTTGCATTAAGGGTATTGCTTTTCATTTGTACTGTATATTGTGTATATAGTCAATACTTGTCCCCGGTACAGTATTTCTACACTTGTGATGTTTTTTATAGGAGTAGAAGACATTAATCATTATTGTACATTGCAAGTGCTGCCGGAGGCTTGTCCATCATTTGCAGTGAACAGAGATCATGTTTAAGTGTTTCTGGTAACCACTACCAACATCTACTAATACCCAACACTGGGGTGTGACACTTCCTCACTGCATTTCCTTTGATCGGCAGCTGTTTTCCTCTTTCTTACTGGAATTGTTGAATCATGGCATCAGGAAAGAAATAAATAAGAAATTAAATAAAAGGAAAAACACCTTTCATTTCACCGAATTACAGATTGCTTCCAAATTATTTTCATTGTTAGTTTTTGTCTGACTACTGTAATATGAAAACATATGTTAATATGCTTGTGTTTTTTGTTGTTGTCTTTCAGAGCTAAGAGGGCAAAGAAAATCAGTGAAAGGCTCAAACTTACATCCGAGATAATAGAAAACATTCATTCAGTAAAGGCCTATGGCTGGGAGGAGATTATGGAAAAGATCATTCAAAACATTAGACAGTGAGTAGAAGGAAACCTTTTTATCTCGTATTATTATTATTCACTGTTTGACCTTGTCGTCCAGTGGTGGAGATCCCATGTGTCTCCAAGTTTTTCTAGGTCTGTTTACAGCACCAGAACCTGATGATCTGGGAGTGGTTGGTCCCATTAATCCAACAATGAGCTGACCGAGCTTCTTAAAAGCTAAGTTGGATTGAAAACCTGCAGGCACATCTCCCCTGATGGATCAGGATTGCCCACCACAGTTCCAGCCTGACCAGATCTCAGAAACTGGGCAGTTCTGGGTGTGGTCGGTCGTGAAATGGGAGATCCGTAAGGAGAACGTTGTTGCTACTGTAAGCAGTTTTGATAGATTGTTAGGGATTGCTCTTCCCACTGGACCCAAATGTTGGTGCTGTAGGAAATGCAGTCCTTTTGGATGAGACATTACCTAGACTAGCCTAGACTTCTTGGTCATTAAAAATCACATGTCACTTTTTGAGAGAGCGTCTTGGCTAAATTCCCCTCTGGGATTACAGAACCTAGGCTACAAACCTGAAGTTTACCCTTCAGTTGGCAACGTTATTTCTCTGATCTGCAGTGCAGTAGGGCTGCTGGCCCTAATCACTGAGGTTGGGGCTGCACTTGCTCGTGCTCTACAGTGGTTACTTTTACGAAAGAGCCTGCATGTTTTAGGGATGAAGAGTGGTACATAAATGCAATTTATTAAAATTCATTGTAACCGTTCTTTTATTTTCAGAGGTTGTGTGCAGGGCCGTCTCAAGGGGTGGGCTGGGCCCGGGGCAGGATTGGGGTGGGCGGGGCCCAGGGTGGTGGGGTTCTTGTGTGTGGTGGTGGCGGCAGGGAGCAGTATTGAGGTGATGAAATAGCTCCCTAGCTGGCCTGCACAAACAGACATACAGAACCGAACAGAACTACTAATCGCCGTTGCTGCTAATGCTATCAGGTGCCAGCATCCTTGTCGTCCTCGAGATCACCACCTGTGTCCGTTTCTTCTTCGCTCCTGGTTTTTACAACAAACTTTTCCAAAGACCTTTCCCTTTAAGTGCCACATTTGCATCCTCCCTCTTCTGCTTCCTTTTTCTTTTCGCCCCCCACTTTGAGACAGCCCTGGTTGTGTGCCAGGTGCCATGCAGGTTTGTAAAAGCAGAGTATAATACGGGTTCTTAATATTTTAAAAAACATATATATTTTCATAAATGTAACCATGACATACTGTAGAGTTCCCATGACAAATGTAAATGCTACTTTAAATGTTTCGTTACATCTTAAAAAAGTTAAATCACAATGTTGAGGGGTGGTTTGTGCTTTGGACTAGTAAGTAGAAGATTAAGGTTTAAATTTTTTTAATGGAGTAATGGTGTCCTACTTTTGAGCAAGGTGCTTCACTTACTGTAGTTTGCTTTCATAAAATGCCTAGCTGCATACATGGGTCTAACTGTTAGTGTCTTTGGATACAAGCATAAGTTCAAGTAATTACAGTAATTGTAATGTTAAACTCTTACACTAAAACCTGTTGCATGTTGCCACAAAATTCATTTTCCTCTTTCAAGTCCAGGAGTGTATTGATAAATATCCTGTTTTATTATTTTACAACAGGGATGAGATGCATCTGACCCGAAAGATTGGTTATCTGAGGTACTTCTACAGTGCAACCTACTTCTTTTCTGCTTTTCTGGTGGTGATCTGTGCCGTGGTGCCTTACGCTCTCAGTAAAGGGATTACCCTGCGTAAGATCTTCACCACCATGTCATACTGCATGGTGCTCAGGATGACCCTCACAAGGCAGTTTCCTGGCTCTGTGCAGATGTGGTATGACACCCTGGCCCTAATCAACAAGATAGAGGTAAGCATGAGAAAAGGTTGACACATATAATAATTAATAGTTAATAATTGCTTACACTTATATAGCGCTTTTCTGGACACTCCACTCAAAGTGCTTTACAGGTAATGGGGACTCCCCTCCACCACCACCAAGAGAACCACCACCACTAAACTATATGCACTGAATAATCTGAACGATGTGATTCCACTTCTGGAGTGATGTGATTGATTTTACATACTTACACATTTGTTTTTCACGTTCAGACTGAACTGCAGTACAGAAGTGCAGAGTAATTAATAATTCTTAGCTTGTGTCTGTTCATACGTCTGTAGAGTCTGAGTGATTCTAAGAGTTGCTAATAAGGCATTATAATTTCTAAAAACCTGAAGTGGATCAATATATTATCTACAATACTCATACCTGTATGTATTCTGATAGTTGCCATCTAAAAGAAAATGCACTCAGTTAGCTATTGGTGTTTTGGGCTGAAACCCACATATTATTGCACATATAAAGAGTTTACAAGTTCCTTTACTACTAAGAGTTCACAGTGCAATCATTGGCTGGTTATGGTTATAAGGAGCACATCCTTAGTGTTTTTTATTACATGGTCTGACAAGGATAACAACAACACAGTAACCTTGAAAGGCCTTTCTGAGGAATTCAGAATTTAAACCAATCGATGTTGTTACAGTTGCTTACAATGTGTTAGTAAGATCATGTTTAGAATGATGTGTACAGGTTTGTGTTAAAAGATATTGCTGCTCTGGATCACATGCATTCCTGGCTTAAAGGAATGTCCCACTCTGACAGGCTAAAAGAACTTAAGCTTTTTAGTCTTGAATGGAAAGGAATACGAGGAGACCAGTTTCAAACAATCCAAATGATCAGAGACCTCTGATTGTTTGTTGATTGTTTTTTTTACTTGTGGCATTCTTCAGAATCAGAGGGGAAGCATGAAGCGGAGGACAGAAATGGAAACTTAAAGGGAAGTGGATTTGAAACGAAGATCAGGAAACACTTTTGTACTCAAAGGCTTGTGGGAATCTAAAACAAGCTCCACAGTTATCTTCTCAAAACTGGCACTCGGGCTTCTTTCACTTTCTGCCAGTTGCCTTAGCTCCTTATTGTAGCAACCAAATGAGCTGAATGGGCCCCTCTAGTTTGCGAAGTTTCTTATGTTCTTAAACCACACTACAGTAAGTCCTGTTTGTTGTGACTTGGTGCGGGGCCATGCATTTTTACATTGAAGAACACCTGTCTTGAAAGGGGCCTTCGAAAATCATTTGCTCATCCAACTTGTGTGTGGTTACAGTGTTAAATCAACACTTGGATGTGGTTTTCCACATTAGGGTGAAAAAAGAGTTCTGTAGTAAATCAAATGAAAACATAAATGACCACACTGGTAGAATATCTCCAGTACTGACTCTAAAATCTTCTTAGTAACCTTGACACGTGAGGCTCAGACGCAAAATTACATTTGCTAATTATTGATTTCATCTTCCAGGATTTTCTTAAAAAAGAGGAATACAAAGTTTTGGATTACAATCTCACAACAACAGAAGTTGAGTTGGTAAACGTAACAGCTTCCTGGGATGAGGTAAGTACAGTATGTAGAAAGTACTGTAAATTATTTAGGCAAATATTAAATCAACTGCATGTTGTGTAAAAGTTTTGAAGCACACACAATCTTTGAATGGTGTTTAGGTATTTTTTGTTAAATATGATTAGACAGGCTTCTTTAAGTTCACAAATCAAACAGGAATCAAAGAGAAATGTTTGCAAACACCTTTCACTAAAACCACATTTTTATTGGGTTGTTGTATATTATAACTATCAATGATGCACTTTAAACCTTCCTTTGATAGCTTGATTCATTGTTTATTGCTCCGTCAACTGGAGCAGGCATTCATATCTGTGTCCTCCAGGCCCTGTGTTTTTGGAAAGTCGGGGTTTGTCTTGATCATGTCCACACAATTTTCTGTTTGGACTCATTATTTTGAATCTCCCACATCAACAGTGACTCAGCAAAGTCTGTTAACTATGATGGAGTAATACCTTCTTACCTTTAAGGCTAGGCTGTTATTTTTCAGACAGGCTACTTTGTACCACACATGCCCATACACAAGAGCAACTACATAAAATATTTTATTTCAGTAGTGTCACCTGCAGATCAGCTTTCTTGCCTGCTGAGCTGAGATCGCACAGATTATTCTGACAGCTCATAAAGTGTTACTGAAGTAACTGATTAATCTTAATCAATCACATAAAAGGGAAGCAGATATTTGCTGTTTATGTTTCACGGTTATTCCAAGAAAAAGCCATACAATGTCAAAGTGCACAAATAAGGTGTGTCATCTAGCCAGCAGTTCTGATATCCAATTTTGTCTCTTCTGTTCTAAAAGATCCTTTTCCCATATAGGTAATTATTTTTCCATTTGTTTCACACAAGCCCTTTCTAGAGAGAATGTAGTGATGAGGTGCTGTTCAACACAATCCCAAGATTCTTAAACTGTTTGTTCAGGTGTAGAGATTAGAATATATAAACTATGGTTTTACAAAAGTGACAGGATTATGCAACATGCGAGTTATTACGTAATGTCTGAGAGATTTTTCGGTTCTGACACTATTGAAACACTCCCTTTTAAAGCTTGGCTTTTGTTTGCTTCAAGGGAATAGGGGAGCTCTTTGAGAAAATAAAACAAGAAAACAAAGACAGTGGCAATCCTAATGGAGAAGCAGGTCTGTTCTTCACCAACCTCTATGTCACACCAGTCTTGAAAAACATCAGTTTATATCTAGAAAAGGGGAAGATGTTGGCTGTTGCAGGTTCCACTGGTTCAGGAAAGGTAACTATTTTTGTTTTCATTTTTTTTCTGTAATTATACCAGTAGCTTATACACTCACCTGGCACAAAACAGAATAAAACATTGGGCTGGAGCACAAAACAATTCCAAATCAGCTCAATGCAAAATGCGCCACTGTGTTAACTTTACGTTTATTTAACTACTATGTTATATTCCTTGTTTATTTTCGGGAACATAAGAATGAAATGCCACATAAGGTTCTAAATTAATTGTTTGCTGAATGTAAAAGTTCCCAAGGATGTGTTGTAATCTTGATACTGTGCCCAGTTATCCTTTTTTTCACAGTGATTAATGAGGCTGTTACTGGAATTTGATAAATGAACCTCAAACATTATGTGTAAAAGTTAATTGATAATTTTATGACCTTAGCTAGGATGTAAACAGAGAGTTTTAAACTACTACTGTGCACTTTCCTGTAACACATTAACTAAAAAATGCATTGTCCTGTTCAAATAATGTAAGAGAAAATTAGATGGATGACAGTCAATTTTGAAATCTGTATGTGTAAACAATATAAAGTTACTGCACATAAAGCTTACTTTTGATAATGTCTTATGTATATTTAAATATTAAGTACCTAATAACCTAAAACAAACAAAAAGGTTCCCATGAGCTTTATACTGTACTAACCGTCTCTGGTAAATTGTGAAAGATGTAAAAGATAAATCAGACAACAGAAGATATACAATATCAAAGTTAAATTGAAAAGGACTCCCCAAAACAAGTCCCAGTATAGATTTCTGAAACTGCATCACATCTTCAGCTACTACAATTTCTTGTTTTATGAAGTATCCTTTTTACAATGTGGAGATTCATGTTATTGTTCGATATGTTCAACTATGCATGTCGAACATACTTCTTCTAAAGAGTTCCCTCTTGATGATGATAATGGGAGAACTGGAACCATCGGAAGGCAAAATAAAGCACAGTGGAAGAATATCCTACTCCCCCCAGACGTCATGGATAATTCCAGGCACTATCAGAGAGAACATTGTATTTGGATTGACCTACGATGAATACAGATACACCAGTGTCATCAAAGCCTGCCAATTGGAAGAGGTACATTTGCTGACAGTTTCTGTTTAACTAATATCCGGTGATATGATTGGTCCTTCACTCTTCACAGTATTGAGACAGACTCAGATTTGATTATTTTTCCAACCTATGTCAGAATATGGTTTCCGAGGGCCTTCTACCAGGGTAAAGTCAACCTCATCTGGGTTAACCCAAAACAAAGACATGTTTTCAAAGCAAACAAGGACTGCGCAACATATGACCCTGTGATTGCAAAATATTATGTTTGATTCAGTGTAATCGATTGTGTTACTGATTTAAGATGGCCCACAGCATTGAATTACCAAGATTAATTTATTGAACAGTACCAGCTGAATAAAATAAAATAGTTAAACATATCACAGGGGAGTCTTTCTTTTTTAAGTCTAGGGAAGAAAATCATTCAGCAGATTGCCTCAGAAGAATTGTTTATCTCTAATTTCTGCTATGCTTCAAATTCTGTGCCTCTTTGCATTCTGTGCAAATTATTTGATTCATTTCAGTATTGCTTTAGGCTCCTTGTTTGTGCACAGTGTCCACCAATTGAACTCATTCAGGGCCAGAGGTGTCAACATAAGTGTGCAATCGTGGAATTTAAGACAGGTACTGTAATTCAACCAGAAATCTTAAAATATTTCTGAGATTGGGCCGAAGAGTGTAGTATGGATCCAAAATAAAATGCAAGCATTTTGCTGGTCATGTTGTGCTGTCTTCGTGGAGTTTGTATGTTCTCTCCGTGTTTGTGTGGGTTTCCCACAGTCCAAACAACACTGGCTAATTGGCTTCTGGGAAAATTGGCCCTGGTGCAAGTGTGTGAGTGTGTTTGTGTCAGTGTGTGTCCCTGCACAGGACTGGCTTCTAGTCCAGGGTGTATCCTGGCTTGCACTTGTTGTCTATGACCCCCTATCAGATGAAGCAGTTAGAAAATGAACAAATGAACAGGCTTACAATGAATGAAATCATGTTAAAGCCAAGTTATAGTATGTATAACCCATAAATATTTACCTGAATTGATTAGTAAAATCTTCTTATTTCCCCTTGTTTATGTATTTGATGAATCCAGGACCTGGCATTGCTTCCAGATAAAGACAAAACACGTCTGGGCGAAGGTGGAGTTACTCTGAGTGGCGGACAGCGTGACCGGATTGGCTTGGCCAGGTTCATTGTCTTGCCCTGTTTCTACTCTCATTCCTCGCTTTTGTGTGGCACTAACTCTCAATGGTGTTTATTGTGTCAAGGAATATAATTATTAATTATTAACTAGTATGTTTCTAAAGAAACAATAGATAGAGCATGGCAGTCAGCTCAGTTTTCCTTTTCATTATTTGTGGATCCAAAATGAACATTTTCTGATTCTGAAAGCAGAGGAGCCTTTAGGGTGTATTAATTTTAAAATGCCTTGAGCTTTGATATGTTCATATTTTTATCTAATTTCCATAACTGATTGATTGTGTTCCTGTATGCATGTACTGTAGTGACACATTTAAAGGTGTAGTAGATTTATGGAGTGAGTTAGTTGTAACTGACCTCAAAGTTCACTTGTGTATGTCATGTGCTTGTTGTTAAATCAAGTACATTTACAGTTTAGTTGACTTGGTAAACTTTGTGTAACACTGTTTTTTTTTTTAAATTAAGAAGCTCAGACAGTATTTTTACAGCCAGAAATAAAATGCAGATTACCTTGAATGTTTATGGATTTTATGTCAAGGCTGAAAGACTGTAATTTAACACTTTTTAAAAGTTAATATTACTTTTATTCATATTAGATTCTTATATTAGATTATCTTAACTTCGCTCTTTCAACTCTCACAAGTATTACAGTAATTACCTTAAGGGTCTTCTTGAATTAAAAAAAAACATGAAAAGTTTCATAAAAATGTTATAGTTTTATTATTTTATTTATTTAACAAATGCATTTTTTAAAGTTGTACAGTACATTTTATTTAGATCTCAAATGCAATTGAAATTGATGGATTTAAAAGTAGGAAATATTAAAACAATTAAAATGTTATACGTGTGAGAAGTTGTTCATTACACCTTCATTAAAGCAGTTGATTGTACAGTAAATGATATTTTCAATAATTTCTGTTTTCACTTCAGAGCAGTATATAAAGATGCTGATCTATACCTATTGGACTCACCCTTCACCCATTTGGATATTGTTACAGAGAAGGAAATATTTGAGAGGTAATTTTTTGGAAATGCCTTAGAACTTTTTTAAGAGGCTCTTGATTTGTGTATGCAGTATGTTCATTTGAGAAATGGTGTTGAACAAACCCTTTTTTGTCCAATTAAAGGCAGATTAAAACAGACTAATTTTATAGTTTTTAAGTTTCTGGGAGGTGGTTATTACAGTACCTAGATGAAGCCTAAGCAGATACAGGGAAAATGTGAAAAATCCACACAGAAAGGTACCCCAACTCTTATTTTGTCCAGGAACAGTGCAAAACACCACACCATGGTGATTCGTGAGGTGTGCAGCACGATTTTTCTTTCAGAAGTCACTCCAAGACATGTCATGTTGCAGACATTTTGTTTTAAAACATAGTTACAGTATATTTCTTTAACATCTGCTATTATAAGTACTCTATTATCTTTATACGACTTACACTTTCTTTTACAGTCCTTCATATTTTAGAGCTGAGAATATTGTATGTTCTACCTGTTTTTAAAGGTGGAACACTTATCAACCACCGGTTTCAAAGTGTATGAATTTAGATTTGTTCACGTGGGTGCCCAGGCTAGGCTTCTGCCTTAAATAACAGGGAGCCATTTTCAAAGAACTGCTGTGCCAAATAATTTGAGTAGATATTTGTCAGTACAAATTCATGTCCAGGGTTTTTGGTAAAAACATGAAAAAAAGAGCCATAGTTCCAATTAACCTGGCCTAGGTTTTTAGGAGAATTTCATCCCTGCAATCCCCTTAGTTAAAGAGCTCTCACAACATTATTCTTGTAATATTCTTTTGTTTTTTAGGTGTTTGTGCAGACTTATGGCTACTAAAACACGTGTCGTGGTCACTTCCAAACTGGATCATTTAAAAAGGGCTGACAAGATCTTGCTTTTACACAATGGCACCACCTATTTCTACGGAACTTTCTCTGAACTTAAGTCTCAGCGACCTGACTTCACCTCTCTACTTATAGGCCTGGAAGCCTATGACAACATCAACGCAGAGCGAAGAGGCTCCATCCTTGATGAGACTCTTCGCCGTGTCTCTGTAGATGATACTGCTGGATTCCACCCTGAGCCTACCAGACAGTCCTTCAAGCAGGCCACCATAGATCAGACAGAGAAGAGAAGGAAGTCGTCTGTCATCATAAATCCCCTGGCTGCTTCCAGAAAGTTCTCCATCATTCAGCCTGAAGAAAAATCTGTGAGCGAGCTCGGGGAGCGCAGGTTCTCTTTCATCCCTGAAAACGAGCAAGTGGAGGAAGCTCTCCCAAGGAGTAATGTGCTGGATCGTGGGCAGACATTTCATGGACAGCGGCGGCAGTCAGTTTTGGCTTTCATCACTAACGCGCAGAGCCAAGGGCGCCGAGAACATTTGACCTCTTCCTTTGCCAGAAAACTGTCCATAACCCCTCAATGCGATCTGGCTTCTGAGTTAGACATTTATGCCCGGCGGCTTTCAAAGGACAGCATTTATGAAATAAATGAAGATGTTGATGAAGAAGATATGGAGGTAGATTTTCTTTCCTGTGCTCTTCATCATTTTTATTATATTACTAAATTTCTTGGCTTGTTTGCTTACAGTACATTATACCTTCAAATACCCTGTATTTGACAGAAGCAGCAATGGAATGGAAGGCCAAAGTTCTGGTCAGGAATACATTATACATAGAAGATGCTGCTTCTCAAAATGAAAACATTTGTAAAATTGCATTTCTAGGCCATTATAAATCTTATTATTTTCATGATTTCTTTGATACCATTATGAGTAATACAATATTTCAAACAAGCCAAGTCATTTAAAGTCTAATTAGTGGCAAAAAACATCCAAATAATATATAATTATTAAATTATTATAATAAAAAATAATAATATATAATTTTACATGTGTTATTATAGATGTGTTCTTTATAATATGTATTTTGTGGGGGTGGTACAAATAGTTGCAAGTTGCAGTGTTACTTTTAGACACTTACGTTTAATCTTATATATTGTATACATTTCATCACAAACACAATATAGGCTAAGACTGCTACTCAGAATATTTATGAGCTGGTAGAACTGTCCATTCAAATTAGGTGCAAAAAATTAGTATTTATCAGTGTTCAGCTGTTACCATTTATTGTCTGCAAAATCTATCCAAGAGACACCTGTAATTCTTTACCTTTCCTTTGTGCCATATTGTTACAATCGTACCATTTGGCTTGACAATAAGAAAACTTTGTTTGATAACTAAATAACTTTAAAATATTACAGTGTAATAATTAAAACTATTACAATATCAGAAACATATTCAGACCCTTGCACAGTTTGTTGCTTTAAAGCTTGCAGTCATGACATTTTGAAGTATTAATTAATATATATGTTATATACATAACCTGCTCCACCCTTTCAAGGCAATAAAAATTAAAAAGATAATATGAAAAAATGGAAAAGTAAGGTTTAGTATTCAATCCCTTTTTGTGGCAAACCTAAATTAATCTACAGCAGGTGAGCAGGTAGTTATGTGGCATCTGTCTATGAGCTGTAATAGTGGCTCTCACAATTTCAGAGTAAAAACACCTGTCTCTGTATGATTCCTCAGTCAGGAAGTGAATTTCAACCAAAGACGCAAGTATGAAGCCTTAGGAGCTTTCAGATTGTCAGAGAAGTCTGTGAAAAGCACAGGTCAGGAGAAGGGACTTTGATTATGTCTGAATACCTGTGAATAGTGTCTATTCAATCATGAACAAATGGTATGTGCATCCTACCTACCAGACACTGCCTGGATCAGACTGCCACTCCAAACTGAGAGATGGGCAAGGAGGAAGGATTACATCAGGCAACAATAACCATAAAACTGGCCTGCATGGCAGTGGAAAACCCTTCTCATATCCCATACCTGTAGTTTGTAATAGAGCAACTGAGTGATTCTGCAAAACTGTGGCACAGGTTGTTGTGGTCAAATTAGACCAGAATGTTCCAGTTTTGTCTCAATACCAAGTGTTTATGCTTGTGCAGATGCAATACAGCACACCTCCCAGTCAGCACAATCCCAACAGTCAGTCATGGTGGTGGTACTCTGGGGTTGGTTCTTCTCAGCAGGGATGGGAAACCTTGTGGGATTCAAGGAAAACACATACAGTACATGAATGGAGCACAGTACAGGCAAATACTAGAGGAAAACCTGTTTCACTCTGCTGAAGACTAAAAACAGAGTCAAAAACTCACTTTTCATCAGGACAACAATCCAAAGCACAAGGTCAAAGCTACTGTAGAGTGGCTTAAAATATGAGAGTGACTGTCCTTCAGTGGCTTAATCAAAATCCTGATGGATTATTACTGAGAAACCGCGATATCGGCTGTCTATACTGTACGTAATTCCCAAGCGACTTGAAGGAGCTTGTGCAAATCTACCAAGAACAATAAGTGAAAATTGCACCACTCTGGTGTAATAAATTGGTAGAGTCTTCCTCCAAAGGATGTGTATCTGTAATTGATAGCAACAATTATTGAGTTCACAGGTTTGAACACTTAGGAAGTCAACAGAATTTTTTTTCTGTAGGTGTCTGCTGACATTCACTGTAACTTATCCTTCTATAATCTTATTAAAGAACTGTTCAGTTTGAGCATTTGGGTTTTGAACAAAATATATATTTTTTAAATATATCCATCATTTTGTAATCTCACAAAAAAATAATTCACCGTAGGATGGGTCGGAATGCGTTTGCGCATATATATTTCCATACTATGTCCATGGATTTACATGCTGCTTTTTCTTTCATTTATGTGTTTCTAGGAATGTTTTGCTGATGAACGTGAAAATGTCTTTGAAACTACCTCATGGAGCACATGCTTCAGATACATGATGACTAACAAAAGCTTGGTTTATGTCCTTATTTTTATTGTTTTTGTTTTTATATTTGAGGTAAGAAATACTTGAAAAATAATTCAAGCAGTTCTGATTATTGGCCAAATTTGGAATTGCATTTTAATGTACAAATGTTAGCTGAATACAAATAATAAGTTTGCAATTTCTCTTTTTATTTTAGGCGGGTGGGTCCTTGGTTGGATATTATTTCATTAAAGAGTAAGTGAATAGCTAATTTCAAATTTTAGGGATTTAAATCTCCAATGTTTCTTCTATAACTATAATGAGCAATGAAAAATCTCCATACTGCCCTCTGAAATAGAGAGTTATGGAATAATTGTATGCTTGTAGCATACTGAAACACATCTTGTAACTCGCTTTGACAACCTGGTCTGAAGAGACTCTGATATGCAAGTTTTCATCTCCAAGCATGGAGCACGTTTGAATTCTTAATTACGCATTTTTAGTATTTTGCTAATTGTAATGCCTCTCAAATCTAAAATCTAAGTTAAAATTCCTCCCAGGATAAACTTTTAATTTTTATGAGATTTCCATCGAAATTGAGGAGTGCTGATGAGCATGTTCTGACAAGATTTGAAGACATTGCATAAACTAGGTACAGGTCATGTCTACTGTACCTCTCCTAAATGTTCAGATACTTACTTTGTAACTAGAAAATAACTGGCAAATTCTTCACACAACTGAGTGTCTATTTTCCCCTAATCCAACCCAGTCTCTCACTTACTGTAGTTCTTTGAAATTCAGATTTTTGTTGTAAACATAGCATTATTCAACAGTGCAACCTTTCATAATGGCCATAAGAGAGAAAATAATAAAAATAAAAATAATAACCATTTTTGTTTGTTTTCAGCAGATAGAGAATATACTGTAACAATAACCTGCAAGTTGCATGTCTCATTAGCGGAGCTACACTAATTCTGCGCAGTTATCAGACACTCTTTGGCTTTTGTCGGGAGATAAAAACTGGGAACTTTAATTAGAAAGTCTGTCCTCATCCATTGTTATCATACATACAGTACCATATAATCTAACCTTTTCACAGCTTCCACGGGAAAAAAATCTTGCTGTTCTTTCATGTTAATTGCCTTTCTATATTTAGGTCCGTTTATGGTTTAATGAACAGACCTGGTAATTCTTTTAAAGTTTTATATATGAGCCTGTTTTCAGTCCTACAGGACATTCTGCTCTGAGCCATTGTCCTTTAATTAAGATACGATATTTGGTATAATTTCTCCACTCATAACCATTTTTTTAAACTTCCTTGGGAAATAAAAGCAAACAAGAATGGTTCAGCTGCCCATCTGCATTTCTGGCACTGGGATATTTTGATATGTTTCGGAGGGCCTTCAGTTGCCAGCCTGGGTATTTCTGATGCTGCTGAACTGAATGAGTGAATTAGGCCCTTTATTCTTGGACATTGAGCTTCTTATGTGTGTGCAGCAAAAATCTTTTTGAAAAAAATATTTCTGAAGAAAGACCTCTCATCCATGATTTCTCTTTTTTTTCTCCAGCATCTTGATTAATGACACTAATTCTCAACCCGGGAACTCTTCATCTCCTGGAACACACTACGCGGTGATAGCCACACCAACCAGCTCTTACTACATCTTTTATATCTGGGTGGCCACTTCTGAGACCGTGTTTGCAATGGGATTCTGCAGAGGAATTCCCCTGATTCACACCCTGCTGACGATCTCCAAAAGGCTCCATGAACAAATGCTGAGCTCGGTCCTGAGAGCTCCAATGGCTATCTTGAATACAATGAAAACAGGTAGAACAGAACCTCTCCAGATACACAACAGACAGAAAAAAACGATTTCTTCGGTTATTGAGGAGAAGATGTGTAAACCAATCTCCTCACGATGTAGCTAAGTTAATTGATTTTCTCATGTTGTATGCCTAATACAGGTGGTATGCTTAATACAGGAACATCTTGGCATCCCTAAACTAGCGACTAAACTAAATTCGGATGAATGTCCTCCTGTTTGTAACCTTTAGTTTGTTTTAGCACTACTGTATGCTGTATATTAAAATGAAATCTCTGAACCATCTTCAAGACAGTAAACATACAGCCACTTGCATGTGATCTGTAGTTTATTTCTGTCAATATATAATTAAAATCTACAACATAACGGTGATTGTGGCCATAATGTGTATATTTTGCGGCAGTATTTATGGTTAGGTGTTAATATTCCAACTCCATTTTGTATTTTGATTTTCTTTAAAAAAATGCAATAATTTTATACCTTGGTAGAATCCTTGTGTTTGTTGTTGAAAATAAGTTGCAATGAGTGAAAGTTAAATAAAATACATTTGTGTTTACACTCCTAAATTTGTATAACATAAACCATAATTTGTGTTATACTGTACCCTTATTTTTAAATGATTTAATTCACTTAATCAAGTAAATTAAAAAAGATACTGCTAAAAGATGGGTACATGGCTAGAGAGATGTAATTATGTATTATGACTGCTCAGTAATTCTAGAAAGTCTTCTCATTTTATCTAAATTTATTTGACTATCTTCAGGCCGAATTATGAACAGGTTTACCAAGGACTTGGCTGTTATAGATGACATGCTGCCTCTGATCCTCTTTGATTTTGTGCAGGTTAGTATCCTCAAACGTCCATTGATTTAGAAAACAAGAGAAAGTCTAAGTCACATCTTCATGTCTAATTTGCTGATAGGCAGAAAATAGACTTTCAAGAAAACAAAGCATGTAAATTCAAACGCAGAATTGAATATCCTTCAAATAGCCCTATGTCCAGGGCTGCCCATTTATGATTTTTAATGACAAGGACATTTCTGCACTCATCTTGTCGTGCAGCATCTTCTTTTTTTTTTTAGAAAGCTATTTTTCAGTCTTTTTGAGAACCCATGTCTTTCTTCCTCCTCTTTCCAGCTGGTGCTGATTGTTGTGGGAGCCATATTTGTGGTTTCTATAATCCAGCCCTACATCTTCATATCTGCTGTTCCCCTCATTTTAATTTTTGTCTTGCTGAGGAAATACTTCCTACGGACAGGGCAGCAGCTGAAACAACTTGAAGCTGAAGGTAAAAGGGTGGGGGGCCAGTAGTTTATGCGCTTAGTTTTCATTGATTAGTACATTTTTCAAATATACTTTTCATTCCTTTTCACTTGTAAACTTTAAAGGTTTTTGATCGATAGTTTAAGAGGGATGACTGCAAACTAGGTCTCCTTGACCTTAGCTAGTCTAATCCTTCATGATGTCACTTCCTGAATAAAACTATATCAATAAGTCCTTTTCTTATTATAGTTGTTTTTGGGTCCTAAGGCCAGGTGGTGGACCATCAGACAAGTGGGTACAATTTATTAAGCCTAACATGTTAATTGACGTTCATAAAGACATTTTCATGTTGTTAACCCTCATGAAAATTGCTTTTAAGGACACAGGTACTTGTTACGCATTGTTAATTTAAATTGATTTACTGTAGGTTCACAGCTTTTTTATGTTTGTTGTTAATCTGCAGTTAGGATGATCTTCTTTTTATGACGAGACCTCTCCAATTTTAGGCAGCTTTAATTTTAAAATGGGATTATTTTGAATGATTTTCCATTTTACAGATCTGTGGATTTCATAAACAAGATTAAATGAGAATCTGGCAATGATATGGCCATAAACCTGATCTGACATTTAAATTGCAAACCATAACAAAACTGGGCAGAAAACAATAACAGACTATCCACTGTCATTTTTAACTTTGAACCAAAAATAAACAATTTGAAGGTTAATAAGACTAAATGGTGACCAGCCTTTTATATAATACTGGTTCCAGCTCCAGTTGTTTCACAGTGATAGGGTACATTATCTACAGTATGTTTATCAAGCCTGGAAAGTAAACTTAATCTTAGAACTAGAGTTTATAATGCTCTTTTGCCATTTATTGTGCTCAGTTGTTTGCATCGATAACAAGGTTTGCATCGAAATCAGATACTAAACTCATTTAGGGAAGCATTTTATTTTTCAACAGAAGCTGCTAAAGACATCACTTGTTTCCTGTGCCCATTAGTTTCCATTTGATTCAGAATACCTGTTAATGTACCTAAAGAACATGTTTTAAAAACTGTATTTTGTGTTTCTCTCAGCTCGGACCCCAATTTTTTCACATCTCATCATTTCCCTGAAAGGACTCTGGACGATAAGGGCTTTTGGACGCCAGTCTTACTTTGAAGCTCTCTTTCACAAGGCCCTGAATGTGCACACTGCCAACTGGTTCCTCTACCTGTCCACACTGCGATGGTTCCTCTTCCGAATAGACATGGTCTTTGTCTTTTTCTTCTCCGCTGTCGCCTTCATCGCTGTGGCAACAAACCGTAAGGCACATCTTATACTGAAAAAACTAACATGGGGTGATGTTTATAGTCCTACAGTATGTGTAAATAAAACTAAATTGTATGGATTCTTCACAAAAAGCCTAATTGTTCATTTTTCAAAACTTGATAGTGTATACAACGGGTGAAATAACGTCAGTCTGAATAGAGAGGGCAGTTTGAATGTATAGAATAATTATTGTCTCAGTTGGTTTAAACTTTAAAGCATTCTAAAAATAGATCCTTCAGTATTTTGATAACATACTGTTTTGCCATGTCCTATAATAATGTCAGTTACCGCTGCTGGCTTACTACTTCAGTATTTGTTTATTATTGTTGTTGTTTAAACATTGCGTCTCCTTTTTCACATTCAGGTGATAAACCAGGGGAAATTGGAATAATTATTGCAATGGCCATGCTGCTTATGGGCACATTTCAATGGACAGTAATCACCAGTATAACTGTAGACAGTCTGGTAAGTTATAATATTTGATATTTAGAAAAGGCTGTATATTGTATCGTATGTTCATTATTTCATCATGAGTATCCAAAACTGCCTTCAGAGTTATGATCATTGTTTTAGTTCATCAATATGATGGAAACGGTTTTTCATTGGAATTATGCTTTGTGGTATCTGATTAAAAGGCTCAGAATTTTGACGTTCATTGTCTCATTCTTCTATCAAAGTGACTGTGCTTTCTTGGTTTGTCTCTGTAAACAATAGAAACCAAAGACTTCAGATTAAACTGAAAATGTGATTATGAATTGGAACACAAGGCAATGAGCTCTGAATCATTTGCTTCTCTGTACCGTCAACATTCCTGCTGGTTCTGTGCTCTGACTCAAATCAGTCAGTATCAGAAATACTGCTGCTTCTTAATTCAGCATTCACCTGAAAATACATCAGTGTTCTCTCCTTACTTCCAAATCAGTAAAGTTGCTTAACTGTGGCACAGCAATAGTCTATAACTGGTGACTGCAAGTTTTGAGGACCAAATCTAGAGATAGACTATGTGCAGATGAAAATTAAGTATTTCATTTAATTAAATGCTTTTTTTTTTTGGAATAGCAGCTGAATTATATTGGAAATAAATGGAACAAATATTGGAGTATAAAACTAAAAGTTGTCTCATTTGTGACTTGTGTATGCAGTACTTTGATATGTCATTTTTTTATGTAATCCATAGTCCTAATGTTGATATAATAAAATGTATTAGACTTCAAATTAAAAAATACAAATTATTTAGTTATGTGGAATCCCTATTTTGATATAGATAATTGCAAATCTACACAGGATATGCTATTGACTAAGCCTTGCTATTTAAAAAAATATGAAGTCAATGTTTAATGTAACTAGAAATAAAGTTTACAAAAACTAAATTAATTTTTTACCCACTAGAAAGAGAATCGTGCATTTTTTAACTCAAGCAGAACAATTTTAAGGCTGAGTGATTTTTAAGTTCCTTATCAAAGGCAGTGGACATTTCGTTCTTGTAATCTTTCCAAGATTTTTTTTTAAATTTGCTCTTATACAGTGCACCTACAGTGCTCGCCCAGCATGCACAAGCTTAATGTGTGAAAAATCTGTCACACATACACACATCCAGCACAGCGAAACACAGGTCCCCATTTGGAATTGCAGTGATCTGATTAAATGGCTTTTCAGCCAAGCATCATTTCTAAAACAAAACAAACAGAACCATGAGAAACACGCTGCATGCAGAGACACTCATTTGCTTATCTACATTCCTCTGTCCATTACAAAAAAAAACAATCAGACCGGTTAACTACTTAGCTGTTGATGAGGATTGACCTCAGAGTACTGTGTGTTCTGTTCCAGATGCGTTCTGTCAACAGAGTATTCAAATTCATCGACTTGCCTTCTGAGGAACACAAATCCAGCAAAAGGGGAAAGAAAGCTGCAGACCTGGTCATTGAGAATGTGCATGCAAACGATGACGACTGGCCTTCTAGAGGTCACATGAAGGTCAGCAACCTCACTGTCCGCTACACTGAAGGAGGGAGAGCTGTCCTTCAGAACCTCTCGTTTTCCGTTAACAGAGGCGAAAGGGTAAGGACGGATTATCTATTTTTAACTTCACTAGGAAAATAAGAATGTAAATACAGGACTTCATGTTCACAAAGAGGCTGATTATCTGTGACGAAGAAAAAATGATTTCCCCAATCTTATCTTAAGATGTGAAATATCATACTATCAAAATTTCTTTATACTATATACAAATATTTCAGTGTTCAATACATTTTAATTTACTGTCAATTGAGGTTCTTTATAAAGTTAAAAAAGCATCTATACAGTAGATTCACTTAAGTGTTTATCCTAATCCTAACCTCATTACAGCATTACATTATAATGGATGCTTTATTAGCAGTATAAAGCATATAACCCCCAATTATATTACATTTAATAATCTCTTATTACTTAATGTAAAGTTAAAGTAATCCAAAATCTTATTTAGGGCTACTCCGTCACTAAATGTTTCAATTTTAAAATAGAGCAAAATGCATTTAGTGAAATTTCCATCAAATATAAATGACCCATTTCAAAGTGCCCTAAATTCCTCCATTCTGATTTCATTTCACATATTTTGTTCACACTCCGCTGCTACAGTACCTTTGATGTAAAATTCACTCCTGCTTTGCACTGGGTCTTATTAATATTAATTAATATTCTTGTGTTCTTATGTAATGTGTTGATTGATATTCTGTGTAAATAAAAAGCAAAAATGTGATTGCATTTTAATCATGACAGGATTACACGAGACTCAGACATCTGAAGCTGACCTCCAACCACTATTCTGAGCACAAAACAGAAAGTTTAAGAAATGAATCCTTCTAGACATATCATGTAAACGTCATGCAAAGTAGATCCATTTTAGAGGATCAATTGTAAATTAAACTCCCAAGACACATTATTGCTTAATTTACTTAAACATCTGAGAACATTAATCTTCCCTGGTTTATAAAATCATTTTCCTATCGCTCTGCTTATGAATTGCAAATTACGTACGTAATGGATAATGCCGCAGGCATCCCTTTTATTTTAATTTAAAATGGAAAAAAACAATTCTTAAAAAGTTTTCCTGTTTCCACCACTCTTGCCAAAAAAGCTAAAAATGTTTCTAACTTGCTGGGGGTGGGGGGTGGGGGGTATAAATAAGACTTGTTCTTCAAAATAGTCTCTGAATGAAGAGCATTAACATACCCAGCTATACCCTGCTCCTGTCAGAGACTGTAGGTCTCTTACTTTGTTCTTAGTTAATTTTAATAAGATAGAAAGATTTCAGGGATCATACAGTACCTTCCAGCAGGAAACTGATCTCTACAAGTAGGTCATTTGCTATGCATGATTGGTATTGAGAAATTTAATTTTAACTGAAACATAGTGTAACAAAGTTCTGTTGACAAGAATGTTTATTTTTCACAGACACCTGTATTCATTCCAGTTCTTTTGTACCCTGTTCTTAAAGTATCCTTTACAGATGTATCCATTTCCTTCAGTGCTTTTCACATTCCCTTTAATATACAGTACACACATTGTGTTTTAGAAACAAATTGTATATACAGTAGTTAAGCAGTGCCCTGCTGACTGAACTGAAGGAATCATTGACAATTACTCAGCTGTACAGTATCTTGTGCCCTCAGTTACGTTGGCCTTGTGATGAATCAGCCATCTCATTCTTAGTGTTTGTGACTAAAGATTAATTTTAAAGGTGACCTATCCAGAAAGTTCCAGGTACAGCAAAGTCACAAAGACGTGCAAAAGTGAGCAGTCCTTGCAATCACTTAGTTTAACATTTATCAAAGATATTTTAGCATTCAGTTTTATCAACTTACAATATACAGTAACAGTCGCCTATTATCTAAATTGGCTATTCACTTGTCATCATTTAGAAGATGATGGATTAAAATAATATTAATAAATAGAATCAAATACTCCTCTCATTTTTTCATGTAGTCTTCTGTATTTTCCATGACTGACTGTTTATGGATAAACAATTTTCTAAGACCCATCTGCTAAACACTCAACAAAATGATCTGCCTGACATCAATTGCCAGCATATCTTTGGTTAGGATCAAATCAGGGAGTGCACTGTTGTACAAAATGGCTCTTACACTCGTCATCTCGCCCACATACACATTGACTTGCTTGTGTATAACCTCCCAAGAGGGCATGTTCTGTCTTTTTACCGGTCACTTAAAAAAAATCAAAGATTTAAGTGTTTTCATTTTATTTACTGTCATGTTCTGGCAACTTGTTTGCACATAGCTCCTAAGCCTCCACTTATCAACAATATGCCAGTGCAAATAATTTTGCTAATGTAAAAATAACAGTGGCAGAGAATGAATTGAGCCTGAATATACTGTATGATTTATTGTAGTACATATTTGATGTAATGAAAGATATTCCCTGATATAATAAAAAAATAAAAGTTGCTGACTGTTGGATGGCCCCTTAGTCTAAGGGAAAAATACAAAAACTCAAACTGCACAATTTTGTTTCAGTGCATGGTGCTAACGGAGGTGCACCAGGAGGGTGCTAACACTTTTGCTGAATCACATACATAAGCAGTCTGTTTGCCCAAATCTGCATCAGTTTTTGGTGTGCATGTCTCTAATAAACTCTCATCAAGCTTGTTTTCACCTGGCATATACTGTACCTACTGTGAAATGTTTTAACATGACAGTTGTACAGCACTACTAATTGTCTGTTCCCACATCCCTATGGAATGTTCAACCATCCATTTTCTAACCTCTTTATCCAATTCAGGGTCACAGTGGAGCCAGGGTCTATCCAGGCAAGCAATGGGTACAAGGCAGGGTACACCCTAGACGGGACGCCAGTCCATCACAGGGCAGACTGACACAAACACACACACACCCACGCACGCACGCACACAGACACACCGCAGCTATATTTCCCAGAAGCCAATTAACCTAGCAGTATGTCTTTGGACAGTGGGAGGACACTAGAGCACACATGGGGAACACTGGGAGAACATACAAACTCCACACAGATAGCACCCCAGGTCCACAATTGAACCCTGGGGCCTATCACTGCGAGCCAGCAAAGCCAGCCACTGAGCCACTGGGCCAACCTGCTTTGAAATGTATTTTCTCAATGAGCAGATTAACTTTTAACTTTTAAAAATGTTTAAACATTTACACTGGCCAAAACATGCATGTGGGGGATACAGTGCCAGATTGTCCAGATGTGGAGAAAGCCTGGACTGTAAAGGAATGTGGAAATAATTTTTCACATTCTGACCATTAATTGAAAAATCGGGAACAAAGACAGGTTTGTCATCTGCTGGTAGCTGATATTCTCAAAGCAGTATTGCAATGTTTGATTTTATGCTATTTGCAGTTAAAAAATTGAAAATGTTTTAAATACAACAATTACAAACAAGTTTCTGAGACTTTTTGCAGTACCTATGTTTAGTACGTACTCAGTAAGCTAACTCTTTCTTCTAGTACACTAACAAGATCTTCCACATTGCATTTACCTGTCTATATTAACTCTGATTTAATTATCTATTACTACAGTGGTATCTTTATTGATTTAAGTGTCTTCCTTTCTTCCAGTTCTCCAAATTACAGTATGCATTTAATTTAGCCAAGTTTGCCAAATATGTCATTAGTGTTCTCAAATAGGTTCTATGAGTTGTTTTGCAACGATGGAAGATATAAATCAGAATTAATGATGTTTACAAGCTAAATGTGAGTACTGGTTACCTCGATTAGGGAAAATACTACCCTTGTGAAAAATCTCAGCTATGTTTAACATTTGATAAATCAGTTAGGATTTTACTTCTTAAGAAAAAATACAAAATAAGTTTTTAAGAAAAGAACACAAGCTGAGAAAATCACATTATATACAGTATTGCATTTAACAGGAAGATTAGAAGTCAAAACCATTACAATACAGTAATTACTGAAATCCTGTTTTTTTTTTCACTTGGATTATACGCTTGCTTTGTGTTCTTAGAACCTAATGATTTGAGTTATAGTCTTACAACTGCAAAAGTACAATAAGAAGATTATGTACCATAACTGTAAAAGATGAGCTTGAGTGTGTTTCACAAAATGTTCTTGCACTCTGGTCCCTTGATTCCAAATTATGCCAGAAATGTGAACCCACGCACACATCCTTGGGACTTAGAAGTCCTTGGGACATCACCCTTTGAAAATACTGTAGGTTCGGTAATATTTGATAGCAGATCTTAGAATGTTTAACACTCCAAGATAAGGAATTTGATCAGCATTTTTTTGAGTACTAGGATTTTTTTCTACTACACAGCTCCTAATTTTCCCTACAGCAACATGTCCATCAAGCATAAACATCAGCCTTACCTTTCCATATACTCTGTTTACATATATATAAAAATGTCTTGTATCATCCTCAGACTCTGTCTTTACAATGGTAGGGTGAGGGTGATGTGTGATTGTGAATATCCGCATTACACTAGTTTAAAACCTACTGTGGTTTTAAAAGATACTGTAAATGGACTACAAAAAAAAGAATGCTTATGTTATTAATTCTGCCTTCTTGGTATGTAGTGAAAGACCTTGGTAAAAAAAAATGGTTTTGGTGTGTTTTTTTAAAATGTCTGGATGTGAACCAACCCAAATAGGTTCTAGTGTGAAAAGAAACCTGCTTTTTAAAAGGTAGTTTTCTGTGAATCAATTAAAGCTGAGCTGTTCATAACCTTAGAAAGCAATGCCTTATCTTTGAAGCTTAAGAAACATGTGCTTCTCTGAATTTCCTTGAAAATAATTTAAAAAATGGTTTACCTATAACATTTCAGCAGCAATTACTCTTTCTCAACAGAGTGTACTTATTCCTCATTACTTTAAACACAATTTTAAAGAGTGTCAGTGAGGGTGTGTGGTTGTGTCTGTAGGTTTACTAGTCAGGAACATTCCTGAACATCCTACTGACCTCTTATTGGCAGGGAAGACAGATGCAATTGATCTGATTGATTGACAGAAAATGCAATTGATCTTCAGCTTATTGAGTTGCTTTAATACACTCCATATACCAACAGAAACATTTTGCTCTTGCTGTTGAGAAATATCTTTGTTTCAACACTGTGATTCCCTCACAAAATATGTATCCTAAAATGTGCAGCAAAAGATAACTAGATATTTAAAAAACTGTTTATTTTATAATAACACATAGCATATTTCAAGATATGTATTGTCATAAGGATTTAATCTGAGTTTTTAACTCAGTTGAGCTAAGTTTGGTTTAACAAGGGGCTTAAGATGTTAATGAATTAAAGAGATACTGAGGACTTGATTTGTCCGTTTATGATTTGAACTAATTGTTTTCAGTGATGTTACCAAGAGCTTTTCTTTCATTTGTAGGTTGGGGTGTTGGGGAGGACAGGGTCAGGAAAGAGCACACTGCTGTCCGCTCTGCTACGCTTGGCTTCTACTGAGGGTGATATCACCATCGATGGTGTCTCCTGGAATACAGTCCCCCTGCAGAGGTGGAGAAAAGCATTCGGGGTTGTCCCACAGGTATGTGTAAAGAGGATTTTGAGAGTGGAATTGCAACTCATTTCTGTTTTTAAAGATGAGTAACAGATTTTTGTTTACAGTTTTATAGCCCATGCTTCTTCTATGAGCACAGATTATAGTCTATGCCCTGGAGAATTTTGTTTCAATTCCAGTAACATGCCTTCAACTTTTGTGGTAATATTATCTTTAAACCATTTGTGCGGTACATCTATTGTATCAAAGTGCTGTATAAAGTAACAACAGAGAATCAAGAAAAACCTAAAACCTTCTGTAAACAGACTTAGGAACACGATGAAAGTTTGTTTTTAGTTTCCATGTAAAACCATAAAAAACATCAACACATGACCATGTGCTTCACAGATGGGTGTAGTAAGAGAAAGATCTCTCCTTTCCTTTTGGACTTGCTGGTTATAGCAATCAGGAGATTAGGGATAGTAGCCCTGACACTACATTATGGCAAAAGACCTACACTCACTATCTACAGTATATACTGTGTATATTTGAGAGAATTTCTGCAGCTAAAGTAAATAATCCAAAAGCACAATTACACTGTACTGTACATACGCAGTTCTAAATATTCTTATGTCAAATGTACACAAATAATTTGGATACACGGAATACAGAAATTGCATTCATTTGCCGAAGTATTGTAATTTTAGATTTCTTTTTCTTCTGTCATGCCTTTTACTAACATGCTGTCCCTTAGGCAAACCTGTAACTAAGGACCTTTGACATTTAGGGTTACAGTATTTCTTGTATTTGATAACACCAACATGTACCAGTATAAAAAATATTATGTTTATCAAACAACAGTAATGCTGTTTTAGAAGTGCCCATTTTACATAAAAATCACATTTCTTTCTAATTTACCTACTGGTAGCTAATTTATAAGCTCACAAACACATTTATTCTGTTAATTTAATTTGTTGGGTAAAGTTCAGATACAAATCTCTTCTTTTCTGCTGTCCACCAGAAAATTTTTATATTATCTGGGACATTTCGGATGAATCTGGATCCATATGGGCGATGGAGTGATGAGGAACTCTGGAGAGTCACAGAAGAGGTGAGACACTTCTTATTTATCGTCAGATTGTTTCTTATCCAGGTTTGTGAACCTGTCTTCTGTCTACTCATTTCCTAGTTCAATCTACTGTATATTGTTAAAGATGTAGATACTGTATGATGCTTCTTGCAGCAAACACTAGATAACCAGAAATTTATTTTTTCACTATCAGTCTTGTACTGCAAAGAGCTGGCTTTCAAAAACTAATTGAAATTGCCTCATAGTTCATAATTTTTCTAGCGTTGAAATGGTCTTAAAGCCTGATGTCTTCTGATGAGCCAGTAACTGTTGCACTTTTCAAAACTACAGCAGTCATGTGTTCATTGGCAGATACTGACATACTAAAGATCAGAAATACAATTACAAGCATTTGGCTAAAAGAAACGTCTTAAGCAACTTTGAAATGTACAAACAGGAAGAAATGTTTATAAGAAGTCAAATAACTGATTTCACCAATTGCAAACATACAGCGATGTTACATAATGACTCCTTGCACTTATTTACATATTTTCTCTCAGAACCCTTTTTTCTGATAAAAAGAGGTTAGATTTTTGCTTTGTCAGATATGTCTTGGAAGGTATTAGGAATGAAAACAACAGGGTTTAAACAGAACTAAAAAAGAACTAATGCATACTTAAGTGACTTGTCAGAACAGCAGTGAGAACTTTCCAGGTATTAACTTTTAATCAGTATAATGTACTATAAAGCAATCTTTCACACAGAATGAACACATTGATCCACAGCAACAGACCTCCAAAGCCTCAAGCCAAAATCGTTCAAGCCATCATCAAGATTAAAGCCCATGGTGTTATGGCCTTCATATACATTATCTTTCCAGTAATCTTAAGGGTATTTCCATCTGATAGACGTACTTAAAATATGCGTCCATTAGTTGAAAGCAGACATTTGCTTTGGAGTATGCTTAGAAGGTTAATTGGCACATATTACTGGATAAATATTGTTTTTGAAATATTGATGATTCACATCATAAGGATTATTATGGGGATTTATTTCAGGTTGGCCTCAAATCTGTCATTGAACAGTTTCCAGATAAACTGGATTTTCAGCTTGTGGATGGAGGCTATGTCCTTAGCAATGGATACAAGCAGCTGATGTGCCTAGCGCGCTCAATCCTCAGCAAAGCCAAAATCCTCCTACTGGATGAGCCCAGCGCACACCTGGACCCCATGTGAGTATGGCACATTGCAGACTGAGAATGTGATTACACGTCTGCATACTGTACATTCACCTCCTCGTCAAGGCCACATACTGTATTTAACATGGCCTTTCTAAAGGATGCTTTCCTCCGTGCTGCAGACAAATGTATTAGTTACATTTGGTAATGACTTTAAATCACAGCCGAGTGATTGCACTTTTGAAAGTGCAACAGAAAGCTTGCACTTTTACTAAAAAGAGAAATTTAATAAAATATATAGAATAAAGATATAGAATATATAGAATTTATGTAAAAACTAATTCTAAAATCATTCATTTTGAATATAATAGCTTCATAGCTTTTAGGAAGACTGTTTTTTCTCTTTTGGATATGCCAAACATACAGTATATAATTATTTAATTTCTCCAAAAATAGAACTCTACAGGTTCTGAAGAAGACATTAAAGCATTCCTTTTCCAACTGCACAGTCATGCTGTCAGAGCACAGAGTAGAACCCCTTATGGAATGCCAGTCGTTCCTGGTGAGTGCAATTTTTTCAGAAATTTTGTGAATTCACTACTTCAAGATAGTATAGCTTTTAGATCACAGGAGACAACTCTGTGAAAGAAAATAATAGTACTAAGTGCTAAACGTCTTAGAAATGTCAGACTACTTACACAGGAAGTTGCACACCTTGCAGTCATTGCTCACTCTAGATCATTTTATGAAAGAGTTTAAGTGAAACCTAACTTAGATTCTCACACCTAAAAGATACCTTTTCTCTTGCTAAATGTGCACCACAATCTATGAACCTAAAGAGAGCAAATTTTGTCTTAGACTAACTTAAAAAAAATCAACTATAACCTTGGCCTGTGATGACTGGTATTTTAGTCAAGAAAAAACAGGAGTTTACTTTTGCTGAAGCACATACAGTATATTTTTCATATACAGTATTTAAACATACAGGGTCAGATTCTGATCTACAGGCAAAATACGAATGCTAAGGCATATGTCTGAACACCTGACTTTCCAACTCAAAGAGGGATCAAACCACACTTTGTGCAGGGTGTGGTGATGAAAGTATTTCTCCTGAGATATTTTTTACTAATGCAACTACATAAAACAAATAATTTTCTGATGAAGCTGGACAAGCTGCTGGTATAAAAAAATGACAGATTGTTGAAAAGGTTACATTTCTTTTCATATTGAGATGCTTGTTTTGGAATATTAGCTCTGTAGCCTATTTCTGCAATGGAGTGCTGAAATCATGAATAGTCTTAACTAAGAGCAGTATCTTCAATAAAACATGGAAGACATGGAAACCAGTAACAGCAATTTCCCTGCTGATAGCGTTCTTATGACCGAATTATTACACTTCTCTTAAATTCAGTCATGACATGGTTTAGCTTACATTTACTTGCCTTTACCGGTATTACACCAAAATAAAAAATTACATCTTAATAATGGTTACTGAAATATTTGAGGTGATATATAGTGCAGCTTTCGTCTGGTTTCATTTTTCTATTCATACTGTCAAAAGCTGCCGCTGGTACTTCATTTTGTAAAAATAAAAAACGAATGCCAGAAATCATCGGGGGAATACTTGACTAAGTAATGAACTAAATCACATTTTATTAGTTATTATGATGGAGAATGAGAATATTTCAGCTGGTGGCAACATCCTAATATTAATTAGAACATTCAGAAAATTGGCCTATCTATTCTCTTTTGAATATATGAAACAATAGAGTTTTAATCTACTACATTTAACTACATTGTTGTACTGGAAAAAAAAAATGTTGGAGAGGAATAAGGGCATACCACATGGCTTTCCTGATTTTTCCAGGGGTGTCCAGTTCGGGTCCTGTGTAGTCAGTATGTCTGAAGGTTACTTTTAGGTCTCTTCAAAGGTACCAGCACCTGAAGTGCTTGCAGAAGTTGTGAAATTGCTCTACTTAAGCCAATAATAACCTGACTGAGATCATTTAGAGCAAGAGTTAGAATGAATACCTGAAGCCACACTGGCACACATGGACCCGGGAAAGGACACCACTGTGCAAGATCTCAGAAAAAAGCTCCAGTCTCAAAGTCACATTTTTTTGTGTTTGTCAGATGATAGAAGGCAGCTCGGTGAAGCCGTATGATTCCATTCAGAAGCTGCTGAATGAGACCACTCAGCTGAAGCAAGCGATAAGCAATGCTGAACGGATGAAGCTGTTCCCATTGCACCGCAGAAACTCCAGCAAACGCAAGTCCAAGCCCAAGATCACAGCCTTACAGGAGGAAGCAGAAGATGAAGTGCAAGACACCAGATTGTAACATAAGAGCCACTGACTATGTTCACAACGTCAAAGGCCTTTTCTCACTGCAAAGATACAGACTTCTTTTTTTATCCTGATGCACTAGATACTGTGCATTTAAAGAGGGCATTTTTTGTCTATTTTTTTAAACGTTTTTGAACTGATCCCTGGTTTGGAAAAGAACATTGTTCCATTTTTTCACATTCATTTCTTTTTGTTACATTTATTGCAGTACATATATGTACTTCTTTTTATTGGAACCTTTTGTAATGAAAGCAACAAAATGTCTGAAATTTCTTAATTAACCTCAAATACCATAATTTTACTTAGAAATGCACTTTATACAATGATTTAGTCATCATATTATTTTCAAAATAAAAGTGAAAAACAATTGTCTATTTCTAAAGTGATTTAAGAAAGTTTATTTTAGTTTCTAAGACTTTCGAAATGTATTGTTTTGAATTTTAAAACTATAATTTTATATATATTTTTATTATATACTTTAGCCAAACAGAAATTAGACTAAACAGCTATTTACTGCCATTATGGAAATATACTCCACTGCCTAACTTTAACATTTTATAAGAAGTGTTGAAAAAATGAATTCAACTGATCATTTTCCTTAAGTATTACTACTAGAATGGTTCCTCAGTGAGCTGAAGAATACAGATTTTACTTATGAATTAATTGTGCAGTAAAGCAGACACGCATAGTCTGGAACAAAAGATCCAATTAATGGTACAGATACTGTAACAATAAGCAGAACACTTTTTAAAACTCCTGGTAACTGGTATAGTACATTTCAAGTACAGTAATCCCTCTTTATACAGGATTAATTTTCTCTAAGGTGAAAATGTATAATGTATAATGGAAATTAAATTCCCATTACTTCCCATGTTATAATCTCTGATTCATTCCAGAACTAAAAAATGTTCGCCTTAATACTTTACAGAATTATATCATAGTGTGAAAACAATACAATTTCTAGTTAATCATAAACGCAATTTTGCATAATCAATAAATAGAAATGCTAATAATAGGAAACCAATAAGACTCCTGCTCACTTACAGTATAGTAGTTACACTGTTATAGCCGTTAACAAATGAATAAACATTAGGTAATATCCTGTACTATATGCACTTAACACACACACCAGCCTTTATAATAAAAACGTTGAAATGTAAAATGTAAAAAAACAACAAGTAAATTCCTCATCTGCGGAGATGCTAGAAAAGAAGAATCTGATCATTAAATGAAAAAACAGATATGCGTTACTGTTTTATAAATGAAAACCCATGTAGCAGTTGCTCTGAGGGATTACTGTACAGTATATATATTATGGAGGAAATCTGGATTAAATTAAATATGTTGTATTCACATGAAAATGAAAACACTGTATGTACAGTATATGTATATACTGTATAATCATGCTAAATAAAACTATAAGACCTTACTGTGAAACTGGGAACTCATGCAACATCAGAAAGCATCCACCAGAAATCCGTCAGGTAGATGTGGGTAATTAAAATGTTTATTATGGCTTACAGTTGAAAGAAAATGTCCTGTGTTTGCAATTTACGTTACTTATTGCCACATTCCATTCACTTTGAAACAAGTGAAAATTGATGAACCCAATTCTCCATATTACAAACATATGTACAGTACAAGTATACTGTCTTTACTGTACAAGTATAATTTCACTGACACCAAGCTCTATACCATATAGGTTTCTAAATATCTTATTTACACATATTTGGTAAAACCCTGATTAATAATAACAGTATTTAAAACAATCTTGCAACTATTTAAACATAGAACACTTTATATCTGAAAATATTTCAATAGCAAAAATTGCAGTTCTGTCGCTTTGATCCAAAATGTTTTTCACCTGAAAGGCAAAAGCTGGTTAAGCACTTTTTTATATTCAATACTGTTTTTTACAATAAACTATGGTCCCCAATACACAATGTTAATACAGTGTAACAAGTACCTTAACATGTACAAATACAAAGGCCGTAATAATTCTACTATACAACATGGAGACAAATTAAAAACGGTCAATAAAAATGTTAAGAAAGTCTACTTGTTATTTTCATGCAAGTCTCTGTGCAGAATCCAAATCTCCTCTGGTGAGTTATTGTTCAGTGGTTCCTGCCTTGTACTGCTGCTGCTCAATTTCAGTGTGCTATTACTGCGCTGTGTGTTTTTACTCATGGGAATGGGGAGAAGGGACTTGACTTTCATCTGTCCAGGTACATTATTCCTTTTGTCACTGCTGCATGTTCCAGGTGCGCTGCAGCTTAGGGCACTGCTGCTAACCTGCAAGGAAAGATGTGGCATTATTTCTGTCAAAAGGAGAAATTGTTATGCTGGATGCAAAGTTTACCAGGAAGAGCTGTGTTGGACATTTTGTTGTTGGACTCTTTACTGTATTGGGCTTATCTCCAGACAGGTGAAGTGTGAAGTGTGCAATCACGGGACATCCTCGCATAGACATGAAAATTGTCGAACCAGTTCCCCTAAATGTTTAAATGTCAAAGTTGAGACTATTTTAGAAACGCATATGACACATGGCCATCACAGTAAAGCTCCCTGGCTTTAATACAGTGATGTGGTGTAGGTCCATCTACTGTAGATCCAACCTTTGCAGGACAATCACTGGGAGTCAACTCAGGTCTGCTGCCTGAAAGCACAGGCAAGACTACTCATTAGGACTCCAGTTACAAGGAAGATGGGATGCACAACATCTTCTTCACGCGTTTCCATGTTATCATATCTTTCACTGTATCAGGACACCTGTGTCTGACTTACAGTGGCTGTCAAAAGTATTCACCCCCTTGGGCTTTCACAATTTATTGTGTTACAATATGGAATAATCATGTATTTAATTGGGATTTTTTGCCATTAATCAACATGTTATGACACACCTACAGTGTATACACTCTGGTGCAACGTATCAGTAGAAAAATTCTTAAATTGGACCTTTAATCTGGATTTCATGGACCTTTTGTCAGAAAATCAACTACAGCCATCTGTAAGCATTTCCAACATGCAAGTGAAACCATACCTTCGATGATAATGGTAAAAGAATTCTCTTTTCCACCATGAGCCCACAATACTGCTGCACACATACAGTACTTGCAAAAGGCTTGACTTCATGCTTCACAAAGTTCGCCCCACAATTAAAATATTTTTCTTATTTTATTCACTGAGGCTGTCACTTGGTAAATCATTACTGAAACATAGTATATTATATAAAGACAATTCCACCCCCCAAAAATACATTGGTTTACCGACTGACCGACTGTGGTAGTGACAGAGTGCTTTGTTCGTTATCGGCTTTCAAGGGCGACTGTTCACTCGAAGAGCCAGAAAACATAATGAAATCCTCCTTGGAATGAGCAATCTGAAACACAGTCACAAGTTTCATGAATGCCCCCCTCTTATAAAATAAAACATTTTCCATATTATCCTGGCACTCGAAAGGAAAAGGTAACTCAAAGGTAACACAGAAGTAACGAAGCAATTTAAAACAAATGGAACATTTCTGTCAGAAAGGCAGAATTATTCCCCTTTGTGTACAGTATGTACTAGTTTTTTTTAAAATCAGTTGTTGGTATTCAACCATTTAGCCAAATATAATTAAAGCTCACTGCTATATTGAAAACCCTAAGTTACGGATCGGACCTTCTTGTGATCAGTCAATCTCAATCAAGGGAGAACACAATATATACAGTTGGTGTATGTGTAAAGTATATATTCAAATGCATTCACAACTGAAAGAGGGGTTAAGAAATTCAATGGACATTAAGTGGGTATGATTTTCTAATTAAGCAGAGCTAATCACGTGATGTGACACATTAAACTCACATCAAGCAAAGGATGCTTATATCGGCCGGTGTACAGTAAATATTGTAAAACAACCATACAGGCTGTATAAAGTATTTACAAAAGTGGGGCTATTAATGCCAACTGGGTGCAGCAACATGATAAAAGCAGCAGTATGTGACATACCTTTGTCAGGAGAAACAAAATTCATAACTGCAAGACATTTTCATGAGATTGGACTTGTGATTTCATTTGCTAGGGAAAGCAGGTAAAAACCTCACCAAAACATACTGTAAAACTGCAGGTGCAGTTTCAGAAAGCAGAGAGTGGAGATAAGATTCTACAATTGTGGAAATGAATTGAGGGCCTACCTTGCTTATGTCCGGCTCAGACTTACTGGAGCACAAACTCTGCAGCTCCTGCATCAGGTCATGTTCATCATCAGATGACAGAGAGAATCTCTGGTCCAGTCCCACAGTTCTTTGCTGCTCTTTGTCTGACCTGTGAACACCAAGTGCTAATTAGTTCACACGAAGGAATGTAACTTATGCAAACTTATGCAACTTATTTTTGTGTTTTTCCAAGTTCAAAATGCAGAGCTCAAAATATATATTTTATTTCTAAATATTCTTTATTCTTTATGTTTTACAGCATGTGTCTTGAGAAACATTAATTGCCAATAGGTTTTTGGTGTACATTGTTTGTACATTTGTTGTGAAATGCAACCGTTTCTTAAATGATAATAATAATTGTTGCTGAAAAGCTGGTCAACACTTTAGTCTTTTCTCACATTGACTACTGTAACACTATTCATAGGGATATCTAAATCCACATTGACAACAAACTACAGTACAGTATGTCCAGAATTCAGCTTGATTAGGAATAGTGCAAATGATCACATTGCTCCTATCCTGGAGTCCTGGACAGGCTTCCTGTCAGGTTTTTGTGTGGACTACAAAAATCTCTGGTTAACCTATAAGGCTCTGCATGGCTTTGCACCTCAGTAGTCTCTTACTATCGTCCTACTCCACACCTCGAAAAAACCTTCACTACACAAAGTTCAATCCATCTAATTCTGGTCTCCTGTCTGTCCCCCAAGCCCTCTATACTCTATGGGTCACAGATCCTTCTCCTGTTCACCCCAAAGCTCTGGAACTCTATTCTAAGGATATTAGAGAGTTACTCTCCCTGAGCTCTCAGAGCTAGACTCTAAACCTTTTTTTAGAAGGCCTTTAATTTAACTAGTTCTGTGTGTCCCTTAACTTTCCTGTGGAATACATGCTCCCATTTACCATCTCCTTTCAATGTCTCAATGTATATACTGTACTGTATTATTATTAACATTGAACATCACCATAGCAACTGCTTTACTGCCCTCTGCTGGTGCCTGGAAACAAGGCACATTATCCTAACATCTGGAGAACTTAGTTGAAGCACCAAGTGATCTCCTGGTGTGTCTCTGAAGTATCCCTTGTTAGATTTAATCTCAAGTAACATTGTTTCTACATATTACTAAATCCAAAAAAGTAACATGTATACATGTATCAACAAACTGTACAAATCAGTAAATGCATTCAAACCATCTGAATGTCTCTCAAACTGGAACAAATTCAAATTCTAAGAGGATTTTAGAATTTTAAAAATAATCTTTAGAGGTCTGAAAGACTCAAATTTGTCTTTTACTTTTTAGATGCAATAATATCAAAGGAACTGCAAAAGTTACTACAGTGCATACTACAATCAATATTCCCTATGTACAGGTGACATAAATCACCTATACCAAATCCCACTAGGAAATTTTTCTTTGGGCTTACATCTGTGAGTTTGAGTTCATCCTGCCGAAATGAATGTCTAAGTCAGTCTTTGACTGTGAACCTGGAAGCAAAGGAAGACAAAGATGAGAGTACTGTATATCACATCTTGCAGTGTTGCTGTCTTGACTCTGTTAGCGATGTTCTGGTTAGTGATCCAAACACCTGTCAAAATGTTAAAGTCTTCACAGGTAGTGTAATTCTAAAGTTGTGTAAAAAGAAAACTGCAATGAATACAGATTTTAGTGGTAATTGCATGTAAATATTCCAAAGATCCTGTTGTGTCAATTCCAAGTGCTAAAGACACCACTGCTGGCTACCTTATGACTTGGTAACAGCAGCCATCTGGTAGAACTGAAGTTTACAACAGAGTGAACAAATAGCCAGACACCTTCTTATAAAAACAATCAGGCTCTTTACCTAATACGTCATAATGTATATAAAAAAATATCTTCAATACTCTCCTAAGGCAAAGAAGAGAAACAGGCTTTATTTTTCAAAATCACATTAAAAATAATAAAACGGTTTACAACTCAACAGAACCATACTTCATGTGTTATCAAATTAAAAAAAGATATTTATAATAGTCTAGACCAAGTAAAGTTATTTATTACAATTTTATTTTTCCTGTTTTTCCTTTTTTAACACGATTCAATCTCTCTCATTGGAACAGAATCTTGCAAAGAATTTCAAATTAAAACAGATTTTAGATTTTTTTTTACAAATATAATAGGTCACAACAGGTAGAAGTGGGGGAATTATCTGAGGTGTGTTGCAGTTCTATTGGTTCACCACAGGGCTGCATCTTGTTCCCTTTATTAGATATTTTGAACACTAAAGACTGTCAAATACTGTATATATATATACACACATCTTATTAAGTTTTCTCATGACACAAGCCTTGTCAGCTTAATAAAAAACACAGAATATCAACTCCGAATATAGATAGATAGATAATACTTTATTAATCCCGTAGGGAAATAGTCAGTTAAGTCATAGAGAAATATGCCCTTTCTCTATGACTTAACTGACAAGTGACATTAACTTTCTCTGGAGTAGAAAGAAAAGGTAATTTCAGGAAAAACCTCATCCCCCTCCAAATCACTGTGATAAAGAGTCACTGAGCCTGTAGATTTTACCAATGATTGCAAATGTTTGAGACTCGACATACTTAAAAATGTAAGGAGGGACAAATGTTGTGAAACTGAAAAAAGAAAAAAAATCCAGAAGAGACTAGAGCAGAGGAAGCTTAGCTTTTTTTAAGATAGAAAGGACATATTTTAACATTTTTCTATTGATCTTTATTGAAAGTATCTTAATGTGCTGTTTTATCTGGTGCTTTGGTAACATCACTAAAGCAAATAGTAATAGGTTAAGGAAAATAGTGAACATACAGTAAGTACTAAAATCAGTGAGGGTGCATCAGATCCACCTCAATGCACTCCACAAGCCAAGGGTTCTAAAGAAGACTACCAGCATTATGGAGTGTGTAGCACAGCCCCTCCACTGGTAATTCACTCTACTCCCACCTGGAAGACACCTCTGTGCTTCAGGATGTACAACACGTGTGACAGATCTAGGAAACTGTTAAAGTATATCCCCTCTGCAAGTTCACTTCTGAAGAATGTAACATAATTATGTCAATCTTTCTTGTGCTAGGATGGTTTCTACTGTATGTTGTATTATGTTGGGCTCTGCCAAGAATGTCCTCTAGGGACTAATAACAAAGACTGAATTTGAATTGGAGGTCTCAGGAGAGACAGGTCATGGGTTTAAATCCCAGGTGGGATAATGTGGCTGAGCAAAGGTATTTCACACAAAATTACAACAGCAAATTTGTCAGCTGTACAAATGGGCAAACCGCAGGTTGTCCCGTTAAAATAACAAATGGTTAACAACGTGCTGAGGAAGTGAAGACTCACACTTAATGATATATCTGCACGTCTAGCCACAATAACCTGGTTTACCTAAGAGGTCTTCTTCTTCCCAGTACTGACCAGGCTCCAACTCCCTCATTTCCAGAGATCTGATAAGCATATTTTGAACAGGGTGGTTCTGTGGCTAAGGATCTGCACCTGTGGAAGCACCTGGAAGGTTGCTGGTTCAAATCCTGCAGCTGGCAGAGGAATCCTACTCTGTCAGGCTCCTGAGCAAGGCCCTTAACCCCAGCTGCTCCAGGTACACCATATAAACAGCTGATCCTGTGCTCTGACCCCAAGCATCTCTCTCCCTGTCTATATGCCTGTGTGTCTCATGGAGAGCAAGCTGGGGTATGTGAAAAGACAAATTGCTAATGCAAGAAATTGTACATAGCTAATAAAATGATCTTATCTTATTTTTTTCTCATCTTTTCTTCCGAAAGCCCCCTCCTGCCTGGTCTAAGAGCCTGGAGCCTGCCCGGTTCACATTTCCTCACCTTCCCTCAGAGTACTGGCTGTGCCCCAGGCCTTTGAGAGGCTGCCCTTCTTGCGTGGGCTGGTGTTCGCCTTCCTCCAGGAGCCGATCTCTCTGCTCCTCTTGGTGCTGCCTGTACCAGCCGTGAACGCCGGCAGCGGGAAGCAGCCCCCCTGGAACTCCGAGAGATGGTTTTCGATCTCTGCAAGGATACGCAACCCACCACAAATACTGTAATAATAACGGCAAAATCAACATGCGCATTTACAAACCAACCAGCAAACGACTTTTTAGTCACGTTGCAGGTGGAAAGGCCTGCAAATGTCAGGTGTTGTTATCTGCTGGTGTGTGTAAGTCAGAATGGTAGGAAGCAGCAGGTGGTGTGTGTGTTGTATACCCGTTCGTCAATCAGAAGACCCCGTTACCTGCACTGGGAGACAGTGTGTGCAAGCTATGGCTGACTGTATGTAAGCCAACATACAGTCTGAAAGCCACTATTTAAGGAAATTCCAATTCTGTTTGAATTTTATACACACCATTAGTGCTTTCAAATGGCAAATTAAGCAATGCTTCATACAGTACCAAGCAAGTGCCTAGCTGCTGTTGTGATTCAGCCTGCTTTCACAATTCCTACGTGCAAACACCATGCAGTGCCACCCTCTTATAATGGGGGAGCCCAGGCCGTAAGTGGGAGGCTGGGCTGTGCTTTGCATTATGATGAGAATTGGCATTCTTGCTCCAGAAAGAATTTAAAATGCCCTTGAGCCAAAATGACAGATGACATTTAATATAAACCACCATTTCAGATGTTTAAAGTTCAATCCTTGCTATTTTTAATTTTAAATTGTGTATTTTTATGTCATTAACTATAAATAACACTGAATCCAAGGAATATTATACAGTATTGCATCGTTCTATACTTCCTGATAATTTATTTTGACTTTTAGAAATGTAGTGCAAGAGAAACTTTAAAAGTACTCTATGTTACAGTTTTAAATTAAATATGCTTAATGCACGGTTTATAGTATTGTAAAAACAAAACTGACTGGCTCCTTTTTTAAGCTGATATTGTAACATGCTGAGTGCTTTCTCTGTTTGACTGAAGGTTGGAAGGTTTTACTCCCTTAAGTAAAATAATGGATGATAACTATGTATTGTACTGATCCTAAAAATAAAACTGTCTTGATACATATAATTTAGTCCCAGTGAAACAGACCTGTTTTGGAACAAAGAAAAGACCGGGATGATTAAACACTTTCCAAAAATAATTAATTTTCTAGCCTTCTTGCATCACACTGTGATATAAGCTGACTGAAAGATTACTGTATTTTAAATTGCTAAGCATTCACAATATAGACATATATAGAGAGTTAAAATATGGAATTTCACATGAACCCTTTATGATCTAAATACACCAGTGTTTTACTACAGTATTTTGTATGCTGCAAAAACTATACAGAAAATATCCATAAGGGAGCAAGCCTTTTTACAACCTTATCTACAGTGACATCACAAGGAAAACAGCAAGTATCATCCCACAGCTCACAACTGACAACCCACTGTAGTGCAGCAGGAGTGAGCCTGGTAAGTACCTGGATGGGGCACTTCTGGGAAAGCTAAGGCTGCTGCTGGAAGAGGTGTTAGTGAGGCCAGCAGGGGGCGCTCACCTTGCAGTCTGTGTGGGTCCTAATGTGCATCACTACAGTGATGGGGACATTATACTGTAAAAAAGGTGTCCTCTTTTGTAAGAGATATAAAACCAAGGCCTGACTCTCCTTGGACAGTTGATTTAATATATTAAAGTCCAGCATGACTGTCTGTGCTTACAATTATTATACCAGACTGGGATTCCCTGTTGACATTCCTATGGAAACCAAGTGAACAGCACTGTCTAATTCATCATCTTTAGTGCAGCACCTTTCTTTAAAATGTCTGCCCTGGTGTCAGTCTTACTGTGACGATATCTTGAATATATCTTGAAGCCTTTCACTTGCTTTTCACAGTATGTACATCTTTTGAAAAAGCTGCTGGAGCTTTACATTTTCATTAATTTTCATTTTAACAAAGATTTTCATATTCTGCCACTTGCCTTGCTTTACTTTGCTTCCCCGTGACTTCGAGTCACATTGCATTATGTGGGAACGGGAAGTTACTGTGTCAAAATGACTAAAACAGGCCACATTATAAAGGGATAGTACTGTACATACTGAACTGTCCACTAAAATTAACATATATTAACTAGCTTTTGATCCTTTAAGGTTCCTTCATTTCGCAGATCACATTACAATATGTAATATAACGTAAGACAAACATTCATAACTTATCAATTAAAAAAGGAGTGCAGTCCTCCTTATAATATACTATCCAGCAAAGCTTATTGCTTTAACCCCAGCCCAGCCTTTTTAAAAAGTAATTTTTAAGGTAATAATGTGGCAGAAAACAACCCGCTCTGGTGAAACTATATTGAACATAGTCCATTTTCAAGCCTCTGCTCTGAATTGCTTTTTTCTGAGATGGAGTTTGAGTGGGAAGAGGATATACCTGGCCTCGGCAGTGGGCAGGCCGGGAGAACAGCTTTGTTGACCAGGATGCTGAGAGCAGCTTTGGCCACGGCCTGCTGCCCTGAGCTGAGGCTCTTGCTGCTGGGAACTTGGCGCTGTGCTGGAGCCCTCCTGACTGTCGCCCTGGAGACAATGACTTCCTGTACCCTGGGAACCACCACGGCATTCCACAGTCTGGACAGCCACCTACACACACAGACGCACACCGTGGTTTAGCGCTCCTTAGAGCCACATTATTTCAGCTACTACAAAAACATGTAAAAACTCTTCACACAGTGGGATATCCATAAGCCCAGGGCTGTGGCTTTATATATATAATGCAATGGTAGTTTTTCTGCAAGGTTGCTCACTTGAAGAGAATTAAAACTAACATTGATTTACATACTGTAGATGTAAACATTACATATAAACACATGGCTCACATTTTAACAATCCATCTGGAAAAGTTAAAAGTAAATATCATAAACTTTCTTTACATGAATGGCTACACTGCATTGTACAGATATGTACTGTATTTCAAACATCAGCAACAGACAGGCGTGTGTGGGGACAGACTCACTTTACAACTGCAAGGGGCTGTCCTGGAATGACGGGGCAGGAGAAGAACATGTGGGGTCCAATCAGGGCTTCTGGGGTTCCCAGGCGTGACAAGCAGGAGTTAAGATGCTGCCACACGGAGCAGATCCACGCCACTGTCTTACACAGCAGGTCTGATGTTGGAGGAATCTGACCCTTCATCTTAAAGAAAGAAATAGACTCACACTCATTACAAAAGACATTTGGGATCATCTCCTATTAGGTAAATGGAACTGTTTCTGATTAGCATCTTCTAACAGCTCTCTTAATTCGAACCATTCCATTACTAGTGTTCTAGTAGTTTTAAAACCTTAATAAACAATGCATTAGAAATGGAGATGATGCACCCTGCAGAGAACAGTTTGCTGTGCTGCACAGATTTATTATTGTACTGGTGGTTTCAAAAGCCTTAAGATATTTTCTGCTACAGCACTTAAGATATTTTCGGTTACAGGTAACTAAAATATAATCTCGTCATGATAATTAGATATTTTCCACAACCCTGTACAGGGATACAGTACATTGCACGAAGGTCCTCCTCATCGTTGCAACTTATAACTCAAAAGTATAGAACATGAGAGCCATTCGGAACAAAATTTAGTACTGTGGACTGGGAGGCCATCTTATTTTACTTGAGAAGGGTTTTCCTTTTGACGTCACTCTTGACGAAGCACGTACTGTGGCACCGTGACCTGGCGTGTGACTTTTACAGTGTACTGAAATACTACTGTCCATGTTTCCGGACAGTGTCCTTCCCCGGGGGAAGGCGGACAGCAGTTCTTACCTTATGTATGAGCTTCCTCTTGAGGTGGCGGTGTAGGAGGCCGTGGAGCGGTTCCGAGTCCCAGCGCAGCTGCACCCAGCGGAAGTGCTGCTGCATCAGCAGCTCTGCGCCATGGAGGCGTGACTTTGACAGAGTCCCGATCAAGAAGCTCTCCTCCTGGAAGTAATACAGGCCAGAGCTTTCCTGAACTGATGGGAAATATAAAACACAGTGAGGTTATATAACTGCCAGGTGGATTAAAGTTTTCTTTTTAGTCAAGAAGGTTTTGTAATTGAAGCAATTATTATTGAACGGCATGGATAGTATATACACATGTTGCCGTCATCAATGTTCCCTACAGGAGGGCTTTTGAAAATTTTCTCTTGAAATTAAAGGGTGGCATTATCATGGTGGAACGTGTATGAATTCAAGGGTAGCATAATCATGGTACATAAGCTTTTTACACAAGGCTTAAGCACATGGAGGTGCACAGTGGGAAAGGACATTCTCTTGCTACAAAGAGGCTTTTTTGCCAGCCATCTTGTTAACTCAACTGTTCTGTTTGTTCTCATGGGGATACTACGAATTACAACTCTGGATTAAAGCCCTGCCTTTTGTCTGAATTAATTATTTACAACACTTTACAGTAAGTGTGGCTGCTCTCTATATTGATCGATGATGTTCTGTGTGGCGGTTGGCAGCTAACAGCAAAGCCCTCACCAGGGTTCACGAGGAGTGGGCTGCCTGAGCCCCTGTTTTCCAGGCCTTCACACAGGTCACCCAGGAGCTCAGACAGAGAACCTGCTTTCTCCAGGCCCTCCAGCACAACCACTATGCAACTGCTGCCAGCCTGCTCCTTCACTGGGATGAGAAAACCTGAGACAGAAGACCAGGGACATGGCACAGAGAGTCACACAGACAGACAGATAATGGGCCTTGCCTGTCATAAGTAATGTATGTATGCATACTACCATCTGCTGTACCTACAACATGACCTCCACACTCTATCTATATTTATATAATTTCTTGTGTTATAGTAAATTCTTTCTCTTCTGTTGTATTAAGCGTTCTGTTCTTCACAATGCACTTTATGTCATACTTCAAAGGTTTATATTGTCACACTAGATTGATTTAATCAGATAAGCTGGTTCTTTTTCTCATTTAAAATTAATGGGCTATGCTGAAGTAATGTTGGAATCCAGTGTGCAGGCTTAAAGTTGCAACTGCTGCCAGCTATGAAGACAAATGTTAACATGTTAACTTTCTTTAAATTGCAAGGCTGTTAGCAATGTGATTTCAAAACCTCAAAAACCTTCAAATAACTAAATACAAAATTAATCTTACAATAACAACAAGCAAAACCAAATGTACTCTATCTCTAAACTAGTTCTTAAATCAACCTTTTGCCATCTGTCTGACCTGTTGAGCGAATTCTTTCAAATTTCACTCTGGGTAAATGAATCTCAGATGCAGCCGCTGCTTTCTTGTACAATCTCACAGAGATGATTACTGTAAATATTCCCTATTTCATTCCACTTCTAGCTACCCTGCTGTTCAAGGACTTAGCAATCCCAGCTTCCTTAACACTCCCACATAAACAAAATCCCATGATAATGAAGGACTGCACAGCATATATAATCAAAAAGCTTAGGCGGTAAACATGAAGACTATGTGATGATAATGTAGCTAACTCTCACATTATACTATCAGATCCTATAATGTGGCACCATATTTAGCATTGCCTTTATCTGTATAAATAAGCAGCATCCTTTTAATAATTCATAGCCTCTGTATTCCACAGACTTCTGAAATCCTCATTTTGAGCATCCAGTTCTACATTCCTTGTATGATTATCTAAGAAATGAACCAGATGATTAATGGACTGAATAAAACATTGTTAAAATCACACCCTTGCCTCCCTTGAAGTGCTGGCTTAACAGAACACCATCTTTTATAGAAGGCCACAAGTATTGTAAAACATCCCTGCACAGAAGCAAGACCTGAGGACAGCCTTGAAAACACAAGGCTTCATTCCATGATTTATGGTGTGACGCTCTTAGCGACTTTAGTGAGACAGAATACATGCCAAATCTGATGCTAAAAAAGGGAGGCTATTTACCACAGTTGATGAAAAACTCCACCAACTGTTCCTTTGATAAGTTGGCATCGACTTCCAGTGTGACAATGTCGCAGCTGATACCCACTGGTTTTTGCTTGTGCTGAGAAGAAAGAATAGATTATATACCTCTAAACATATACTGTACACAGTCCACAGCAGAATGAATGCACTCATTTCTTATTTTTTATTACCTTTATATACTGTGAAATCTGGTTGGCTATGTACTCCTGGCAGCTTCCTTCTGGCCCGTGAAAGATGACATTGCGGTATTGCTCCACCTATGGGAAAAAAATACCATATAATACCATATCTGTACACTCAGATGATAGTTATGAAAGCACCATAAAGTAAAACTTAGTTGTGACAAAATATATTTATTTGCCAATATCCTGTCATGAATCCTTCCCTCAGTTTCTTGAAACATTTTATCAAATGTTTAGATACTTGGGAAAAAAATAAGTGTCATGTCTTTTAATACAATCTTATCTAGGTTGGTTGTAATCAAACCTACAGTAGCCTGAGAGCTTGGTTCAAAGTGTATAGTTTGCTTTTAATGGTGCGCAGAAATACATTCACAAGTTAAGCGCTGTTATTTATCATGAAACAACTGCAGTATGGGTGACTCTGCACTTCATCATGGCTGCTTAGTCACAGGGAAATGTAATGTGACCACTGCTATCCTGAAGGGCCTGGAGATGAGGAACAACACTGTAATAACTGTGTTGATGGTGTTCTTGTTAAATAGCTAACAAACCTTGATTTGATAAAGCTGTTAGAAAATGGATGAATGGAAATCTCAAGAAGATATTCCTGTTCAAATTAGTAACCAATAATCAAGCGAGCATGACAATGAAAACTCTTTGAGTGACAATAAACATCGATTGTAACATATCAGTTAGCTCAGCCCATTTAAAAGTGAGGTGGTTTTGCACTTCTTTCACATCCTGAAGCTCATTTTCAGGTAAGTATCTTTAAGCAGTGCCAGGTTGTATCAGAGGCTCTGATGCTGCAGCCGAGTGTAGGAGAAATAATTCCTTAGAGAAGCACCAGTCAGGTGCAAGCCAGCTCTGCTCAGTCATATGCTGTCGTAAACTGGTAAGTTAGTTTAAGCATTAGAAATATTTTATTTGTTGTCTAATGTACAACATTGAATGGTTCGTGCCTTTAGTGCACATACGGTACCACCTTTTGATGGGATTCCATTACCTATTAGTGTACAAGAAAGCCCTGTTTGCTATGGAGACATATGGATATTGCAGTTACTTCACATCATATGCAAAGCATGTGTATATTTCACACTGAGAACAGATGTAACCTATTCACACAACTGTTTGTGGGTCAGGAATAAGCTCCTGGCTGCATTGTTATACCCAACTGTATCTAATGGACAGTTCAAGAAATGTCTAGAAGAGATTCCTGTTTAAATTAGTAACCAGTAATCAAACGGGCATGATTGATGTGAGGTTCCTCCTCTTGCTTGTAACCCTTCTGTAAAGAGCCCCCTCAGCTTCACTAACAGTTAATCTGGCAAGTGTGTGTTATAAAGATTATCGCATCACTTTCATCACCAGCAACATTCGATCCTTCTACAATTATTTGTACCTTTTTAAGTACTAAACACTGAATCACACAATTAAATTGTGAAAGGAAGCATGTTTAAATAATATTTGGAGAACCAAAAAAAAACAGCACTCAAATTTCCCAAAACAGAAATGCAAAATTCAGAAAATAACCCATTATTTAATTTTTTGTGATATCATAAAAGCACTCAAAAAACAACTGGAAGTCTTGAGTCTTGAGATCAATGTATAAATCCAACTACAGTGTACTACAGTGCACTACTTTTTTGAGTTGATACATATTAATAAAAATTCCTTCATTAACTTTTTAGGCCATATTTAATACATGAGAATGTATTTCAACATTATTTTGCTACTGTATGTTCAAATACATGGACATGTTTTATCTTCAGTATCACAGTGTTTACTACAGTCTACACACCAGATAACCACAAATAAGTGCAGTTACTGCATTTTGTTAGAAATAAAACTCATTTCAAAATATACTGGTGGAAAAAAAAATGCAACCATTTCTGGAATGAGAATACTATAGTTATAGCTTATTTACTTTCACAAAAAGTTGTCAATTTGTTTTAAGCCCAATGACCTGCAATACAGCTTGTGCAGTGAGGCATTGCAACTTGCTAATCACACAAAAGCTCTTTTACCCAACGAGGTCCAGGTGGAACAATGCCTGATCAGGTCAACTTTAAAAAAGCCATAATTCACAGCTTAGGTCACTGCAAGAAAAAGGCCACACTTCTGTGCAATTCTGTGCATTCCATAATGTCTCGAATGTCACCAGAAGCAAAGGAGAGGGCCATTGGCATGCTGCAGGCAGGCATATCATATGCCAGCATTGCCAGACTATGGAGTAGGCTGCTTCACTGTGTCCTGACTGCGGAGAAGGTTTAGGCATGACTGCGTTTAGTCCTGACTGCGTCCAAGATCCGGTCACCCTCGAGTGACCACACTAGAGCAGGACCAACTGGTCCACCTGAGAGATCGTTTCAGATCTGCCTACCATACTGCTGCTGAAACTGCTGGCAGACACAATGCCCGCATCAGTGACAGGACAGTGAGGCTCTATGCTGCTGGCCTTATAGCAAGGCAACCTGTCAGAGGCCCTCTGCTCACACCTAGACGTCACACCCGACTGGCTTGGGCCAAACAGAGGCTGTGATGGACTCATCAGGAGTGGCATCAGGCCCTTTTCACAGATGAGTCACTCTTCTGCCTGTTCCACGCAGACGGGAGGGCCAGACTGTGGAAGGGGAGGTGTTGCATTTCTTTTTTCCATCAGTATACAGTATATATATATAGTATCTTTAAAACAAATATTTGTTCATACTGTACTTGTAAATTGTCTGGAGTTAGGGAAGAAACAAATTATGAACCATAATTAATCATATTCCTAATAATTACTATTACATTATTTGATTCATAAGATATATACTAATACTTTCTTCTGAATGTGAAAACCAATGCATACAGAGACTTTACAAAGGCCTGTGGTAGTTGATATGTTACTCATGCTTATTGAAGAATACTGCAGTTTACAACCTTAAACACAGCAGCTGTAAAGGTGTCACCATGGTATACTTGTGTATCAACCAACGTCTTATACAAATATATGAAAACAGCCAAAAAAACATACTAAATATATTAATATTTGGGTGTATTTAAAAAATATTACATTGTTTTCATACTAAAATGACACACTTACAGCCATACCAGACTTATGATTTAAAAACTACACTTCAATACAGCTTCAGTAATCTTAGTAGTCAGTAGTTCCTTGTCATTCCACTCTGACTTAATTATTTTCTCACCTAATTCTCAACCAGCTAGCAGCTACTTCTACGTACAGAGCCAGTAGGTGGCACACAAGGATTAAATAATTTATCCACAAGAACTGACATTTCTAGGTTTTTGACATTTCTTGAGTTTTGCTAGCGATGAAAAATGTGAAGAACATGAATCAAATTTAAAAGTTGTTCAGAGACACATCTAAAATCTAAAACTACTGATGTAGATACAAAGATGCTTGTTCAAATGACCAAAGAGTTTTGTACAACTAAATAAACAAAACCAAGGTAAAATCACAGTACTAGTATTTATACAAGTTCCTTTTACTCTGAAATACTTGAATTGTTGACTTTAATTGAATTCCACAACTTAGAGTAGGTCTGTATATAATGTGTTTTTTATCAGAAACAGCTGAAAGCAAGATACTAAATCTCAACAGCTACTGTATGTTGTCTGACATATATTATTTTTGATTACACTGAAATCAATAAAAGGACAACTTGACTTAAAACAAAGCCATGCCAAAATACATACAGGTAGCAGAATCTTGTTAACTACTGTATACTGTATGTTCCTGAATTCTGGTTTTCAACACTCCAACCAGTATAAAATGTTTAACCTATTATGATATCCTCAATAACAACAGAATACTTTCACATCAGGTTCTATAAAAGTCTCCTGTGCTATTCTGCGTACCAGCCGAATGTAGTTTTGAAGAAACTTGAGTGGGATCAGAGATGCATATGTCAAGTCATCGAGAGATGATTCCAACAAGCCTGTCAAAAAATAAATCAGCAGAAGAATGAGTAAGTCACCTTGCATCTTTGAGCCTTGAATATGCAGTTTTGCTGCCAAAATCTAAATGGAAAATGCATAACCTTTCAAACCATCAACTTTCCAAACACTCTTGAAAAACAACACGTACTGTATATCACCCATACTTCCTGCTCTAGAAACTACGTCAAATCCAAAATAATATAGAGCAAGCAATCAAATGATTTATAGCTTTATTATTTGCATGGATTCCCAAGATATTGAGTTCAAAACAGAAAGACTTTTAAAGGCATTACCATTGGACAAATAAACATTAATCAGATGTGTAATCACAGAGAATTATAAAATAGTTGTGAACACATGGAGTAATCTGAGAGTACTAAACAGAATCATAAATGACTAATTTTTATGTGATGTTTTGCAAAGATGAAGCAAAGAGGAAATAAAAAAGTTTATGCTGATTTTTTACATTAAACCCACTTTCTAGAATGCAATAGTTTGGACAAGAATACTCTACAGAGATAAAAAGAACAAACAAACCTTTCAGTCTCACTGTGACACACTGAGTGTGACACTTCCTTACTAACTCCCAAGGAGACTGAGCTTGATCCTGACCTGGATACCAAGTAACATCTCCTAAAAAACATAACAGTTTATGCCATTGTAACCCACCATCAGAGAGAAGATTTGCTCCCACATTGTTTATATGCTACAATATTATACTGAATTAAGTACTGTTTGCTTCACCTACAGAGGGTGTGTATGGTAAATGTGATTCCATACTAAACATGACAAATGTCGATGACAAAAAGGCACAAGTACCCAAGCTTTTATCTTCCAAGCTAATTCAGGGGAGCAGAGCACTAACAACTTGGAATAGCATGTGTGTATCTTTAATTGAGCCAAGTTCCCTTACCCTTCTCTCTTGTCTCATACATAATACATGCACTTCCTGCTGTCTGTTTTTCATCTGAAACATCAATTAATTCCTCACCGCAATCTTTCCTTCTTCTCCTGTATTGTAAATTGTTCTCTACAAGTGTAGTCCTCTGGACCCCAAAGCTCCTCACATACAGAGCAGCTAATGTACTTAAAACCTTCATATTTTGCTGTTAGGAACGGAGTTTACAGAAAGCAAAGAATGATAACAAGCTTATTTGTAATGGATTTTCTAAAGCTTTGTCCGAAAACATCATACATAATTCACAATCAGGGGTTTTCACAAGATGTTTGTCTTCAGTTATAAAATTAGTTTTACTGTTATCCATAGTTAAAATGTATTATAGTTTTGCTCTACCTATTGACTGAACAGCAAAGAAAACTGAGTTACAATATGGAACCACATACTCATTTATATATTATATCTTATATTTTTATAAGATATTTTAAATAAACATGCTCTTGAAATTTGCAGTTTGCACTTGAATTGATCACATCCAAAATTCGGAAAACATCCAAAATTTAAGTGCTTTTAACATTTATTAATGAGATTGGGATTAAGAATATCATTGTTGATTTGTGAATATCTGAAGTGGAATTTTGAAGCTACATCCAAGCTCAATTAGGCCTCTTTAGAAAAGGGTTTCCTCTTGGCTCTGTCCATCTCTGGCTCTGTCCCAGAATGCTTTGCCAGTTCAATGGGCAGTCTGCGAGCTGCCCTCAGTGCAGTGGAGAAGAGAGGTGCTCATGCACTGGTAAAACATTGCTGCCAATCCTGGTGCTAAGAGAAGCTATTGGAAAGCACACATTTCCATGAGCATATCCAGCTCTGTATCTTTATCAGAAAAGCAGCAAAGTGTTTTGACTTTATAAGACAATGAATCATGAATTTTCTAATTAAAAAGAGAGGAGGCAATTGAGCAAGCTTGCAGTGCATTTAACAAGCCATCCAAAACTGCAAATTACCCACTGTATTATTATACTTTTTAGCTTTCTATTTTTAACAGATATATTTTTAAAATCTCAAACAAGGATACCTACATAAGGTTTGTGAGTATGAAATTAATAACTGAAAAATGTATTATCATTTTTGAATCAGCTCTCTCCAGTCACTTCCAGTTCATTGTTGCTCTTTCAGTTTCTGAGATTCAGAACTAAAATATTCATATTACTGCTAATACCAACTGCTTCTTGCAAGAACAGAGTAAAACATAACAGACTCAGCCAGTGGAAAAGGGGTATTAATGCAAACAAGAGGTATAGGAAAAAAGGATAAGTCTTCTAATTGAGTAGGAATACTAGTTTTATAGTCTTTCTGCTATTGTTTAATTCTGTGGATTATGGAAGGCACACAGTTCAACATATTCTTTCATTTTCTGATTATACAATAATGGTGTGAAAACCTTTGGTTCACTATAAATGATACTGTATGTTACACTGTTGATTTTTGCACAGAAATTGTAATAGGGGTGCATAAAAAGAATTATTTTAGTTGGAAACACCTTACCTATCTGGACTGAAAAGATGCTTTTTGCACTCAGGCCAATGGGGGCATCCATATTGATATTTAGGACCGAGCTCCTATCTTCCCATCCACTTGAAAGAAAGTGAAAGTGGTTCACAACAACCTGGGATATGCTTTTGGACATGTCTTCCCAGCTGGTATGTTTCCGAACTGTTACAACCCCTATAGTGATTTCATCTTCAGTAATATCCACTGAACAGATCTGTTCATCTGTGCTCCTGTGGATCTTTACGAGAACCTTATATGAATCTGTGAATAGAAAAGTTTAAAAGGTGTGCTTTTTAAAGTATCCTCTGTATCATACTTCCTCTAGACTAAAAAAAAAGATCCACATGGGACACATTATATAAATGGGTATATGAAGTCCCAGCCTGTTGTTAATTTGATGTTAAACAAATGGGTCACCTCTTACTTTCCAGAAGTATTTTTGTCTAACTAGGTCACTTTTCAATGCCCTTCAATAACATATTGATTCCCTTAACTGAAGCACTGTGTTGAAAACATGATTTTAAGCATCCCTTTTCGATTAGAAAGTAAGTCTGATTTAGGAGAACTTTGTGATTAGGTCAGCTGTCTGACTGTTAGCTACATAAGGACAGGAAACAGCTGGGAATAACAAAAGATCTTCACTTGCTCAGATTATAAAAAAGTGAAAGACAGCTGCGTAAACATGACTTATTTCTATTTAGTGCAATTACTGAGACAATCATAAAAAGACTGAAATTTCTAATTTTAATAAAATGACAGCAAACAGATAAATATTTAATATAAGCACTGTGTGCTGAAGCCGTCCTAAAAGCTTTGCATATCTCCACGTCCATGTTCATCTTCACCATTCAGTTTACATTTATCAGGGTTGTCAGTGCTTCCTGAACTAAACAGATGTACAGTATGTCCTAATCACCCATTTTTAGATGCAAAATGAAAAACTAGAATCAATCTAGCCTATAACAACTTTTAAAATGGACATTCTCCCAACCCAGAATGCCCAGTTTGGCTTTAAAAAAGCACAGAATCGAAGGGTTACTATGCACCGGAGAAACTCACACAGGTTGTCTAAAAGATCCTTGCAGTCATCTGTAGCCACATCGTGGATGGTTCGGTTGCACCTGTCTTTCTTCTCAATATCTTGATCTTTGTGGCTACACAAAACCTCTAGGCAATTCTGAAAGCAAAAGCAAAACCGCACATGCTGTTCACTGTAATATTTTTTTTTTCTTTTTTGTGCCAAACATACATCTGTTTTAAATTATGTAGTTTAAAAGGCATCACTCACGAACTTTTTGCATTGCATATCACATCCTACCATCACTTCAGCAAAATATCTACTGTACATCTTTGGAAAGTGTCTGCCTAGACAGGAACTAAGTAAGAAAATCTACAGGTAGGTCTACTGTATTTAACAATGAAGGACAGAGGACTTGAGATTAAATTTAGGAATAAAATTCTTGTGACTTACACAAGATATTATCTTGTGACTTACACGTTACCATTGTTTCCTTGTGTTGATCACAACCCAAGACATACTGTATCTACATTGGGCACACATCAGTAAATAGCAGTACAAGGTTGTACAAGAAGAAGACATATTTCCTTCTGTGAATGGATGCTGAGATTTGATATTAGCATTGTGGCATTATAGTTTGAAATCATTTAGTTTAATCTTGTTTCACAACAGATTTCCCCTTTAACATCTTGCTAGCAGAGGGAATGTTGAAAAGGCTGAAACCATAAACCTCTAATTAAATTACTTTTAGTTTTTTAAAATCTTTTTTATTTTTACCTACTCAACAATGTACAGTGCATTAGGAGAAATTGAATTAAAGCATGTACTCCAGATCTCAATCGTTTTTTTGTGGTTATTAATAATTGTATTACTAAACTGGTTAAATACAGTAGAAGCCTTTATTATGGTAGCAGTGTTGAGTACTGGTTATAGGTTTGTAACCAAAAAATTATGGGATATGCCAGTCTTTCTCTTGTGGGATACTCTTGTACTTTGATGCAAGATACGTTACTTGTACTTTACTTGCTTCAGTAAATACCCAGCATCAGAATTACAAATATTAGCATTTGTTTGATAAAAATGTCAGCCAAATTAATAACATATTGTAAAATAAGTTTAGTATCTGCCCTAATACATGTGGAAAAGCACTGTAGTTTTACTTTACCTTTCAATTAATTTCTCAACTTTAAAATATCTCAATTGCTCTGGTGAATTCAAATCTGAGCTACTTAAAACAAAAACTCCAGTCCAATAATTTCAATTAATTTTATATTGTGCTTATGTTGCTTCAATATTGAAACCCACCTTTGTTTTTCTCTTGTGTATGGCTTTTAGCAGAATACTAGGATAAAACAAAATTTTTACCTTTATTCTCTTGTCAGAAAGCCTACAATATGTTACTTGTCCCTAAAAAAATCTGTTGGAAAGAATGAAGGTTAGGGACTAATGGTAGGGATTGTGGGGTACTTCAGGTTGGGCAGTAATACAATAAACTATATAAATGTATAGTATATAGATTTTAAAATGGCATTCCATAATTCCATTATTTACATTCATTTTAAGTCAAAAGGCAAACTGTGTTATATTTTACTGTATATAATTATGCATATACAGTACAATATACCACCACTACCTTTCCTAAGTAGCCATGCACACAAGCACATAAAGGAACTGTCTTTTAATCAGGAACTGATTTTATGAAGTATTTTTCCCAAACAGCATGATTTCCACACACAGCATGATCTATGTGCCGCAGTGTGATTTCGTTAATACAGTCCCGCTGCTCTCTTTCCTCCTTCAATGTGCTCTGGCTGACCGACCTTAAATCCCTTGGAGGCTGCGATGTGGGCAGCTGTCCAGCCGTCTCTGTCAGCGTGGTTGATGAGGTCGCCAGGCAGCCCAGGCCTCTTTCCCCAGGAACGGATGATCTTCGTGTAACTGGAGTGGGGGGGATCAACACTCCTCTCCAGTTCACTGGCAGAGCCTCCGTTTTTGGAAGAGTCATAATACATGAGGAGCATGAGGCTGCTGACATCACCAGCATCAACAGCTGCATGAAGTGCCGTCCAGCTGTCCTTAATAAACACAAGAACAAGGAGTGCCACAAGCTTTATGAAGTGCTTCTTTCTCTTTTTGTTTTGATTTTGAGCTCACAGAAACCTTATTATAATGTTAAAAATAGCGCAGAACATCCTCTCTCTGAGGGAACACCATGAATAGCATCCACCCAGCTTATTATGATGATGTAGTACTGTTGTGAATACTATACAAAGTTTGCTCCGTTCCAAATATGAACTGCTGACCAGGAAGAAACACTATCACTATCAAACAAAAAACTGGGCAAGAACCAAATGAAACAGTTATGACAACAAAAATAACAACTTCACTGTAACTTCTGCAGTTATCTTCTTCTAATGTAAGCACAAGAGAGAAAACCTTAGAGACAACTTTAACCCTCTGAGCAGCATTGAGATAATATTTAATTACCCACCAGAACAACTGTGCTCTTGGCTGATTTTGCTAATTATGTGACATTTTTAACATCACTAACAATACTGTTTTATGTAGCTTGCTTGTAAAATATTTTAGTATTCTTTAAGCATCATTTCAATGTCACTGTCCTTACTCTTGGATAAAGTCATAATTCAATATATACAGTAGCAATGTCACTACACTACTGTATGCCCGCAGAAAACTTTTAAAAAGTTAATATTATAAGTACTGAAGATAATAGTATTATTATTATATATTTGGAAACAATGAATTATACAAATATATAAAAAAGTGGGAAAGGGCCAATCAACATGTTCTGAAGATGAAAAGGGACATCAATGCTGTCACAGTTCTTGCACAAGCAAAATGTAGTCCAGCCATGTAAATAAAGTTCACTGGGAGGTCAAATTGTGATCTTGCACTTCCTCTCTCCTACATACTGTATAAAAACTTTCCAGCTGCTCTAACTCTCATAACTCTGTGAGCATCATTTCTAGTGCCTTTCCCTGGTTCATTCTTTTCATCTTTAGCCAGCGTTGTCTTTTCCTCAGCCAATCAAGTTAACACCAAAACAGTATTCCTTTATTCAGTGGCTCATTATGTCATTATTAGAAACGGAGTGAGCTCCTCAGAAGAACAGTTTCTGTAAATGAGTGCAACCAAGTGATTCTAACAGTGTATCAGCCTCCACTAGCCTTGTAAAATAGATCTTTTGGCTACATTTAGACCTGTAAACAAAAGACATCAAGCCTGGAGACTGACAGCAACTCGGGAATCGTTAATGTGGAAGACAAGTCGAATGCTCTGTTACCTAGATAGATAGATAAGACTTTATTGATCCTGAAGGGGAAATTGATGTGACCTAGTCACATCCAAAAGCACATTACTCATATACATCTAAAAGCATTCCCAAAACATGAGGTAGGCACTGGGTAGACCTGAGTGATTGACTCAGAAGGACACAGGCAGTTTTCAAGACTTTTAAATGAAGTTTAAAAAGGATCAGCTCAAGTGACCGACACTGTGGATTCAGGTTAGGTTTGATTGGCTACTGTAAATTGTCCCTTTCCAGATGGCGTTTTGAAAGGGACTTCATTCCTGAGTAGTCTGCTCCAGGTATAAAATATGGTATTGTTCAGTAATGTGAATGGGGCGAACAACCTCTTCTCATTTCTAAGAACACATAAACGGTAACAAACGAGAAGGCCCCACAGCTCATCAGGCTTGTTTGGTTGCTAGTAGCTAATTGCTACCTCACAGCTGATTAGCAACTAGTAGTACTACCACTGAGTTTTTCAGTCAAGGGTGCTTAGGACATGGCTGGATTCCAGACCACCAGCATCATGTTGCCTATTTAAGAAAGCTTTAATTAATACAATTAGACTCAAGGAGCTTTTATTCTTTTATTTTCTGCTACCAAGGGCAGGACTGTTTTCCTCTGAATGGGTCTAATCATTGCAGACTCTCTGGCTGTTTGGAGGAAAGTCAACCGCTTTCTTGGCAGCCCCCCAAAATGTCACAAACTTTCACTGATTTGGAATAATTTTCTCTTACTGATGGGCTCTCTGCCCTTTACCTGCCCATACCAGCCTCCAATAAATGCTCATCGACCAATGCGCATTTCAGGAACTGAGGGGTTTTCCCACTTCATGTACATCAGCCATTCAATCCTATGCAATGGCATATGATTCCAAAATCTATACAGTCCTGATTAGAGTGCTGTTTTCTCTTCCCATTAAAACCTCACATTCATCAGAACATCAGAAAGGCCACATTTAGCGACTCCCAAATTATTCATCTGGCACAGCCAGACCACCAAAGCTTTGGAGCTCTGCAAGGTTGGCAGCTGGTGCCCTGACCACTTATCCCTCCAAACAAAACTGCTATGAGAAGTAACTGGTAAGAGGGAAATGGCGATCGTGGAAAAGAGGAAACCTGGCATGGCAACTCAGTGGTGAGCTGCGTTCTGGGAAAATTGGCCACAGTGATAGACTTGAGTGTGAGTGTGTTTGTATCTGTCTGTGTGTGCCCTGTGATGGACTGGTGTCCCAACCAAGGTGTCTACTGCCTTGTGCCCGCTGCTTTCTGAGATAGGCTCTGGCTTCACCGCGTTCCTGAATTGGAAGAAGCATGCTTAAAAAAGGATGTAAAAGAGGAAATGAATGCAAGGATGTATATTCATGAGAATGGGAACTCTACTATTCATCTGGGTTTTCATTTGTTATTATTTTTCAGAATGTTTTAGCATTTGTTATTCAAATGGAGGTTGTGTGTTTCAATGTGAAAATAAAAACTACCCATTCCTTTGCAGCTTACACATACTGATGCAGCAACAGTAACTACTTGAACTTCATGAAACAATGTACTGTACCAATACTTTTTTGACCCCACATATCATAATATACATTTAATTATTTTGCACATCTATGAAAGCATTAATTTTGTCAATAATAATGCAGAATTAGCTAAATTAAAAGAAAACAAAATTTTCATCTTATTAAAAGCAAATACTTAACAAAATCTCTGCTAAATTCAATCTCTGCAAAAGATAAAACAGGTTCTGAATATCAACATTCTGTCTTCAACTGTGTTCATGGCAGGGAGTAACCAGATGTCACTAATTTAGGATTAATATTATTAAATAATTTTTAAAGATAATTATGCAACTGCAAGGGAAAAATGTATAGAGATGACTAATTCTATATTAACAGTATCTAAAGAAAGATTTCATGAATTTAAAATGAATTAATTATGTTGCCATAGGAACTCACAATACCTTATTTCTTCTCTAGCTTTACTTTAAAAAGGCCAATAACAAAAAGTTTTATTGAAACACTGTATGTTTTAGAATTTAGTCAAAATAACTAGTATAACAATTTAAAAATCTAACAAATGAGAAATAAAAATAGTAATAGCTGAATGGCACATCTTCATAATAAAAGACAAGTTTGTAGTTTTCTGGAGTATTTTATTATAGTTAGGGCTAGTTTTCTAACCGTGATTAACCTTTTGAATTATCTGATGAAACAGGTTGCTAGAAACTATTTTACAGCTAAGCCTTCGAATGCTTTTGAAGAAGGAGGCAGATATGACTTACTCTTGTTATCACTGTGCGGTCAGCTCCTGCAGCCAGCAGGAGTCTCACACATTCAGGGCTCCTGCTGCCACTGGCTAAATACAGAGGGGTCTGTCCTCCCTGTGCAGCCCAGTTCACATCAGCACCACAGCCAGTTAACAGCTCAACACACCTGAGGAGACAACAGGACACGTTTAACCAGATACTCAAGTGTAAATACAGTACGAAACAAGTATGAACATGTCCCACATAACTGTAAAAATAGGGGTGGGTGGCTAATAATTCTGATTCACACAAAATACAGACTAATTTAGTCTGGACTTCTGGAGAGCATCAATAACTAAACCTATACTACCCATCCTCACCTATAGTACAAGGCTCAGCACCTCAGTAACTATCTGATTTACTCATGTCCCACCCACAATCTCGCAATCTTCGTTCATCTAATTCTGGTCTCCCGTCTGTCCCCTTGGCCCATCTACACTCTAAGGGTGACAGGACATTCTCCAGCTACGCCCCAAAGCTTGGGAATTCAATCCCTAAGGATATTAAAAAGTCACCTTCCCTGAGTGCTTTCAAATCAAGATTTAAAACCTTCTTCAGAAGGGCTTTTGTTTAATTAGCTCTGTGTCAACCCCTTTACTTTCCTATTATATTCCAAACCCTAAATGTAACTCTGTAACTCTGTAACAATCCATTCATTGTGTATCTTTTTTTCTGTAACCCATTTTTAAAGGTGCTATATAAAATAAAGTTTATTATTAATGTTATTATTACCTAGCTGTTGTAATAAAATATATTATAAATGACTCCTAAATAAGGAATACTGCAGTGCCAACACCCCCGGTTATCTAACAGTACACACAGCTATTAAGTCTCATGCATCTATTTTTGTAACTGTGAATAATCAGATAATACACCAGTGCAATTTTTTTTACTTTGCTTAACTTGTGCTTCCTATCAGAGTTGAGGAGTAACACTGTTCGTTACATCTCTAAAACAGGACACTGTGATGTCATGTTCACTCATTTTGAATGTACCCATTCATCACAAAAGTAGGATATGACCAGTGTGCAGACAGCTGAAACAATGTACCATTATGTTCTACAGTATATGCAGCATTGGGTGGTTTTAATACCATAAGAGGAGTGTTTCAGGGAGGACGTGATATGTGACTGAAATTTATTTTCTATTCAGGAAAACTGTCACATCCAGCTACTCTTTCTCAGAAATAGGAAACATATCATTTTACACAAAGACCGTAAAAGTGGCAGGTGAAATACTGTATAAGAAGATCTGGATTAAATACAAGACATTCTGATGTACAAAAGGGCAGGGTTTTGCATGCAGGTAACAAAAACATAAACAATAATTACAAAATGGGGAAACACCGAGATAAAAGAGGGGACCTACAGTATGAACAAGGCGTAGGTGTTTACTGTATATTGACACATCATTTAAATCTTCTAGAAAAAGTAATTAAAAAGCAATCAAAATGTTAAGGTTTGTTATCCCTTTATTTTATAGGGGATGGTACATTAAAATTGTATAATGCACTAATAAGGCCTTATTCAGAACAGAAGAGCAAACAGTGTTCTACACTGACAGGATGAAGGAACAGAAATATTTTAGTTTTGAACAGTGAAGATTTCAAAGGGAAATCATTAAGGCATTGACAAACTCAAACCAGAAGATATCTTCAGAATGAACAGTGAAATACCATCTACAAAGACACAAGTGGAAATTACATGGAAGCAACTTCAACATTTGTAACTGAAAACAGGAGTCATTTCTTTATCCAAAGGATTGTGGGAGCCTTGACAAGGAACAAGCTAGTCAGTCATGTTGTTGAAGTCAATACCAAGGCTTCTTTCAGGAAACAACTGGATGAGATCAACTAGCTTTCAAAAAGGGCCAGTTGGACCAAATGGTCTCTCATTTATAACTATTCTTACTGTATGTTCATACTGTGTGCTGCATTCATTTTATTTATCGTATTATTTCAGCTGAGTTCTGCCCTAATATAAAGAAGAGATCCCTACTCATGTACTAATATATCCCAATTCACCTAAAACAAGCTTACAAAACATAGAAATGTATTAACATGTTAATATAAAACAGTAATGAGCACATGAACAAAATTATTGTTAAGGCAAAAGTGCAACACTAAAAATACATTTTGTATTATGTGTATGATCAAAGTAAAATCCAACATCCACTGTTTCACAAACTAATAAACACATCTAAACTTGCTAATAAACACAAGTAAAGTGCTCAGGATATAGAAACAATAAATACAATAGAAAATGTTTTAACCGCCACATGAAATGCAGATAAAGTGAACTGTAACTGCCTGCTGAGTGAGGACTTCTTCATTAAAAACTACATTAAACACCACAATTATAACCTTAATTTTGGGATTTTTATCACCCCCCCCAGTGAGTTCGTAGAAAATACATTTCATTGCCAGCAACTACTGCTGCATGCTGTATTGTTGTGCAGTTGATGAATGAACTGATTGATTGATCGATTGAACTCTTAAAGGACCTATGGTGTGAAGGGTTTTTTTTTTGACAAACCTATGAAAAAAGAAAAGAAAATGGAGAACAAACACATTTAGCTGCCCATCTGCGTCTGTGGCACCAAAGACTTACAGACACAGATGGGCAGATGTCGCCTGTTCTCTCCCTGTCACTCCGCAGGTGTCAGGAGTGTTATGGCGGCATCAGACAGAAGACAAGGATTAACGCAAACAGCAGCTTTGGCCAAATCCGACACTAACACGACAGCTAGAGCAAACAAAACACGAGCCAGAAGGGTAGCGTCGTTATTCGTTAAATTTGACGATATCTTTCACCAACCTGAAATGACCATGAGCAGCAGCTTTATGTAAAGGTGTAAATCCGTGTTTATCGGGTACATCAGTGTGAGCTCCTGCAGTCAGCAGCAGTTTAACACAGTCTATAAAAAGATATCCATACGATGACATTAGAGACAGAATTTGTAAGCATCAAACTACATTGATTTAAAGGAAATTAAATCATTAAAAGGACTGATTTAATCAGCTTCCAAAGACACCAGAAGAGCCAGAATTATTGATATGGAAGGTGTCCATAAGCAATCTGTATGTATATCTTATAGCTGTATGTATATCTTATAGCTGTAGATAACACTACACATCAAAGTAAATGCCCATTAACGAAGCTAACTCTGTGGAATGGTAAAATGGGTATATATGGGTAATGTGGGTCTTAATCCTAGAGTGCAGGCCCAAATCTGAGAGAACAGACCTGTAGTATCCAAATTCCACCATAAGAAAGGCGAGCTTATGGCTGACTATGCCCATGTAGACTCCACAATAAACTTCGCCAGGTTAAAAAATTAAACATGTTTTATTCACATTCACTTTGGTTTTGTCAACAAACATAAAAAAGGAGACGTGTTCCACAATAACAAAACTATTCCTCAAAGCTCAAGTGAACCAAATACACACCTACACAAGCACGTCAGAACTGTTGTGCTCTAATTTCCTCTCCGTTTTTTGAAAACTAAAACTTCTAGAATTTACATTAATGAGCACTGGCGATTGGCCATCTTAAAGGCATACGCACAATTTAAGTAAACAAAACAAGGTGGTTTTCAAATAGTAGAACATCAACATATTTACAGGATTGTTTTTAAAGGAATATAACCAAATTAAAACATCACATGGCTCCTACAAGACCCATATAATATTGAGACCCATAATAAGAAAGTCTTTCTCATCTGCATCCTAGGGTCAAATAAGACTTTCTACTCATTTATGTTTGAAGGCAGTGGTAACAGACAGTACATACAAGCTAGGCTACAAAAAGTACAGCTAACAGAAAAGATAACAAGTCATTGCTGTTGAAGTGACTCATAATGCATTCTGAGCATTTTAAACAGGTTGGTTTCAAGAGACTCGAAGGCTTTGTGTTCCTTATTTATTCGTTTTCATTATTAGGTACACAAAGGAAGCTACAAAAACCAAACCAGAAAAACCTTTGAATGTGCAATAATACATCTCCTCTACTTTAATGATTCGGCGATCAATTGTATTTTTTTTTTCATTCTTTTCAGAATATATTATGGAAAACAGATTAACCTTTCTGAACATTACAATGCATAAAGACTGTTATACTCAACATGGGATAATTAGAAGCTGAAACAGCAATGAATTCTGGTGCTTTTTATGAGGAACTGAAATCAGCATTATATTAAGTACAGATTAAGATAGAAAAACTATTTTATAAGCACACAAAGCTGTTTTAACAATTGCAATGGGAAATTAAAAATTTAAGGCTTGGGAAAAATTAGTACAAAAGTTGCTAAGGCCACAAATAGTACTACATAACATAAAACCTTGGATTAAACATCTGTCAGCTAAAGTAGTGCAATATAGATAAAATGGTGTGCTTTGGAGTACGTTAGATACTGTATTGGAGGCGTAATCTGGAGTATAAACAACAATCTAATGAGAAAATGAAAAAGAACCACACTGTAGGTTGGTCCATAACTGGTCATCAAATAACCTTCATACATCATTTTAATTCTGTCCTACAGTAACAGCATCCCATAACTGAGAGCAGGCATAAAAAAATCTCATGCTCTCATTATGTTTTACTGCAGATTTCTAAAAGATTTTATTTGCTTACCAGGAATTTATCTAACTCTAAAGATGACTCAGAAATCTGAACTTTTACATAACATTGTAATTACTGTATAATAAGGCTGAAATTTTATTTTTGGAAGATAATGACAGGTGTAAGTAGGAAGTAATTAAACCTAATCTGTTATTTGTTAGTTTACACATCAACATGTAAAGTCAAAGAATTAAATGACCAATATCAAAAAAAATAAATAAAATAAAATACTTCACAATGTACAAAATGGCTTTTGGCAGTTAGTTTTACAGCAATCTATACTGCACTAGATTAGAATGTTCATCTGCAGCCGGACAGAAGCACAACAATCACAATGAATAACAAATCTGTGCACAGGCTGCAGAGAAAAAACATTAGCACACCCTAAACGAGAAAAAAGGTTCAAGTATGCTTTTTAAAAACAGCAGAATAACAAGTAAATATTGCTTTTATCTACAAACTGTTTTTTTTCCCATCGGGATCAAACACGAAATGAGATATTTTTCAATTTAGAACTAGCTTTGCAAAAGAAATAATGAAATTAAATTTTGAACCCTTAAAAATCCCCTTCATTTAAAAGACATTACATAAATTCATACCACTGTATAACTTAAACATTAATGGAGTTACCTGTGTGACCATTTTTAGCAGCAGAATACAAGGCAGAATTTCCATCTTCATCAAGGTGACTAATATCCATTGGATCTTGGTTAAGCAGCATTGACAATAAAGTGACATTTCCCTGGGTAGCAGCTTGGAGGAGGAGGGTGGGCCTGCCAGCCAGGGGGACAGGACCACCACAGGTTAGCGAGGGGACTAGGGAGGGACACCAGCCTGTGAGTTAAAGTGACAACATTTACAGGAAGAACTGACACACTAGAAAAATGACTTAACTGCAGATCAACCTGCTTTCCACACTTCTATTTTAATCAGGCCACTCTCTCAGAAACCTGAACCCTGTTTGCCATCTTCTCCTGTGGTCACAGTTGTTTCATTCTGCTCAATAATCTTGTCATCATTTTTAGCACTGATAAACTACCACCAAATGAATGAACAGCACCTGGATTGGGCAGAGAGATTTCAGATGAAATGCAAACTACTGCCTTGCAAAACAAACTGTCAAAATACCAGTTTTAAAAGACAACTTTGACATGACTTCTGTTTCCGTTGGTGCTGTGAGGTAGTATGATGTTTAAAAAGTAGGGTTTTGAGATCATTTTGTACCGGCAGCATGCCATGCAAGTTTTGAATTATAACATATAAAAGTAGAGCCAATGTGGAATGCAGGTGCATAACTGAGGGCAGAGGAATCAAATCAAATCTGAATGCACGTTCTACAGTTCTATACTTTAAGATGGAAAACAATTCAATCAGTTTGACATACAGTATTCTGCCACTCAGTTCAACAAAGTCCTAGATGTTATATCAACTTAGTGCCAACAGCATTAATAATGTAACTGTAAGTTGATAAGACTATGAAAGTAAATACATTTTAAAACAATTTAGTTCATGTAAGTTTCATGCAGGTTTGGCTATGTTTATGCAATATTGAAGAAGCAATGATAGTCCTCTATCAAATCTTCTTTAAAAATAGCTGCATTTTTTAAAGTTTAATGTAAAATGATCTTGCTGAAATTAGTAGCTTTGAAACACATTGATAGTAATACCAGTCGTAGACTGGCTGTAAATATGTCATGCAGCAAAGATCTGTGAACTTGCTATACAGTAGCAATATATATGACCATGAAAGGACAAAGACTTCTGTCCCCTCTTAATGTCTCATAACTATAGACATAACATACAAAACTTTAATTGTATTAATAGAGCACAAAGGTATAAACTCAAATCAGGGAAGGGAGAACAGAGAGGAAATCTATAATTAGATTTAGCAGATGTGAATAAATGTAAGAGTTTTAAGTTATTTTGCTGTGTTAGAAGACAGAATGTTAAACCCGTGGAGTTTGTTACATAAAGAATGGAAGACCTTGAGTGCCCTTCCTCGACTGAAAGACTGGAAATGAGAAAGAAAGTTATTTTTTAAAGTTAAAGTTAACACTCCTTAACACTTGTAATGTTCACACTCCTTAAGCTAATTATGTCTGTTTATCTGGTAACATACTTCCATTTTTGATTCATTAATGAACTGGAGCTGGCCAGTTTCATCACTGTTGACCTGCATGTTGCTATTTTTTTAACAATGTCTCAAAATGTCATTTTCATCTGCTTCTAATCATCCAGTATGGCTCCCTCCTACTATTCCTGTATATTCCTGCAGACTGTTCCTATTCTGAGTATTCTGAATATAATTACATTTTTTAAGCTTAGAAATAATGGCAATCAGATCAGAATGATAGAACAAGCTGCCACATTGTACACTTCATACCATTACTTTCAATTAAACAGCTTTGTAAGAAATCTCAATTCGTATAACTGCTTTCTAATTTACATTCTATTGCAACATTAGCTGTGAAACTAGCTTGAAGAGCTGTAGCTGTTATCTTTTTCCTTTTTGCATAAAGGCAATGCTAAGTGTTCTTACAAACATTTTCACAAACACTGTCTGGTACTGTTTTTTGAAAGTCTCAAACCTAATGAAAACCTGATTCACTTAATTGATTATGTTCACAATAATGTCATATTATATAGCATTCTTAATTAAATACAATACACTGGACTTTGTCTATGATGAAAAGTTAGGATTTCAAAAATATTAGGTAAATATCTAAACACATAGTCCTCTATTGCATTCTTGCAAAGTAATCATGCTAAACAGCAGCATTTAACATAAAATCAGTCATGCATTAGCAGAACTTGGTACATATAAGTGTAAAAGTGAATCCGAAGAAAAAATATATTTTTTCACCAAGACCTAAATAACTGATAGTACAGTATGCACATGATTAGATCTTGAGGTTTAAAATAGGCACTGTCCCTCTGTGTATCAAAAAACTCAAGAAAATGCTGAACAAAATTTGCTGCCTACAGTTACGAAGTTTCGAATTAAAAAATATGCAGAAAAATAAATAAATGTATTCTATTTCAAATGTAGAGTATTTCTGAAGGTATTTAAAGGGACTTCTAAATCCCTGGTGCAAGTGTGACTTCATGTGCGCAAATGAAAAGGGCAGCAGACTAAATTTGATTTGATTGTTTGAAGCCCATCCAGGCCACTTGGATGAAGAATCTATACTAAGTGAATGATATCCCCTCTCACAAAGGACAGTGCCTGCAGCAGCAACACAGTACTGTACACAGCAGCACAGAGCAGATTCAAACACAAGTACAAGAGGTTAGTCAGCACAAGGAAGCCATCGCGTTTGCACATCATGCAACGGGAAAAGACAAAAGAGAAGAACAGCTTCTGGCATCAGCTTCAGAGTGTAGTCTGTTACTCATAGAAATCTTAACCCATCCTTTCACTGTTTGATAAGCACTCATGACCTGTCGTCGATGAGCTGCTATATAAGCAATACCAAGACTGTATTTTTATAAACACATTAATAGCAACTAAAATCACTTGTTTATACCCGGTATTGCTTACGTGACAGAATGGGATTTTACAGAAGCAGAAGAATAAAGGTTCCCAAAGAGGAATGAAAGGGAAAGTGTGCATAGAGAAGGAATTTTTAAGCCATCCCAAAATGATCAAATTAATCATCTTCAGAGCAACCAAAGTTTGCCTTTTATTATATTTTAACAGGAGCTATCTTAACTACAATTGCACCAAATGCGGTAGGCAGTGACTGGGTACTTTTTTCACCTTCCAAAAGCAATGTTATCCATTGCATCTGTTAAGCTTTGTTTGTTAATATGATTGCCAGAAAACTATGTAATAATCATCTACAGGACAGAACTATAACGGGCGCACATCATAGAGACACCTGTCGATATCTTTGGTTGCAGACTTTTCACAATCAGAGTGAGAAGACAGAAAGTAATATAGAGTCACAAAGGACCTGACAGAGGAGAAACACTATTGCCCTTTCAGGATCCAGTGCGACAGAATGTTTTCAGTACCTTTACCTGAGGCTGTTGCCAGTGGGCTGTCTGTGTCACAGGGTCTACGGGATGAAGCACTAACAGGATTTATGGAGGAACTACAGGCAATGGTGGTGGCGGAGGTGGGGATGACAGGGGGACACTCGGTACATGCTAACTGGTGCAGGCCCCTTGAGATGGAGGGGCAGGCACCCACCTGAGATGTGGCCAAGGCTGGGACAGGGCAAGCGCCACCCGTCCCCGAAATATCAAGGGCTGGTTTGGGTGGCAGCTGAGGCGTAGTGGGTTTGGAGAGAACGTCTTCATTTATTAGCCGGATGCCTTGAGGTGAACTGGAAGGAGGGGGCACAGGTTTGGAGGGAACACCTAGCCCCGTGCCAGGGGACCTGCTCCCATCACCCACTATTTTTATTGGAGGGTGCGGAGGGGAAGGGGTTTGTGAGAGGCCAGGCTTCTTAGGAGGTATAGGCGGTGGATTCCCTCGGTCAATCCTCGTGACAGTTGGCGACTTTAGACCGATTTGTGGGTGGCCTATGCGACTAGAGAAAGGTCCTCCTTCAGATGTGGAATGAGGTAAGCCCGGTCTTAAAGTGTTGGCAGCTTGTGGACTTGTAAACCTTGAAAGGACCTGCGTGACCGTGTGTCGGGCTTGTTGCTTCGCAGCAAAGTTATCTCGGTTTGTGGGCGACACATCTCTGGATGGGGGGCTCTGAGTGGTCATTCCATTTTGGTCATGCTCAGTAGGAGAAGACTGGAACTTGTACCGGGCAGCTTGCACTCTGGGACTAACACTTGTTGGCAAAGTGGAAGCAGTTCCAGGTGAATGTAAACTGTGCACAGGAGGTGCCGGGACAAAACTGGGTGAGGCTACTCCGGGTGGGGGTTGTGGGTCCCCCCCTGAGGGCCCATTTTCAGTCTGTGTCACGACAGGAAGAACTGAATTGCTAAGGGAAATTCCCCGCTCACTAGCCGATCTGGTATTGACAGCTTTGGGGATTCCAACACTAGAGTAGTTTGCCACAGAAGGTTTCACAGGTATCGTTAACGGAGACTTCTTCAGTCCATCAACACTGTGTTCTGCAGAAAGTGGCAGGTCTGTTTGGCAGGAGGTTGTCCGCATATTAACCAGGTCTGTTCCAACAGAAACAGACACAGAAGACCTTATTTTAATTCCTATGCTTGACGGGGCAGTCTGTTGGCTTTCTTTTTCAGTTCTGAGCTGATCTACTTGTTTCTTCAGGTTGTCACTTTCAAGTTTCAAGTCTGCAGCCCGTACTTCCTCACGACTCAACTTGGCCCTCAGTTGCTCGCGCTCTGTGTCAAACTCTGAGAGCTGCTTCTCCATTTTTGCCTCCATCTGCTGACCTTTCTGTCTTTCGGCAGCTAACTCCTCCTCAAGCCTCCCTGTTGTCTTGGTTTCCTGTTCCAGTTTGGCGGTCAGTTCTTCAAATTTTTGGCTCTCCTCAACAACCTTGGCTGCCAGTTGCTTGCATTCTTTCACCAGCATCATGACAATGTGCTTGTTCTTCTCCCGCTCATCCTTCAGCTGGGCAGACAACTTCTTATGCTCCTGCTCAAGGCTCTGTAGTTGAGATTTCTCCAACTCCAGCTGAAAATCAAACAAACAAATCAATAAAGAAAAACACTCTAGAAATAATGACAGGTTTTGGCAAGTTAAAAATACAGGTGTGTAGATACAGGTAGTGGACAATAATAATGACAGAAAATTTCAATCTGGGGCATGAGTAGTCAGTTACACACAAAAGTCCACAGAGTACACTTAAGTAACTAAGTAACTAAGACATGAGTGCTCGGTTCCAACAGTAAAGGGATCAGGTGGTTCCGTAATGTTGAGGGGTGCATTCGTCCTGGAATGGTCTGGGTGGTTTCATTCATTTAGAAGTCAAGGTCAATTCTAATTACTGCTTAATGGTACTAAGAGGTCATCTTCACCCCATGTGGCATTTCTTTCCTGCATGGAGAGATGATTTTCAGGGTGACAATGCCCTGATCCACAGAGCATGTGGTCACCCAATGGTTTGACAAGCATGACTCTGATGCTCTACATTTGTCATGACCTTCACAGTCACCAGATCTGAACCCAACTGTGAATGTATAGAATATTCTGAAACGATACTTTAGATTGTTTTTTCCACCTCCATCAAGCAGATATGAATTGAGTGACTTGATTCTTGCATTTTTCCTCTTGCAGACTTTCAGGTGCTGCCAAAAGCATGTACAGGCTGTACTGCACGTACAATATGTGTTAATCCAATACCCTATTGAATGATGCTACATTGGTGTCCATTTGCTTTGTCCACTACCTGTAGTCATGCACAATGAACAAAAATCAATGTTATGTGCAAAATAGAAAACAGAAATACATTTTGGAAACAATAATTGCAGCAATACGCAGAGGAATCCATGCAAATCATAATGAACGATCTGGGTTCCAATTTAAAATGGAGCTTTCCAACTGCCTGTTTTCTAACATATTTGTTCTCTCCTTTTTATGAGGCTGAACTGAGATTTCTTCCACATTCTGCCATATTACCTCTATCTTTAGAGAATAGTGAATACCTCAAAATGAAACAGAGATAATGTATATGGAACAGAATAACCACTATACACAAAAACAATTTTACACAAAAAACAATACAGAAGACCTGATTTTACTAGATTTCTTAAATGTTTCAAGGGTTTCAAAGAGAAAATGCAAGGGTGAGTGGGATGTTAACAAATAAAAAATACTACAGATGATTTACAGCTCCAACACTTGGCAAAAACAGAATATAAAAATGAGTAAAATCCTTCATTTTTCAAATACACTACATTTGACTGCCTAAGCCTGGTCACTCTTTATTCCAAATACAGCACGTCATTAATTTGGTTACATAATCGCCATACTTAACATCTTCTAATCACAAAGTTGACATTGGTAACTAAAACAGTAACTTAATCCCCAAAAAGATTTTGTCTCCATTGTCTCCATTTTCAAACAATAAACAGTGTTACCAAGTAAAACAGATTTCAAGAAGGTATTTGTAAACATCAGTTCCTTAATAGTACAAGTGAGTAGTGGCAGACATCTATACATGCAAATAGGTATGTCAAAAATACAGCAATCCAAATAAAAGAAAAATAATTGGCATAATCTCAAGTTTCATACAGACAATAAATTTACTTATTTTGATTTTTCACCTGAACCAACTACATTTGGAGCATCAAGCTATCATTCTATATTCTGTAGGAGCAAACAGAAAATTATATGAACAATTAAAAAGGGTGAATGGTAAACATTTCAACAGAGAAAAAACACTTTCAATATTTGCAGGCAGGTTTAAATAATAAAATGTTTTAATCATAGCATTAAAGGGCTGAAAGAAACCTGTCCTACAGCATCCTAAAATGTTTTCAAATAAACTTAATAAAAACATGGATGTTGGAACATTAACAAGTAATAGAGCTTTTAAAAATAAGAGTATGAAGATACAGTACATAAAATTACTAATAACTAATGTAGAATAAACAGAGTAATATTGCCGTTAAAGCTAGAAATGCTTTAGTAATTTTTCGGGTTAGTTACAGTAGCATGAGCTGACTGCGCCCAAGCAGTCCAACTGTGCTCCTTGAGGGTTTCTGGTTTCTGTCTACTGGTCTTCCGATTTATATATTAATAATGATTAAAGTGTTCGTGATTAGCATTAGTTAAAATGAAACAATCTAATAATTTTGCAGGACTAAAGCGGTTAACTGTTGAAAGAGACCAATGAAATTGGCTGGACTATGGCACTTCTGAAGAGCACTGGCAAAGAGCGATATGTTAAACCTGAGTTCAACACACTAGAGCCTTCGCTAAGGGGCTAGAGACAGAACACAGTAAACTGGCCTGAAGGACTAAATAAAAAATCATGACTCACAGAAGTATTAGGCCATTTGTTTAGGCCTACAGTAGAAACAAATAAAAACCAAACACAGAAATATCGCAGCCTCTAACCACTTGCAGTAGCTTGTGATTGTAAGAGAAGTTGCTAAAGGTAGGCTGTTAAAAGCGCAGGGGATGTTGTACCCTAACTGACTCATTTTGTTATCTTGTGCCATCTGTGTCACTGCAAGTTGACTGTTAATACTCACACAGTATAAGAAATGGAGCTAGAACATGAAGGGGCTCTTTGATTTGCTAAGATATAAAGTGTACCACTAACTCTTTTGTCCAGGAAGGTTATTGGTATTTCTCAGACAAAATACTTTCTCCTTAAATTGGCCTTATCTACACACTGAATGGCCGTGGTGGCAGATCTCTTGAGATATAAAATAACAATAAACCTTGAAGGGTCATTTATAAAGTGCTTCATAGCCTTTGCAGATTAAGCCTGTATCTACTGTACAGGCCAAAGCATAATTCGTATAAAGTTAACAATCAGTGAAAAAAGCAGATGGAAGACAAGAAGAATCTGTCAGAATCTCATCTTAAAACCTTCTCATGTATAAATTCCCTTTGACACACTAAATTTATTACAGGATAAGAAAGTGGATGAGTAAATTAATACAAAATCTTGCTTGTGCTTTTAGCTGTCATACAATTCAAGAACCCTCTCATTATCTTCTTAACTCAGCATAAGTGGGCTACATTCAATAACTTCCACTAATAATATTTCATTTCCTATATTGTCACACTACAGTACATGTGCATGTGTAAATATTGTAAATCACAGTGAACAATATAAACTTGCAGCATCTTTTGAAGACAAAATGAAGACAGACACTGTTGTGCAGCTGGATTAAAACGGACTGTGACTACTAAGACCCCACACTGTAAAAGCACAGAACCAATAAGGGTTCTGTACTGTGCCATCTCCTGCATGTGAGATAAAATCACCGGCATTAATTAAGGATCTGACTTAGTCATGTATGACCAATTGCATGCAGGTTTAAACTGTTGAGAGGTTTTGTTTGCTGAGTAGTCACCAAGACAACCACTTACATTTTGAAAAGCATCACTATAACAACCAGAGGACCGTGCTAATTTTTACAGCTACAGGAATTCAATCATTTGGTTCATTGTTTTCAGGAACATTAAGGGAAGAATTCTCTTCTACCTAAGATTAGCACACAGTCTCCATCACCTTGGCAAAGCCACAAGCTGTAATGAGGTCATTCAATTGTTCTCTCTCACAGGGGCAAGAGGGGCCTGCTCCTTGTATTATGGGAGGACATACCTGTAGCTGCCTATCACAGATCTGTAAGCACCCCTGAAATACTCAAGAAGCTCTTCTACTCAAAGCTTAAATTCTGAGAACATAAGGCACTCTAGAGCACAAAGAGATACAATTTTAATTATGGCAGTAAACTGTAATCATTGTTATAGTCTTTTGCATCTGAAAATAGATTCAACCCTTTCATCTATTTAATCTAATGTTTAAGAGGTAGAAGTACAGTAGTAGCATGTACTGTACGTGATTGTGGCTCCTGACTTTCCATTCTAGAAATTAACCAATTCTGTTTTTTTTTCAGTTATTTACATTATACCTATAAAGAACTAATATGTAATTTGAACATACATTTTTATACTTAAAATAATTTAACCAAACCAGAGTTAATTTAGTTTAATGTTATCAACGGAGCTCTGGTAATACTGTTGTCCAGTTCGCGAGTTTTCAGTCAATTTGACTCAAAGTATTGTACTTTACAAGAAACTTTAACTGCTAGAATACCTGAGTCCATTTCCTAATTTCATGATCTGGTCTGCAATTGCACCAGTCGGGAGCCATACATGGAACTGAGAACTATAACTTCAGAAAAGAGCTACACTTACTGTATTCTCAGTATCTAGGCTTTTATTTCCCTCATTTGACATGCTGGCATCATCTTTAAGCAAGTATTCAATTGAAGTGTTTATATTTCAAAGTGTACATCAAGAGTTTACTAGACTTGTTTTTCCTTCTGCATATTTCCTTGCAGTCAACTATAGTGCCTACAGAAATTCTGTGCACTCTTTCCAAATTAACACATTTTGAGGCCTAACAGCCTGAAATCAAGACACAATCTAGGTATAATCTAGGTTAAAAATAGGTTTCTGTTTGGATAGGATAAGCCTATCCAAATAGAATTGTGTTCAGTTGAATACCAAGTACTACCTCAGGGGTGTGTACATTTATCAAACTCATTTCTTAGGATTCATTTGTAATAACTTTTTGGAATGCTTGAGCATTTGTTTTTCACTTGGAGACCTGTGTGTTACAACATGTAAATAAGGCTAAAATAAATTCTGATCTCATGTGGCTTGATTTCAGGCTTTAGGTCACAAAATGGGTTACTTTGGAAAGGGTGTGTAGACTTTCTATAGGCACTGCATTTTTTAATATATTACAACAACCTTCAGAAAGGAGCTTCCAAAGTCCCTCACAATGTGCATTCTTTGCCTTCAAATCTTAATTTTCCTTTAAGGGTAATGCTTCACATATTATATACTGGTGTATATAGGATATAATTTAAATATGACCTGGTATAAAACAAATAGTTAACCTATCATACGAAAAATGCAGAGCTGAGATGTTTATATCCTCGATCGGTTAATTAGGAAATATAACCAGTTTGAAATAATAAGTTAATATGAAATATGCAGTTTAAAATAAGCATACCACTGAATAGACAATGACAATGAGCATATAACCATAGGTAAAAGAAAAAAAGAAGACAGACATTAAGACACTGACAGAGACATCTCAGTAAAGATGAGTTACTCAGTAAAGTCTTTTACTCACCCTTTAGACAAAGTTGCATGAGTAAAGTTTTAATATACACTCATACCCCGGTATAAGAACATTTGATATATGAATTTTTCGCTTATCCGAACATGAAGAATTTGTACCTTGTAATTCGCTTTAAGAACAAAGTTCAAAAGAAGAGAAACTTCTGCGAACATCTGACTTCAGTGCCACCGAACAGCTGTCTGTTTCTGCATGTGCTCAAGGCATCATGGTTTAGTACGACAAGAAGCAGCAGTGCTTTGTTTACGACCACAGCCATAGCTTGTGCTCTCATTTTCAAAGTGTTTTTTGTGTTTGTCTTGTAGTTGCTGTTCATTATGGGGTCATTAAGGAAAATAAAAAGATTCTTTAGTGTAATAGTCAACAACAGTACGCACATTGTTCTAGCCGATCACTCGGATAGTGATCTATTTCGAAAGAATGAAAAACGCAAATATGATATAATTATTTTACAGTTATAGTTGGCTTATTTGAGTAGAACTGCATTGTTCACTCAGATTGCTATAATGGTCTGTATGGTATTATATGTTTAGGGTGGTTTTTGAGTGAACCTGTCTTCGGCTCGGAATGGAGTAGAATTTTCCCCATAAGAAATAATAGATTTTTTTTTTCGATTTACGATTTCCCGCCTTCAAAAAGGATTTTCAGGAACGAATTAGGTTCGAATACCGGGGTATGACTGTATATTCTACTAAAATTGGTTTACTTTAATTTGAGGTTCTAATAAATACTAATAAACTATTGATGAGGTTAAGTTAAGGTAAAGATCAAGTTTAGGATTGGGGTTAGGTTATCTATTATTTCAGACTAATTTGAATGATATTGTGCTATGCACATAATTTAATGATTTAATAGCATTCTATAGCATCTCAATTTGTAGTCCATTTATCAGTAATAGAAAATATATTAAATCTTTACTACTGAATCTAAAGTGTTACCTAGAGAACCTCTAGAATTAGTGGTTCTAGTGTTATCCAGTCCTTGTTACATGGCAACAAGAGAGAGAAAGAGTTTTTATCATCTCCATGGGGCAACTGCTTGTATACAAGTACTGTGATTCTGGAGCAGCTATACCTTCTTCTGTCTGGTTTCAGCAGCTGCCAGCTGCGTGGCCATTTTCTCCTGCATCTTCCGGCAGTGGGTCATGACAGCCTCCAGGATGGAGAGGGGGTTGGTAGACATGGCCCTCTTCTCCTTCTCTCCTCCCCCAGACTCATAGTCACGCTGCAGAGCCTGGAAAGGGTCGGTGAGGCTGAACCGCCCATAGCGCTCCTGGATAAACACCTCCTTCCTACGGGCCTGCAACAGCAACACAACAACGCAGTGCATCATTCATATGCAATTGCAACTGAAATTCACAGGAAACTGCTTTTTAAAAAATTTCACCCAATTGTATCCTTTACTTGAACAGAAAAGTTAAAACTGAGAACAAATCCTCATTTACAACCGTGGCCTAGACGGCAACCATTTATAGAAGAGGGCAGCTGCCGGAGCAACCTGACTGAAGCACCTTGCTCAAGGGTACATTAGCAAAATCATCCCATTCCCTCCTGGGAACTGAGCCACTAACCTTCCCTGCTACTCCAAACTGCTGCCCCACCTCTGGGGTGGGTGTAGCAGTTGGGATGCAAGTTAGTCACTTCCTAACCCTCATTTAGCAAACCCAGCAGGGCACCAGGGGATTTTTTCTCTTCTATTACATACTGTACTTGGGGCCCAATGTGCCTTTTGGCTTCAGAGTCCTGCTTTATTGATGTGTGCTGCTTTACAGGCCACCTGGTGTATGAAATTACACAGACTCATAGGCAAGATATTTTTATGCATGAAGTAGCTGAATTTAATCTTTTTATAATACCCGCAGCTCAGAATAAACATGGCAGCCTGCACAGGAATTAATTTGTTTAAGAATAACTACAGTGCCTACAGTGTTGTTGTATACAAATATCTGTGTGGGGGTATGGGTTAGCATGCTCAAAAATACATTAATAACAGGAAATGGGTACAGATCTAGACAGTTTTGACCACATATAATAATAATTGTTTTGTATTATGGTATCGTATAGAATCAGCTATTGTTGTGCCAGTACTATCTACTCGCCCACAGATCTAACAGAACACACATACAATGAATACCTCCACATTAAAAACATAATTATATTTTACATGGACACAGTAATTTGATGCCTACATTCACGTAGTAGTTTCATGGTGGCAAATACTGAACTAGAACATCTAGTGGCTGATAGACAAACATGCCAACAGTGTCTGTACATACTCATATAATACCCTAAAATCTCTATATGTAGGTATGAGTGATACCAAAGTACATGTATTACAGCTCTGTCAAAACTATCTGCCTCCTTTTCCAACACCTTTTCTCTAAACACTACAAAGAACCAATATATTATGCTGAATGTTTTAGAATGAGACCTCAGCTTCACCTTATCAAATCTCCTCCTTTAACTATGTCCGCACATATATCCATTTTAGACAAACAGTTTACTAGGGAATATATACACCACTCTTGCCTTTCAATTTTTCCTGAAAAATAATTTTTCCTGGACAATAATTATTCTAATTCAAAAAGATAAATGAAAACAAAAGAAAGAACAAAGTTTGTTTCTATCAAAAGTAATAGATATGGAAGGTTCCAATGGTGAATGATGGCATACAAAGTATTAATTTAATTATTCATGTTGCTGCACATTCACATACTGTCATTGGCAGCTCTCCACATAGGCTAAGTGTAATAAAGAGTAAACTGACAGAGTGGCTGCCAGCTTTTGTGTAGGCAGTGTCTTTTTCCTGGAAGCTGTGTTTCACCAAAGAAGGAAAAGATCAATGATTCTGTATACACAAAACACAACTGGGTTTCTACTGAGTAACATTCCAGTAAGAGATGAATAAATCCAATTTCTTATGGCTGAAACTGAATTTAGAGTTAGCTTCTACATGTGCAGAAACTAGTTAAAATATATTGGATATACAGTATATTGTACTCTTGAGACAAAAAAAAAATCACAAAGCAGTAGGTTGCTTTTGTCCATCAGTGGGAGGGTCAATTATCCTGCCTTTTAAAGATGCGGCTTTTTGACTCATGGACATCTGGTTTTTTCCTCAAGGCTTTATAAAACCTAGGCCCCTAATCACTGGAGCTATATCCTCCTACCCCATTCTTTCACTTTACTTCAAACAGGGCGGAGAGGTCATATGCTAAATTCCTGCTATGATCAGCAAGTGTGAGACCCCACTCACTGTAGTTATTTGTTTATGGATAAAAATAGCACAGAAGACTATTATTCTGTACATGTATATAGTGTGTGATCCTTTAGGTTTGACTTCTGTTATGGTTTTTACAAATATTTAAGGTATCAAGATATATGAAGCATCCTACTAATTACTGTTATTATGTTTTACATAAATGTTTATTTATATTGTTGTGTGTGTTTTACTATGATATAGCCACCACTCCTTATTTAAATGAAAGTATTACATTTAATCATGAATATACTGCTGATAATGATGCACAGTAAGGTGGTGACTTACAGTACATTAAATCTCATTGCTTATACTTAATCTGAAATTAATCAGCATCTTTCAAAATAAAATATATAAAAAATGAAGTTTATTGTTACCTGCAATTTCTTCCCTATTTTCCTTTAAGATTCTACAAGGTATACATCCTCAGTTGATAACTTATCAGATTACTCCCTTCTACTTGACCTTTGCTCAGCTGATTCTGGTTTATTATGTGTCCCTACTGTTCACCTTGATAAGGAAAGATATGGGCCTTTTTTTATATGCCTAGCTCCTAGAATTCCATCCCAAAATGAAATCAGGGACTCATTTAATGTTTTTAATCTATGTTGACAGAAAATATTTTTTAGCATGGCTTTTTGCAATTGTTTTATATTTTTATATAAAATTTATATTTATATTTTATTTTATTGCAATATATGAGGCAATGAGTTTAAAAATACTATAATACAGATTTACGGGTAATAAGCCTAAGTATTGTTACAAAATAGGGGGAGTAGAAAAATAAAATAATCAAGAGCAGTAGGTAAAGTTGAGACACATGAGTTCCTTATTTTCTAACACTGCTGTGGTAAAAGTGTAATAAAGCAGAGTTACAATTCTGGATACACAAATAAATTATTAACACGATAAACATTAAAAGGACTCGACAACACATAATACTAACAAAAACACATATACCAGTTATACTATGTACAAAACTATTCGGCTCAGAGGCCTATGTTCTACAGTCCTATATACTGTAAAAGAATACAAGCCAGCACTAAATCTCCTGTCCTAAAACACGGATCCCCAGATTGAACTGGGATCTATCTCCCTACTCTAAAAATGCTTCATTAAATAGGAGAGAATATTTTTAGGCTGAGGATTCCACAATTTCCTAAAATAAATATTACAGCAAGCCTCTAATGATTTATCATGAAATTTAAATTAACGAGAATAAACCACCAGAAATCCCCATTTGATCATCTTTGCCTACTTGTCCTTTCTGTCACCCCACCTCAACCCTGAAATGTGACAGTACGATTATGTTGTTGTAAAATTATGTTGGGGGCCTCCCACCTGGATCAATGTGCAAGTTTGCAGCGACATCAGTGAGTGACACACAGCTTCTGCAACTTTCCTGTGTGGCAGAATTGAGCTCTCAGCACATTCGATGCTGAAGGATTCCTAAAGGGATAATGCTGGCAGGAGAGCAAGCACTCAGTCTCTGTGCAGTAAAAGGATTGAACGAACACCCTGAGGTAATGAACAACTGGCGATTAAAGATTTTAAACAATAAATAAAAAAATGAGCCTGAGAACTATTCATATAAAAATTCTAAGTACTGTAGTTAAGGATAGACACACTGATTCAGCTTTTATTTAGTTACGAGTAGATTAAATTTACATCATCTTCCAAGTTTTAAAATGAAAAAAGAAACGCTTTATTTAACTGGCATTTTGAAATTAAATATACCAAGCATTATTCTGGTTTGTAATATGATAGATTACCGTGATTTGTTGGGGTGAGGACCACATGATATATGCTCGCAGAAAAAGAAATGTTTTCAAGAACTTGATTAAAGGAAAAATAGAACCCACAGTCAAAGATTATAGAGGTAAAAGAATCAATAAAATTGCAGAATGTACTAGGCACACACACTCCCTACTATAAAACATGTTATTTATCCCTATCAACATTTCAGCAAACACAAGTCTTCATTAGGACAGTATTAGTATTTCCGACTAGACAGAAACAAAGATCTTACATACAGTAGGTAAAATTTTCTTAATTGATGAGGCATTCCATGAGAACGTTCTTGTTCTAATAAAATAGTCTAATAAATATGATTAACAGTTACCCGTGTATCAAAAGATTCACTAAACAGAACTCAATAAATGGTAAAAATGTGACTTTTTTTAATATCACAAATTTACCATTTATCTCTAAAAATAATTTTAAACTAATGTTTCAGATTTATCTTGTCATTATTTTGCTTCTGTTGATAAAAAGGTCTAGTTAAATGTTCATTCTCCAAAGTGTTCAAATATTGATATATATATATATGATATATTAAATGATAAAAGTTCCTGAAAGCCTCCCTTCTTAGAAGTTTAATGTTCATATAACCACCTCTCATGAGAATTTAATCTCCCCTCTTGGATATATGAGTATTGAAAAGTTTTTTTTCAGGTAAAGGAGTGGCTGAATTATTTCTTTTGATGATGCTGAGATAAGCCTTGTTTAATAATTAATATAATTTCAATACAGTTTTCAAAGAGTTACATTCAACCAAAGTGAGTTGTTCCAACCAGTCAAAGTTGGGCCTGCCAGCAGGCACTCTTCAGAGAAGTTCAAGCAGGTAGCTGCGTCAGCATGCGTAGACTGCAAAGGAACAAGTAAAGGTTTATTCCACGCTGAAAAGAGAAGAAAAGAAACAACGTTTCGGCTGTGGAGCATTCTTCGGGTCCAGGTCCGAAGAAGGTTCCACAGCCGAAACTTTGTTTTTTTCCTTCTCTTTTCAGCATGGAATAAACCTATACTTACTCTTCTGAGAAGACATACTCCTGTGAAGAACATCAGAGAATTCTGCCGGCTGGCCTGCATTTTGTGAACAACAGAGTGCTGAATTAGTATTAATTAATTTATCAGTCTCCTTGAGAATTCAATGACATGACAGACCATGACAATCAGAGGAAACAAAACAATTACTAAACTCCCAAGAGTCTGTTAACGAATGCACATTTCTAGCTATATACTGTATGTTTTCACATCGTTCC